CACATTGGAACTATATTTCTACTGTAAACACAACATACGCATTCATGGAGGCGTGTCCAACGTACGTAGCGAACGCAGTTATCCAAATACCGTATATCGGGGTTTTTTTTTGAAGGTATCTCATTTTTGCGAATTTTAGCGACCCTTTCAAAAATCGAAACACTTTCTAGTTGTGCAATACATATCGATAGATAGCTGATGTACCTACAAACATCTGAACACTTTCTAGTTGTGTAATATATAGATAGATAGCTGATGTACCTACAAACATCTGAACACTTTCTAGTTGTGTAATATATATATATATATATATAGATAGCTGAAGTACCTACAAACTTCTGAACACTTTCTAGTTGTGTAATATATATATATATAGATAGCTGATGTACCTACAAACATCTGATCACTTTCTAGTTGTGTAATATATATATAGATAGCTGATGTACCTACAAACATCTGAACACTTTCTAGTTGTGTAATATATATATATATATATATAGATAGCTGATGTACCTACAAACATCTGAACACTTTCTAGTTGTGTAATATATATATATATAGCTGATGTACCTACAAACATCTGAACACTTTCTAGTTGTGTAATATATAGATAGATAGCTGATGTACCTACAAACATCTGAACACTTTCTAGTTGTGTAATATATAGATAGATAGCTGATGTACCTACAAACATCTGAACACTTTCTAGTTGTGTAATATATATATAGATAGCTGATGTACCTACAAACATCTGAACACTTTCTAGTTGTGTAATATATATATATATATATAGCTGATGTACCTACAAACATCTGAACACTTTCTAGTTGTGTAATATATAGATAGATAGCTGATGTACCTACAAACATCTGAACACTTTCTAGTTGTGTAATATATAGATAGATAGCTGATGTACCTACAAACATCTGAACACTTTCTAGTTGTGTAATATATAGATAGATAGCTGATGTACCTACAGACATCTGAACACTTTCTAGTTGTGTAATATATATATATATATATATATATATATAGATAGCTGATGTACCTACAAACATCTGAACACTTTCTAGTTGTGTAATATATATATATATAGAAAGCTGATGTACCTACAAACATCTGAACACTTTCTAGTTGTGTAATATATATATATATATATAGCTGATGTACCGACAAACATCTGAACACTTTCTAGTTGTGTAATATATAGATAGATAGCTGATGTACCTACAAACATCTGAACACTTTCTAGTTGTGTAATATATATATATATATAGATAGCTAATGTACCTACAAACATCTGAACACTTTCTAGTTGTGTAATATATAGATAGATAGCTGATGTACCTACAAACATCTGAACACTTTCTAGTTGTGTAATATATATATAGATAGCTGATGTACCTACAAACATCTGAACACTTTCTAGTTGTGTAATATATATATAGATAGCTGATGTACCTACAAACATCTGAACACTTTCTAGTTGTGTAATATACATATATATAGATAGCTAATGTACCTACAAACATCTGAACACTTTCTAGTTGTGTAATATATAGATAGATAGCTGATGTACCTACAAACATCTGAACACTTTCTAGTTGTGTAATATATAGATAGATAGCTGATGTACCTACAAACATCTGAACACTTTCTAGTTGTGTAATATATAGATAGATAGCTGATGTACCTACAAACATCTGAACACTTTCTAGTTGTGTAATATATAGATAGATAGCTGATGTACCTACAGACATCTGAACACTTTCTAGTTGTGTAATATATATATATATATATATATATATATATATATATATATATATAGATAGCTGATGTACCTACAAACATCTGAACACTTTCTAGTTGTGTAATATATATATATATAGAAAGCTGATGTACCTACAAACATCTGAACACTTTCTAGTTGTGTAATATATATATATATATAGATAGCTGATGAACCTACAAACATCTGAACACTTTCTAGTTGTGTAATATATATATATATATAGATAGCTGATATACCTACAAACATCTGAACACTTTCTAGTTGTGTAATATATATATATATATAGATAGCTGATATACCTACAAACATCTGAACACTTTCTAGTTTTGTAATATATATATATATATAGATAGCTGATATACCTACAAACATCTGAACACTTTCTAGTTTTGTAATATATAGATAGATAGCTGATGTACCTACAAACATCTGAACACTTTCTAGTTGTGTAATATATAGATAGATAGCTGATGTACCTACAAAGATCTGAACACTTCCTAGTTGTGTAATATATAGATAGATAGCTGATGTACCTACAAACATCTGAACACTTTCTAGTTGTGTAATATATATATATATAGATAGCTGATGTACCTACAAACATCTGAACACTTTCTAGTTGTGTAATATATATATATAGATAACTGATATACCTACAAACATCTGAACACTTTCTAGTTGTGTAATATATAGATAGATAGCTGATGTACCTACAAACATCTGAACACTTTCTAGTTGTGTAATATATAGATAGATAGCTGATGTACCTACAAAGATCTGAACACTTTCTAGTTGTGTAATATATATATAGATAGCTGATGTACCTACAAACATCTGAACACTTTCTAGTTGTGTAATATATAGATAGATAGCTGATGTACCTACAAACATCTGAACACTTTCTAGTTGTGTAATATATATATAGATAGCTGATGTACCTACAAACATCTGAACACTTTCTAGTTGTGTAATATATAGATAGATAGCTGATGTACCTACAAACATCTGAACACTTTCTAGTTGTGTAATATATATATAGATAGCTGATGTACCTACAAACATCTGAACACTTTCTAGTTGTGTAATATATATATAGATAGCTGATGTACCTACAAACATCTGAACACTTTCTAGTTGTGTAATATACATATATATAGATAGCTGATGTACCTACAAACATCTGAACACTTTCTAGTTGTGTAATATATAGATAGATAGCTGATGTACCTACAAACATCTGAACACTTTCTAGTTGTGTAATATATATATATATAGATAGCTGATGTACCTACAAACATCTGAATACTTTCTAGTTGTGTAATATATATATAGATAGCTGATGTACCTACAAACATCTGAACACTTTCTAGTTGTGTAATATATATATATATAGATAGCTGATGTACCTACAAACATCTGAACACTTTCTAGTTGTGTAATATATATATAGATAGCTGATGTACCTACAAACATCTGAACACTTTCTAGTTGTGTAATATATATATATATATAGATAGCTGATGTACCTACAAACATCTGAACACTTTCTAGTTGTGTAATATATATATATATAGATAGCTGATGTACCTACAAACATTTGAACACTTTCTAGTTGTGTAATATATAGATAGATAGCTGATGTACCTACAAACATCTGAACACTTTCTAGTTGTGTAATATATAGATAGATAGCTGATGTACCTACAAACATCTGAACACTTTCTAGTTGTGTAATATATATATAGATAGCTAATGTACCTACAAACATCTGAACACTTTCTAGTTGTGTAATATATAGATAGATAGCTGATGTACCTACAAAGACCTGAACACTTTCTAGTTGTGTAATATATAGATAGATAGCTGATGTACCTACAAACATCTGAACACTTTCTAGTTGTGTAATATATATATATATATAGATAGCTGATGTACCTACAAACATCTGAACACTTTCTAGTTGTGTAATATATAGATAGATAGCTGATGTACCTACAAACATCTGAACACTTTCTAGTTGTGTAATATATATATATATATATATAGATAGCTGATGTACCTACAAACATCTGAACACTTTCTAGTTGTGTAATATATATATAGATAGCTGATGTACCTACAAACATCTGAACACTTTCTAGTTGTGTAATATATATATATATAGATAGCTGATGTACCTACAAACATCTGAACACTTTCTAGTTGTGTAATATATATATATATAGATAGCTGATGTACCTACAAACATCTGAACACTTTCTAGTTGTGTAATATATATATAGATAGCTGATGTACCTACAAACATCTGAACACTTTCTAGTTGTGTAATATATATATATATATAGATAGCTGATGTACCTACAAACATCTGAACACTTTCTAGTTGTGTAATATATATATATATATAGCTGATGTACCTACAAACATCTGAACTCTTTCTAGTTGTGTAATATATATATATATATAGATAGCTGATGTACCTACAAACATCTGAACACTTTCTAGTTGTGTAATATATATATATATAGATAGCTGATGTTCCTACAAACATCTGAACACTTTCTAGTTGTGTAATATATATATATATATAGATAGCTGATGTACCTACAAACATCTGAACACTTTCTAGTTGTGTAATACATCTATGATAAATAAATACCAGTTAGTATGTAAATCACTTATCTAGTTTGACTGGTCAGTTAGATCTCCAACTGATGTTAGAATCTACTCTAATGTCCGTTATGAAGTATTCATAGTTTTCAAAAAGTTAATCTTTTGCAAAAAAAAAAAAAAAAAATTACAGAGCGGAAACTTTTTTTATGTAATATTATGTTTGACACCTCAATCTCAGAGTCGTGTTACATTTTTAAGTAAGACTTTGTATCAAACTTAATCATTGAAACAAAGGACAGAGTTCAGTTCAACAATTTAATTCATTTGATTGATAAATGGTACTTACAATGAAGTTTTACATATACATTGATTATAAAATGAGTGATTTGCCCGGAAATTATAAAAAAAATACCAACAAAAAAAAAAAAAAAAAAACCAAAAAAATCAAACAAAAAAACCTACCCAAATTAAACACTTCTGAATTACTTCAGAACTAGAACCGTATCGGAAGATGACATTGTCACTAGTAGTACCTTTCCCGAATTCATTGTTGCCCGAAAATTGGTCTCTTAGTACCGATGTTCTTTCTTCCATCTGTCGCACCAACTTATGGCTCGAAGCAAAGAACGCTCGTTCTTTTTGAACTAGTGAGAAAAGGAAAAGAAAATTCCAACTTGTCAACACAGTCATAATCCAAACAAATATTCAATAAGGTATGGATTATGTTGCCATTTTGGTAATTCCTTGACGTTCTTTGAGAATGTACTCTTCTGCGTTTTCCGATTAAGGTTTTATTGTTACAGTAGAAACATTGAATTGTGGTTTGGTTAATCGGTACAAAACGTAACCAATATATCTGACCCTTAGTTGAAATGAATTCAGTACTGTAAAATAGTTTGGCCCCCGCCCTTGGACCGGGAGGGGCGGGGCTCAATAGAGGAAATAGATCAATTTTTTTAAAATCCTATGCCTCTTGTTGGAATGTTTTGGTATTGCCCAAATTTGGTATGTAGCTTGCGTTGGTGAAGGGGAATCAATGTATAAACAGTGTGTTTCGGCTCCCTGAGAGGGTGGGGACAAATAAGGGATATAGAACAAATTTCTCAAGTTTCTACTCCTTCTGTGGGAATGATTGTATTTTGTCCAAATTGAGTCTAAATCACACTTGGGTGATGGGGAAATAGTTTTGTATAAACGTTCGTTTTCGGTCCTATATGGGCGAAATTGGAGAGTCCCAAAGAAAGAAAAAGGGGAAATTATTTAGAATCCTGATGATGTGGAAGTTCCAGAATTTTGTCCCTATTTAGTCTTCTTTAGATTTCGAATAAAACGTGGGTCTGAAGCAGTCTATCGGAATCATGTTTAAACTTGGTTGGAGGCATGGATTTTTGATGAGGATGTGTTTTATGTAACAAATGGGTCTCGGCTATCTTGGCAAAAGGATGGCGACCAATTGGTAATATCAAGCAAAATCATTATAATCCACTTCTCCAGCAAAAATGGTAAGATTTCATTCGAAATTCTGAAACATCCCTCAGGGAAGGGTAATCAAATTTGTATAAACGGTTGGTCTTGCCCCCTCTGGGGCCTGCGGATCGAGCCACAAAAACGAAAAATTGCAAATAATTCAAAACCCTTTTCTTCCATAGAATGGACTCAGTTTAAACACGATATGAAGCATTCTTTGGTGAAGGTAAATCAATTATATATAAACGCTTGGTCTTGGCCAAATTTAGTTCGAAGGAACATTTGGTTAGTGAGTATTAAAAATTTTGTTCTGAAACATACCTTGTTCATACGAACCCATCCGTTTGGCTGGGACTGAAACTGATGTCTTCCTTAAAGGGGCGAACCCAGTTATGCAAAGTTAAGAAAGAAATTATGAAAAACAAAATAGCATGTAGTTTAGAAAGAAGATAAATAATCATACTCCACATTCAGTCAACTTTTAGGGTCATTCAGTTGGACAGAGGTACGATTCTTATGCCGAACATACAGAGAATGTCAGTCATAAGAATTAAGTACTTATCAAGACAAACATTTTTAAAAAATGGCAATCTTGGTTTCATTATTGGTTTGGCTAAACATTTATTTTTGGCACATAATATTAGGCATGAGGTTATCACAAATTACAGCTTTGTAATCATGAAGTGATAATTACACATATGTTGACATGGTAACAGAAATTACGGCTACAAGTACGACGTCATGCCGACAAAAACTTCAACTACAAGGATGTCGCCATGGCGACGGAAACTGCGATTACAAGAATGTCGCCCGACAACATAATAACATTTTAATATTATGTATATATATATTTGTATGATATTTTTGGTCTGTTTGAATTAAATGGAACTCAAAATAAACGTATGTAAGTATCAATGGTACAGTTGATAGCTTATGGTATTACATTTAAGCGAAGCAATGTAAGTTTAAATGAACACAAATTGAAAGCATTAAATTAATATTTCCCATGGCTTTTCCACGAGTGTTTATAACAGGGTTTAAAAAAAATTCTGGTATACCGAGAATTTCACTCTCCGCGTTATCAGAAACAGAATATTTGTTTTTTGATAGTAACACATTTAACGACAAGAAAAACAATGGAAGTTCAACAAGATTGATTTGAGAGAAGGCAATGAATTAAAAGTCAGAATTCTGTGTTGGTAGCTCAGTAACAAGCAATATTGTCATAAGCTTTATCAAATCGGCTTCTTTCACAGAAAAGGAACTTCGTGCGCTTATTTGTCAGTGGTCATCCATATCGATGGACAGGAATTCAAAATCACAATTACAATCTGTAGGATAGCATGCATAAACGGCAAGGAAATTTGCAATATGTAACACAGATATACATATGGTATAAGACATCTTCAAAATATATTGCTGAAAATCAACTTCAAAACAATTTTGAAAACTTTACAAATAAGTAACATACATTAATGATGTATAAGATTTTCAGTTCATTTCAATCAACGCTTTGATGAAATGTTATAATCTACTGCTGTATGTCTGCAACACAAAATTTCAATTTTCAGGGAAATTAGTAATCAGAAGATGTATGATTGAAACTCTTCATTCAACGTCATTATGGACTATGATCTAAACCAATTGTGTAAAATAAAAAAAATCGACAGCTGAATATTTTGAGGCGTTCTAATGAAATCGATTTCTGATCGAACGAATTGCGACATTTTCTTTCCTCATATCGAAGGTAGTTAACATTTTATTGAATCTGTATACTTCTCTTTTCAAAAAAATACTCAAAGTGCAGGCAACTGTTGTATTCAGGAAATTAAATTTGATATAAATCAAATTGTCAATCATTAAGTGACTTTCAATTTTCATTCTCTGTCTTCAAAACGCATTTTGATGCCATTTTTTGGTACCAGAAATACTTCTGCCACTGGAATAACGTCATGATCCTCGTCTAACACAATCTTGAATCTGAAAGTACATACAAATAAAATAAAATTGAATTTTCAATTTGTTTTTCGAAATTATAAAGCGATAAGTGGTATTAATTACAGCAGACAACAACCAATCAGAATCGAGAAAATTCTAATGATTTCAAACAAAAGCAAAACGATATGTTTAAAACGAAAGCGATGAATGTTACTAAAAATAGATATATACTTCTCAGTATACACCGGTTCAGGCAGTGCTCTTTTCAAAAACACGATCAGAAGGTATCCAAAAGTTACTAAATAAGATTAATTTTCATGTACTGTTGTTATTTTTCATAATATTTAGTGAAACGCTTAGTATTGTTACCTTTTCAGTATTCTGGATAAAATTACTTTCTGTTCATTCATCGAGAAATGTTGACCAATGCAATTCCTGGAGTGAAATCAGAATTTATCAGACAGCTGTGGTTCTTTTTATTATATCTGGGTTTTAATCATTGCCTTTCCTTAATCTTTTGGACGTTTATAGCAATATTTAGATATTTGTTTAGGAATCACGCCAGACTATATCCAAGAATGACAAACAGTTGACAATTTTAATCAAAAATATTAAAAATATACAATGTATTTGTCAAATTGAAATCATAAGACTATGAATGTCAAATGGAAGCTTTTCAATGCTAAAAATGTAAACAGATACGAAAGCTATATTCTGTAATGTTAATAAATGATATGACACGAACCTAATCGCTTTGTGTAACTAGAACATTTGACATCACTGAGTTCTTGACAAGTGGCTACCTCCATTCACATCTATTTAATTATATATAAATATTCCTTGTTCTTCTTGCAATCAATGTGTATGTATATAAATATAGTTAAGAAACATGCAAAAATTAAATTATCAAAAACAAAACTAACCAGTTTTGAAAACTGTTTTGTTAAATATTACCTGGGACCGGCAGAGAATGGTATGAAAGCGTAGGGATCCCGGTTCTCGGAATTCTCCGGAAGGAAACGCTCAGGTCGAAACTCCTTAAACAGAAACCAAACCACTTATTGATGATTAAATCAATTAAAAATCATTGGGTGACGGCAACATGTAATGAAAATATCAGGGTAAGAAGATGACTGATTGGAATCAGGCATTTCTAGATCTTATCAAAAAATGCATTATAAATATCAGTACATGTAAAGAATTCACTTTTTTTTGTTAAATCAAACTATCATGAGATTTCTCCTAGCAACCAGCGTCTTTTAATGACATTTGTGTTATAATATGTAATATGTATACATACGGTATTTTTTTCCGAATTAAATATCGACTGAAAAGATTGCTATTTGAGAGAATATCTGAAACACGTGTCTCGTTATTTTACTGATTAAAGATTTTAGCGTTATTGTACCTCGAATAAATATTACCCTCGCGAAAATAACTGGTTCTACGATAATAGAGATGTCATCATGAAGTACAGCAGTGTATCAATTTGTAATGAAAAGTTAAAACATTCAATTCTCAGTTGTAAAGAAATTGAATGAAAACCTCAGTAAAACCCTTTTCCAGTAAATAGTTGATGACGTCAATAAATCAGTAAGTATATTCCGATGGCTTTCCCGACTAGTCCACAATAAGTTGTGTAAATGTTAGGAAGCTTATAAGAGCTTAGAAGGGTAACGTCATTCAATACACATTTCACTTTCGTTTCTTTTTCTGGTAGTTCATCTCCCGATACGGTTTTCGACGTATTTCAATTTCGCCATAGGCAAATCGGGAACGCTAATTTGTCACTGACGAATGAAGTTCAATGTTGGCACCTACTGTTGGGGAACGATTATTGCATACCCACTTCATCATTGATGGGAATATCTTAAGACCGACCTTGACAGTGAACTAGGTAGTCCCGATAGTTCAGAAATCTCTGGCACTAGATAATGCCTCTGTCATGACGTTACTCATCTCGATTCCATTAAAACTTTTACCATTTACCACATATAACACGTCAACGTGTTACCATATAAAGGTCGATATTTCTTGTCAACATGTGTGCCATTAATTTTGATATCTTCCCTCATCACATGTGTCGCTTGAAAAGAGAACTCAGTTCATTTTACAGAGTCGTCAGGTTTCGTACAATGAACAAAGATATAAACAGAATATTTAACTGTAATCGTCTAAAGAAACAAAGCATATCACAAACAAATAAAACATTTCTCATTGACGGTCATAAAACTTCCCCATAATTTTAATCAATTTGTATCTTTTGAAAACTTGTGTTACGATGTTCGTTTTTGTACCAATGGTCGATCGGCAAAATTATGAAAACGTCTTCATTTCGATGAACACCAAAAATATCGATGATATTTTCTTTAACTTGTGTCTTACATTGGCATTAGGAAAGATGTTGATACCGCAAGAGAAGTTCCTGCCGGAAAGTAGACACCTCCAACCTCCATGGACTTTCTGATAACCCTTGAAGAGTTTAGCACTGGCGGGTACATCCTCATATTCTCTTTCATAAACATCGTCAGTTTCTGTAATTTTCCTAGATCCTCCCTAACGACGATTTGAAAGAAGAACAAAAGAGAGTATGACTTTTACCAGTTGGGTCAGTTACTTCTATGGCACCCGACATGTAAATTCAGGTCAATCTGAGAAAAAATCAATTGCAATACAAGGCGCGTTGATTACTTCAATCAATCCACATCAATGCTACCGAATGTAACGAAATCCTACCCAACATTACCCAATAAAACACCAAACCTTCCAATAATTTTCGATAACACCCAATAAAACACGATACCTTCCATTACAACAAATGACTAAACAACACAACACTAAACAATAACACAAAACTAAACAATAACACAAAACTAAACAATAACACACAAAACTGAATAACACACAAAACAATAACACACAAAACTAAACAATAACACACAAAACTAAATAACACAAAACTAAACAATAACACACAAAACAATAACACAAAACTAAACAATAACACACAAAACAATAACACAAAACTAAACAATAACACACAAAACAATAACACAAAACTAAACAATAACACACAAAACAATAACACAAAACTAAACAATAACACACAAAACAATAACACAAAACTAAACAATAACACACAAAACAATAACACAAAACTAAACAATAACACACAAAACAATAACACAAAACTAAACAATAACACACAAAACTAAATAACACACAACACTAAACAATAACACACAAAACAATAACACAAAACTAAACAATAACACACAAAACAATAACACAAAACTAAACAATAACACACAAAACTAAATAACACACAACACTAAACAATAACACAAAACTCAAGTTCAATAAATTTTGGGCAAAACATGAACCAAAGAAAGATTTACATGAAGACCTCTGAAAAATAACACATGACGAATCAGATCAGGTGTTCCGGAAAAGTAAGCGCCTTCTACTTCATCGACGACACCCGCTATGTAATTCTTGGTCAATCCAATTAAATGAGAATAATGTCTACAACAACTGAACCAACAGGCAAATTAGGGACAGCAAACACTTCCAGTTTCAAAACGCACAAAAAAAAAAAAAAAAAAAGAATATTTCTCAATGAGAATGACAAACGTTAAACTTCTTGCTAATTATCATTAATCTGTATTTTTTGAACCCTTGTGTTACGAATTTATCCGTCGACTTCTTGCTGGGGATGCATGGTTGCTGTCCATAAACGGAAAATTCACAATAGGGAAATTGAAATAGCCACATCGATCATACAGCTGAGTAATTGCTGTCCAAGTTGTTTTCGTTTTATAAAACGCTCGAGGTAAACGACTGATGTAGAAAAAACCTAGAATGAATATTGGGAACATACGTCGGTTTGAAAAGAATAAAGATATAAGAGATGAACTCTAAAATTACGAGACAAACTCGATGCCCTTCAAGACGGCTTTTAAAAAGTATAAAAAGATTCCGATCAGGTGATCTGAAGAAAGACTATATTAATAACAATGAAATAGCCATGCATTGCGAAAGGTATCGACGAAATCAAACTTCACACCTCATACGGAAAGAGAATATTTCTTAATGAAAATATTCTCATGATAGCGACAATGAATCCCTCGAAACATTGAAAGAGAAACTCATTGAATATCAGATCACCAAATCTTTGTCTAGCCTTTTTTGATGTTGAAATAATATTTGAGTTCTACTCAAGAGAAAAATATTGATCATACCAGCCACACTGTTGAACGAAATAATTCTAACAGAATTTGATGAATAATTTTCACCATTGAATGTGTGTTCGGTCTCCTGTGACGTTGCACACCTCCTGGTAAACTTTTTCTTGCTCATCCGGGTACCTTCCGAAATTATACAGGGCCCATCTCAGTGCAGTAAACGTGGTTTCGTGTCCTAAAAACAGCAAACAAATAAGAATTATGACAGATTTTATATCTCGCGTGTATTCCGCGTATCCGTGTCATCAGGATGTAACTAACAAGTTGTATCTGTTAGCTTTGATGAAAATCAAGGGGAAGCTATCATGATGATTTCATAGCGAGATACAAAAAAACCTATACTTGGCCTCTCAAGTGAAGTAGAATACAGATGATCCTATATTTGGTCTCTCAGATAAAATGGAATACAGCAGACCCTAGACGTGAGTTCTCAGATAAAACTGAATACAACAGACCCTAGACGTGGGATCTCAGATAAAACTTAATACAGCAGACCCTAGACGTGGATTCTCAGACAAAGGTGAATACAGCAGACCCTAGACGTGAGTTCTCAGATAAAGTTGAATACAGCAGACCCTAGACGTGGGTTCTCAGACAAAAGTGAATACAGCAGACCCTATTTTAGGCTCTCAGATAAAGTTGAATACAGCAGATCCTAGACGTGGGTTCTCAGACAAAAGTGAATACAGCAGACCCTATTTTAGGCTCTCAGATAAAGTTGAATACAGCAGATCCTAGACGTGGGTTCTCAGACAAAGGTGAATACAGCAGACCCTATTTTAGGCTCTCAGATTAACTGAAATACAGCTGACCCTATTTTGGGCTCTCAAATGTCCCCTTAAGAGAAGACATCAGAGAAACCACCTGGGCCTGCAAGGGGTCCTACAATTAGTAACGTGGTGCGGTAGTAAGGCCTTCAGATAAATACAGCAGGCATATGCTGTTTATACCAAATACTGACCGCATGTCGGTGATTTTTCCCTCGGAACTCCGGTCTTTTCCCTCCATCTTTAATTATCCTGGCTGTTGATAGGGCATAAAGCAACATTAAACGCAACCAAAGCTCCTTACGGTGCACTGAATAAACTCTGGTGGGTTCCGAAAAGCACTCTTCGAGATATTTCACCAGCAAACATAAACGTATCCACCTCGTCCCGGATTTCCTTGTCCGACAATCCGGCTCCTGACTCGTCTTTAGCTGTCATAAGGATGTCGAGAAAATCAAGTCGGTGTTTGCCCACTAACAAGGATGGATTTTCAGCCTGGAATTGTAAACTCGGTAGATAAACTGCAGTTCATATTGCAGCTACTAAAGCAAACAATTGAATTTAAGATATTTCATTTGTCAAAGCGTTCGTTTCAGATGTTTAACTTTGCATAGTCCATAAATAAGGGATTTGTACTCTTTGCTTTAGTTTTACTTTACCAAAGCTTTCTTTCGTTTTGCTATCAGATCATCAGCAAATCCGTGGATGTAGTCTAGATGTCCTTTATACTCTTTACCATCCCCTGACATCATGTAAATTGTCCAGAACAGAAACTGCCACGGATACCTAGCAACAATAACTAAATTATTCAAACGCCATAAATAGACTCCACATATATCCTCTAAAGCAGAATATATACCTAGCAATGATTCGTCGTACAAATAACTGAAAAAATTATATACTGGTGATAACAAGCAGTCTGGCATCGTCAAATGTGAAACATACTACGGGTCATCAGCATCGTAAAAACTAACAACATAAACAAGGAGGAGAATATACTCCGGACAAGCAATACAAGATATACATAGATGTATGAAAATGATTTCATTCGTTCATCGGCAAGGTTACAAAATTTAATAATAGTTTAAAAGAAAAAAAAACCAATAGAATAACGAGGAAAATAATAAAAGGATATACTGAGCAGAGCATGGCTCGTTTACGTTCTATAAATAGACAGAGCTTGCATATATTAAGTAGATATAACGACTGTATAAAATATTAACAAGGGAAGTAATCGGAAGTAGACAATACAAAAACCATTCAAACAAACAAAGGGAGATAATAAAAACTCTTTAGTGTTCACATCGCTTTCTTAATGATACAAGGGTATAAAATAATTCTTTTTAAATCTTTACATTGTAAACAGTATATTTTCGTAAAACAATTTATAGGAAGCAGAGCTTCGATAACAGTCAAAATAAAAGACGCATCTCTCAGTTTCCGTATGAAATCAAGGTTTACCAGAAAATATTTTGATATGTCCATGAAGAAATGGCTGTAGTCATTAAAATGATAATTCCGTAGGGGTTATTTATTAATTATTGTTATTGCTAGCTAGAATATAAAAATAAACTCCTTTTCGTAAGAGGTGCAACATTGAGTGGTAGAAATCAACTTTAAGTATAGCAATATACATACATCATTCTTTTCATCCAAAGAAACCCTATTCTTTGGACAGCTGTGGCATAAGGATGTTTCTCACTGTAAAAAAAAATAGAAAATACCGCTATGTTAATATGACCGTAATTAAAACTAAAATCATACTAACCTTGGTAAAAGCATAAACAACAGATAAATTTACACAACTCGTGAGATAAATTCAAGACCGGGACCAGTATTACGGAAGGGTTAGCGTCCTCTGTTTCATCGACGACACCCATCAAGTAAATAATGTCATGTTCCTAAATAAGAACAAGGTTAATGACAATACCTGTCATACGAACGAACATCACACACGTTCAGCTTTCTACAATACTATTTGCACAACACGTGTGTGTATATTATATGTGAAATCAAAACGTGTGTTTATCATATGTGAGAACACCACATATGTGTGTATGTAATAAGTGAGATCAAAACATGTGTGTGCATATGTGAGAACACCTGACATGTGTTTATCCTATTTGAAAAGATTTTGTTAATGGTTGAAATGGGCGCGGTTTTACACTTGCTGTCAAAATTAAGATGCATTTTTCATATAAAATGAACAAATGATTTTTTTATTTTCGTGTTTTCATAATTTTTTACCTTTATTCATTCTACAAAAATGGCTGAAAGCATTCAACCTCGAAAACAACAAGTCTTGCATGATAAAGTATTGTTATTAAAATCACCCCATACGTCTGCCTTGAAAATCACAATGAAATAACAGTAGGCCCTGCACCTACTTACGATAGTTGAATGTTGCCTTCGTAAGACAGCGCACATCTGAGGATCACGTCCAGCGTGGCAAGGTTAAGAACATCGCCGATTTCCACACTTTTCGAAGTTTCTTTCATTAGTCGGGCAAACTTTTCCTAACACGAAAAAAAAACTACCTTTGTAGATGTGTAACAGTGTGTACATAGTTCACTGTGTTAATCTGTAATTATTTAAAAGAGATAGAAGTGCGGTAAAAATATATAGTTCTGTTGTTGATAATGATAAAGCAGGCCATTGTGATGTAAAGGTCTTTGAGTACTTGTCAATAATCTCATGAGGGCGAGTAATATCTAACAATTAACGATAATCCCCCCCCCCCCCCCCCGACTTCTCTTGTCCGGAGTGTTGAATAGTAGGTCAGATTTAATTTTTAATTGAATGTGTTTGTAAATTTGTCAGTTGTACAACCAATACAAAACACTGTATTTGAAGTAATACCAATCCATTTCAGAATACAACCCCACCCCCTCCTCCCCCGCCCAATCCCACCACTCCCTTTTCAATCAAATGTTCGCCCTTTAGTCATTTTACGCAATGCAAGATATTAACAATATACCCATTAGCATTGAGTAAAAGAAATCCGGAAAAAAACATGAACTAATTTTGTTTGTTACAACCTTTCCGTACCAAGACAATATCAGCCGCGTCGTTGTAAATCTTAACATACGGCCTCAACACATCAAAGTGGAAAGCTGGAGTAAGCAACTTCCGGTTCCTTTCCCATTTTTTCCCATTGCTTGTGACCAAACCGTCACCTGGAAGACGAAAAATTATACATTCTCAGTATTACCTCGTTGAGGGCATGTTTATCTTTTGATGCGATTTCAGGTCCTCGTATCGATATACAAGTATATACTCAAACACTTGGTAAAAAGTGTTGAATTCAATTCTGCGGTCCTACATTTCAACTCTTTCGGTCCTTAGTATAACTAACAGGACGAACAGTTGTATGATGAAGATTACTTCATCATTCGGCTTCTCAGTATCTAATTCTGAATATTTAATGAAATTTGCCTTCTGTGCAGTACAGGAAAACATTCAAAAACAAAGCTTCTCAAACTTCTATATTTTTCAAACTTCTTTATGACAAAGATTACATAATATAAGAAATCAAATATCCGGAAAAGTACATTATAATTAAATGAAAAAGGATACGGAATGAAATATCCGGAATTAACATGGTAAGGGAAATAACTCATAAGGTATTGCAGGCGGTAGACACTGTTCTCCGCGGGTTTTGTCGTTACTCGTATTTGATACTATTTTTTTCAAAATCATCATGTAGATTATAAATTTATTGCAATAAGAACTTATTCGATTGGCGCAGTGGTAACGTGGACGTGAAAAGGTAAAGGGGTCACCTGCCCAGCCAAGTGGGTTATCCCCGGGTACACCCGTTTCCTCCCACAATAAAACCCCTCGCGCGCTTACATCCGGGCCAACAAGAGTATAAGTTGAAATAACTTGTTTCGCAATTGTTGTAAAATAAATAAAGTTTATATATATACTTATACACCTCCCAATCCAGATGTTTCCATTTACTCTGATAAAGGATTTTTCCGGTCGTGTGCAAAGATTAAATAATTCACTGACAAACCCTAGAAGGATGAAATAAATATTTGATGCTTTGATTAATTATTTTGTCCTACTGTATCTAGTTCTGAACTTGAATTGAAATGTGTAATTTTAATGTGTCTTTTGTACAATTATACGAGTAGGCATGAGAACGAGAGAAACATTCTAGATCCATCAAGTACTGTAAAATCATGTCTTTCCGTAGGGCTCAAACTTCGTGGTTTTGCTAAAAAATAGCATTTCGTGGGAATTGATTTCACAATGAAATAAAACTCACGAAGTCCTACTTAAGTAAATATTCAAGTAAAAAAAAACCCTCAGATCTTGTTGTTTCGTAGACATATGAACTCATAGATTGATAATAACCAGGAATTAAACCAAAACTAAACCACCACGAAAATTTTTTGTTTTACATAAATAGAAACAAACTGTCTCTGGTCTGCAGGAGATTCGTTTACATCATATTTACAATAACATGTAGCTGGAACTAGTCTTTTTCTAAGAGGTTCCGACGTCCCGAAACAGAAAACACCCCAGAAGGTATTCATGATTCTGCAGAAACTTCTACATTTGACGCCTCACACAACAACAATAACAACAACAACAACAATGAAAACATCGACTACAACAACAACAACAACAACAACAACAATATCGACATCAACAACAAAAACAACAACAACAACAACAACAACAGCAACAACAACAACAACAACAACAACAACAACAACATCAACAACATCAACAACAACAGCCAAAGATAATTATTCATCACACGCGCTAATGGAAAATTTTCGCCTTCTATGTCACTCAATAATGCATGACGTTCTATACTTCGTTTCGTCTTTTTGCACTTAATAACAATATTGTGTTGGGATTTTTTTTTTATGAACCAGAAGTAGTTCAAATTGTAGTGGCCATGCCGTGCAAATAAACGGAAGCAATGAAATCACAATCCAGTCTGTTTTATTATACCAATGGTACAGTGCACCCATACCACATGTCAGCATCGCCGGATCATACGCAATATTCCATCTACATGATATTGAGATTCATGAATGAAATTGATCATTGTTGGTGAATAAACATATTTAATTATCATTTCGGCCCATGAATCAAAATATACTGTATCTACTAAAATTGCCGTGTTCGGACAAAGACAACGCTCTATTAAGGGAAAGCATTAGCTTCCTGTCTCATGTAGGAAATACGTGTGCCAAGGACATTTTCTTTCAGAAATAAAAAAGGGAGAAAACCTCAAAAACAAATATTTCCTTCAAATGCGTTAATACAAAATATAGGAATATCAAAATATGTACTTACCCATGAACTCCGTAATAATACTATAAACTTCTCCTCTCCCCCTGGGTTTGGGATCAGACAGCTTTAGCACGGCTTTTACACTGTCCGGATGGTTGGCTTGGATTATTGGTATGAAACACATCCAGAATATTGTCCACTTTTTGTTATGAAGAATGTGGTTATTTTCGTCTTTCGGCATGTTCATAATCAACCTCAAATCAGTCATCTGCAACGTTACGATTTCACGCGTCGTAGATTTTGAATATTTTTGTGAGAATGAAGCACTTAAATCGATTAAATAAGTACTGAAACTGGAACTCATTTAAAAAGTTGTAGATTTAATCTTAAGTATATCACAAGACACTTACAAAGACTGTAAAAACGGAAATGCCTAGAAATATATTTACTAACTTAATTTACAAAAAAAAACAGCATTCCTTAAAAAATTGAAATAAATTACAAAATATTGGTGAACATTTAGATCGTCATTTCTCACAAACCAGATGTGAACTTCAAGACATTGGCAAACTTCGTTTACAAAGATGGCAATTCCTCAGAAACCGGAATTGTTACAATAGGCAAAATTCGTTTATAAAGACTGGTCTTCCTCAGAAACCCAAAGTGAACTGAAAATATTGGCAACCATTGTTTTTAAAAAAGATCGCAATTCCTTCTAAACCGAAGATGTAACCAAAAATATTATCAAATATTGTTTACAAGAATCGCAAATCCATACAACTGCATGAAGTTACGTGTGATTGGGTAACAGTATCGCCCGAAGTGACTTTGATTAAAACGGTAAAAAGTAAAGATATGTTTGCTTACTTGGGTGCAGTTCTAGATTTTTCTTTGTGCCGTTTACCTACTTCCGTTAAAACGATGTTTTATTGAATATATTTTAAAAAAAAAACAGATTAATAAAGTTTCACTTACGAAATCCGTTTTCATATGTCCCCAAAACCAATGAGGCGGGCGGAATTGAGCAAAGTCTCTTACTGTCCGGCAGAGGACGCTGTATCTCCACAAAGCAGTAACGATAACCCACAACAGGTATCCCACCACCAGGGTGAGTATGAACTGTATTAAGTTATCCATCGCTCGAGATGAAACAAATCAAAACGCTAATCAGTCTGTACTTATCAAAGTGAATCAAACTCGTCGTCACCTTTCACTTCCAGAAATTTTGCGCCTTTGAGATCAAATTTGTCTGAAACTTATGCCCAACTTCTTCTCCAGTGCAATCGGGAAGAACTGAAATATAAATAATATTTTGAATATCAGAACCTTTCGCAGTATTAGCGAAGAAGATACAGTTCACGTAAGTAAAAATGTCATTGGTTGGGTGATATATTTTTCTGACAATCCAAACGAACTCGATACAAATATTTTGCTGATACCTTTTCATATGAAACCATCATTAACCTAGGGAGTCACTTGCTGGCTGATAGGCTACAACATTTACTATTTAAAATTTCAACGTGTTTGTTTATGTCAATGATGGTCAATGACTTGGGTGTGCAAAGATTACATGTGAACTACGTCATCGTTTCATGTGTCATGTTCCATGGAAATGGTATCGTTCCGTCTTGTAAGATTAGATATACCAAAATTGACTTTGAAAAAAACTTTCGTACCCCACAGAAGATGACATTTGACTTCTTTTGTACGAGATGTTTTAAGTGGGTGTTTGTCGTTTAAACGAGAGTATTATTCTTTTAGAAAACAGTGTATTACATGTCACTAACAACCTTCATGTTAATAGTCACATTGGGAAACCGGAAGTGTAACACGGGGCATTCACAAACTTCCTCGAAAGTGAGATATTGCTTCGCAATCTCATCTACAGTTGTCGACCTTTACTCTCGATGATATACGAGATGATTCTGTCAGAATCCGGACGTGCGTCATAAGGCATCGCCAATCTGTTGGTTACATCTAACGTATTGTTTGAGAAGCAGGAAGTGTATACAAGGCACTGAAAAGAAGTTATGCCCATCTGCAAAGATCGAGTTTTGCTTAAAGGCTGGAAATTTAGATATTCATAGAATTTGTGTGAGTAAAAGAAATAGTGCTTCCATTAAACTTACTAAAATCCTGCTTCTGTTAAACTTTCTTTTTCAAAAAGACCGATGTTGCGTCAGAAAACGGACGGTAAATACGGTCATAGTGTTGGGTCTTTTACATTCGATTATGTGAAAGATATATTGCTTAGTGTTCCCCTACCGATAAAACCGGGAGAGTCTGTATTTTCTTCTCCGTCCGTCTCGCCGTCCGTCTGTGTACGTACGTAATAGCAATGTTTGTCAGCACTCCTCTAACGGTTTCATTCCTAATGGGATTTTAATCAAACCTTACAAACGACCTCAATTTCTTGGAAAAGTTCGAGTTTCAGGGTTGTTAAGTCAATGTCAAGGTTAAAGTTACTATTTTAAGAAAATCATTGCCAGTACTCTAGCAGCTTTATTCCTTGAAGGATTCTCATCATACCTCATACACTTAAAAAGTGCAAAATCTTAAGGGGGAGTTGGGGGGAGGGGCGGTATAGATGTCCTTCCTTGGTTTCATATTTTTTAGCTTTGATATAGTAGCTTAAAGAGTCTACAATTCAATGCAGATACGTATAATGTCGCAATATTTAAATAATACTTTCATTTTCACCAAAACGTTGACGGTCCCTAATTAAAAAAAAATAAATTAAAGGCTGTTTGCATTATTTACGTTGCCTGTATTTCGTAATACAGTTAATTACGTCGTTGTACATTTCACTCAAAAACGTTCACATTTCGGCTGTAATTTGCAGATATCCGCTCCAGTATTAAGTCGTGTTAAGATAGCAAACATGTCTTTTACCACGTTGGTTTACAATTCGTACTTTGCTTTCTCCCATATGATAGCCCCCATGTACATCTTTTTTGTTAAAACATGAGCGACGTAAACAAGCGAATGAAACTTGAAATTATTTCAGTCAATGTCTGTTAAGAGTTACCACATTCAGAGGAGAGTCATAAAAGATAGCAACTTGTCTGTATCATCTGTCAATTTTTTGTGAAAATCCATGATGTTTACAGGTAAAATATAAAACACACACACATATATATACCGGCGACCGCTACAACTTCCTAATCACAATGGCGAGAAAATGATCGACATCCGATGTCCGGGACTGTATATTTGCCTCAGAATATTACTGCTGAAGATCGCTATCAAACAAAACATTAGCCAAAGCAACGCGTTTTTTTTTTTTGTCTAAATTTTGAAAAAAAAACAAACAAAAAAACAGGGTCGATAGCCAGAAAATGGGGACGGTCAGGAAACAAAAAACAGTTTGTTTGGCCTAAAATGTTGATTGAATACACTCATTAGTAGTAGTAAGGCAATTTGAATCAGCTCTCTGAATTAGAAATAAATCTAAAGAGCATTTACCTCTCATTGGTTGTAGAGTCACGTCCCTGTTTCACTCGACACCTCTCTCTGTCTTACAGTGCAACTGGTGAAAAAAGTGATATCTTATGGAAAGTGTATTTCAACTTGTGTCATAGTTATGTCTATTGCATCATGTTGCCTATCTATGTATTTCGTAATTTCATATGATGAATTAACAAAAAAAATATTTAATTCAAATCGACGCACAGATGTAAAATTTGGAAAATATATTGTTTTGAATATTCATGCTAAGTTTCGTCTGTAACAAAAACGTAGTTCGGACCAAAATATCCTGCTCACAACAACTTGGTGATAATATCGTGTAAATAAGAGTTATCTCCCCTACATTTAGTTTAGACTTACAAAAGAAATTATGCCTGTACGTGCATCACGAAAACCTTTGTACTTCTAGAGCTACACTGTATACCCTATACCTGTCAATGGAAAATCTCCTGTGCCATGAAATGATGTTTTCTGACACATGATCACATATATTATTGACTTACCGTGACTATTTTATGCCAGAAAAGTACAAGTTAGGAACACAAGTTTGTGACCTACTCTAAATAATCCAAGCTAACCTACCACCGATTAATATTTAGGTCGGTGCTTCCGGTTGTCTTTTTTTTTATCTTAGTGAATTACTTTAAACAACATTTCAATCAATAATTAAATGTCATTCTACTTACATACACTACGTAATGGACGATATTCAACTTGAAAGAAATATTCGCATTCTCTCCATCAAGGAACATGCTTATCTAGGTTCTAGAAAAAAAATCATTTGTAAAATTTTTAATGGACTCTGATATTTTATACATGTATATCAAACATAACTTTAAAAACTCAAACAGATTTTCGAAAGGTTTGTATCTGTTAAAGATAACTCGAGATTTAACTAAAAGATCCGGATATAGTTTACAGTCGTTTTTCTTTGTCATTTTTATAGTCCCATTAATGACTTCCGCTGTGATTTCTAACTGGTCAGTGGCGCCAGAAAGATGAATTTAGAGCTTCTGGGTAAGTTTTTATGATGTCTGCTGTCATGTTTTTCTTATAGATATTATTTTATTGACAATTTGGATTTAATTAACCTTTTGTTTAAATGATACCAGTGATCAAGCGGTCACCGTCGCCTCCGCGTCCCTGCCTACTGCTGAATCAATAACGGATCGGTCGTTTGTTATTGATGAGGGATTATCAGTTAATGCAGCTCAACTTCTTTTCAGTTTCGTCATGTTTTGATAACAGTGTATAGGTAATTAAAGATATTTTTCTCTCTTTTCAGAATCGTTTGGGCAGAATTTCCCAGAGGTAACATACTGATAACCGTGGACTACACTGTCAAATCTTACCGCAATTGTCACCTGTGTGTTTACAGTTATACCAGGGGCATGCGAGGGTGTTTCGCCAATCCCCACCCCAACCCCCTCCCCCAACCGCCAGAAAAAGGTGGTTCCCCCGCTCCCCTTAATACCAGCTTGTTGGTTTGGTCAGTTGGCCCCTGCACTCGAGATGTTCTAATACTAGTTAGTGGTTAGTGAAAATTTTCATATGTCAATAAAACAAAATTACGATTACATTTTTGATTTCACAGCTATAGAATTGTTGAGACAGGTCAAATTGATAATTTTGAGTGTCAAGTTTGCGTTTTAAGTTCTTATTTTTTCAGTGCATAAATATAAATTAAATGAGACCTACCTGGAATTCCAATCAAACTTCAACTTCCAAGTAAGTCTCATTTCAACAGTAAATTTTGGATTCTTGCAGAAAGAACGTCAAACTCCAGTTTTATCCTTTAGTTCTTGGTAAAGGCTCACTCAAGACATAACTGTGATTCTTTCTATTGTTGAAATGAATATTGCAAAATGTACAAAAAAAAGGAAAATACTCTCAAACACTCTCATACATGTGGTCAGAATTGACTGCCCTCTGTGTGGTCAGAATTGTATTAAAAAGTTGTATACTTTTCCAATTGACTAATATAAGTTTTGTGATACATCACTTTAACTTATAAGTTTAATTTTTGTTACGAAAATGATATTCACTTCTCACATGCCAACAAAATGACTTTGGTTAGGTCGGTCAGTGGTAAGTTCACACTAGCTAAGCTACAGCAAAAGAAGTGAATGGGATAGAAATAGATAAGTTTAGATAACAACATTAAGAATATGTGACTTTGGTGTCTGCACGACTTGGTGAACAAAAGCTAAAGTCTGAGAGGTCACCACTGGGACTAATTTCTTATCCCTCTGTAGTATAAATCCCAGTAATCATTATTTTAAATTTTAATCAATACAGATATTTTTTGTGTGGTTCATTGAAGAATATGATACTTCCTGATTCAAATTATTATGATAAGTACATATGGTGTTGATGTTTGTGCCTATATAATTAAAATCTAATAACAATTTTCTGCTGCAGGATTTTGATGGCACTTTGGACTGTGTGAGTATTGCTATCACTTGTGCCTACAATAGACAGGGGACACTACTCTCTGTTGGTTGTAATGATGGAAGGATTGTCATCTGGGATTTCCTGACAAGAGGAATTGCCAAAATCATTAATGCTCATGTCCATCCAGTGTGTTCTCTAAGGTAATTGTACTTAATATCCTTTAATCAGCCCAAGGGCTAATGCATTACATCTTACACAAACCCATTGTTTGATTGGCATAAATGGATTTGGTATTTTGGCTCCACTTTATTTTCGACTTTGTACCATAATACACATATTTACCTCATGTTCATTGCGCCCTTTGTTGATTTTTTGAAGGGGTTGTATATAGGTAACAAATTTTCACTGCCATCTTTAATTTGCCCTCCCTATTCATGGACAAAAAGGGTAATGGGGGTGCGACCTTGAGATTCATTTGATGTACGTCAAATGATCAAACTGGTCTTCCTGCTTAATCCTCAAGGTGTCGCATAACCTCTCGAGTATCAAGGATGGAAATTACTTTGGATGGTCTGTTGGTCATGCCAGGGAGTGCTCTTGGGCAAGATGAAGAGATTTTTGGCCATTTTTGAGTGAAAATCTCATTGAAATTCTCAGGATAAGTTATATCCTGTAATAAATTCCATCCAAAATTCTGAGTCCTCATAATCAGTATCCAAGAATTTATCCTTGAACTAATTTCAATTAAACTTGTGGAAAAGGGGACAAATTTTTAAACTTAAATGTCTTAAATTTTTAAATTCTTGTTCTCAATACCCAAATATGGTAGAATCAAATGCTCTTCATGGATGGAAGCATCTTTATGTGCTTTTCAGTGACCAATCCCCAGGGGCTGATGGGCAAGACCAAATAGGATAAAAAAAATGACTAAAATTTCAATACCCAAATATCACATGGGTGGATGGGTTTCGGAAAGTAAAACTTCTATCCCTGTACAAATAGCATTTCTTATTTTCATTGATTTCAATCGTTTCAGTGTGTTAGTTCACTCAGGTGATATTTTAAGCCCCTTGGCTTCTTGTTTTTCTAACTATTAAGTAGAAGGAAAGAAATCAAGGAATAAGAAAGAAACGCAACCCCTGAGGCCAGATTTCCAAAATATGCTGATATGTTTCAGCCTGATAGTCAAAAAAAATTATAGAAATGTTTAAATAAAGTGTTTAATTAGGTTTTTTGTAACTTGATTCTTTGTATATTTCAGCTAAGATTTTGAATTTCATAATTTCTCAGGTAGACTGAATAAAACGTAAGTACATTTTATCTAAAATGAAAGAAACCTTGTCAGAATGTGTTATTGTTGAATATATCATTACTAGCTGGAGTCGGAATGGACACAAGTTACTCAGTGCTGCTACAGATAACACAGTGTCAGTATGGGATGTGATGGCTGGAGAATGTGACAAGACCTTCCGTTTCCCTTCTCCTATATTGAAAGTGCAGTTTCACCCCAGAAACAGGTAGAGTTCCCAACTCCTATACTGAATATACAGTTTCACCCCAGAAACAGGTACGGTTCCCCACTCCTATACTGAATATATACACTTTCACCTCAGAAACAGATACAGTTCCCAACTCCTATACTGAATATACAGTTTCACCCCAGAAACAGGTACAGTTCCCTACGTTTATACTGAATATACAGTTTCACTCCAGAAACAGGTACGGTTCCCTACTTTTATACTGAATATACAGTTTCACTCCAGAAACAGATACAGTTCCCAAGTCCTATACTGAATATACAGTTTCACCCCAGAAACAGGTACAGTTCCCTACTTTTATACTGAATATACAGTTTCACTCCAGAAACAGATACAGTTCCCAACTCCTATACTGAATATATAGTTTCACCCCAGAAACAGGTACAGTTCCCTACTTTTATACTGAATATACAGTTTCACCCCAGAAACAGGTACAGTTCCCTACTCCTATACTGAATATACAGTTTCACCCCAGAAACAGGTACAGTTCCCTACTCCTGTACTGAATATACAGTTTCACCCCAGAAACAGGTACAGTTCCCTACTCCTATATTGAATATATATTTTCACTCCAGAAACAGATACAGTTCCCAAGTCCTATACTGAATATACAGTTTCACCCCAGAAACAGGTACAGTTCCCTACTTTTATACTGAATATACAGTTTCACTCCAGAAACAGATACAGTTCCCAACTCCTATACTGAATATATAGTTTCACCCCAGAAACAGGTACAGTTCCCTACTTTTATACTGAATATACAGTTTCACCCCAGAAACAGGTACAGTTCCCTACTCCTACACTGAATATACAGTTTCACCCCAGAAACAGGTACAGTTCCCTACTCCTACACTGAATATACAGTTTCACCCCAGAAACAGGTACAGTTCCCAAGTCCTATACTGAATATACAGTTTCACCCCAGAAACAGATACAGTTCCCAACTCCTATATTGAATATATATTTTCACCCCAGAAACAGGTACAGTTCCCAACTCCTATACTGAATATACAGTTTCACTCCAGAAACAGGTATGTTCTGCATCCCATATATTCATTTTACAGTTCCACCCCTAAAACGGGTAAAGTCCACATCCCCTATTTTCAATTTACAGTTCCACCACAGAAATAGTTTAAGTCAACATTCCCCTATATTCAGTTTATAGTACCACGACAGGAACAGGTACAATTCTCTGATGACAGATTAATGATGACTTGAAGTATAAAACATGATTTTAAGAATTATAAAAGTCATTAAGTGTATCATTCAGGATGGGTTTAGATTTTTGCAATATTACAAATTTGATCAATTTCTGTTTTATTTGGTGACATTTCATGTAATGGAGTTCTGTTTGACTTAAAGAGTGTAATAAGAAAATTTGAAGCAGGAATATGGAAAACATACCACTATCCTTACACTTCCCTTTCTTTTAACAACGAGTTCTGTGGATTGAAAGTTTACAATTAGTTTGTTAGGTTTATCACCCCATGAACAGCCAGGGTCAGTTTGAAGCAGGTCTTCTTGTAGTAGCTGGTGGATAACTTGCTGACCAACATATGGAAGGCCCAACATAATCAATCCAAAGCAATTTGTGTCTTGTACAACAACACAATAACAACACAAAGTGTCTTGTACAACAACACAATAACAACACAAAGTGTCTTGTACAACAACACAATAACAACACAAAGTGTCTTGTACAACAACACTATAACAACACAAAGTGTCTTGTACAACAACGCAATAACAACACAAAGTGTCTTGTACAACAACGCAATAACAACACAAAGTGTCTTGTACAACAACGCAATAACAACACAAAGTGTCTTGTACAACAACGCAATAACAACACAAAGTGTCTTGTACAACAACACAATAACAACACAAAGTGTCTTGTACAACAACACAATAACAACACAAAGTGTCTTGTACAACAATGCAATGACAACACAAACTGGTTTGTTTCTCATCTTCATAAGAAAAAAAACTCTTCAATCCATGTGTCTCAGATTTTTACCAGAGTGCATGTAGCCCAACACTCAACTGATTCACAGCCCTGAAATGAACAGAAATCAGCTGTGTTAAAATCTTAAAAAAAACTTCTTCTTAATAAACAATAGGCCCAGAGTCATTAGTTTGACCCTGTAACATTTCGGAGTGAAATATATAACTGAAATTAGCATTAAAAATCCCAAGATTAAAACAAAGTATTCCTACAAATTTTTATAAGAAAAAATCCGACAGCAATACTATTTCAATGAATTGGACCATACCTGTCTCAATGTTCTCAGATTTTACATTGTGTACTAAATAATTAGTTGATGAAATTTCTTGTATAAGCTATTAGATTTTTTGTTTTGTTGCAGCAAAAAATTCCTTGTTTGTCCTATGAAACACCCTGCTGTCATGATGTCTATTGACGGAACCCATTCGACTATACAGATGGATGATGATGTAAGACCACAACCTGTGATTTAACTTTATTTGCTTTTGATGTCTATATACCCATGATTATATATACAGCAAATGAAAACATTTTGGATAAATCAAAATTTTAATCGTGAATATTGTCATGAATAAGTCACAATAGAAATTAATTTTTTAAAATTGTGTTTGATTTCAAACAAAAGAAAATATAACTGGAATTGTAAATGATTTGAGTTTGGAAATATTTTTCAAGACATGTTTTAAGTAATTGAATAAAGTCATCAATATTCCCAGCATGGTAATATCATTGTTAGGTTAGATTCTCTACCAATAAACACAAGCAGAGCTTAATTGTTCAAAATTGTTGAATGAAAATAAGATGGAAATTATTAAACATTTCAGTCCTGTTAATGAAATTTCGAAAAAATGTCAAATATTTACTGAAATAAGCTATTTGACCTATTAAGATGGACCTGTATTCGTATGTGTGAATAGTGAAAAAAAACATCATCTATCTATAAATAGAATGTATAGCATCAAACATTTTTAAGGGAAAATTCCTGTATATATATACTGTGAAATAATTAATTTTCATGGGTTTTATTTTTGTTAATTTCATGGCAATTTTTAACAACTAATTTATATGTCCATTAAGTATTAGAATGAATTCAAGCAGATTTATTGAGTTGTAATTTCAAGGGAAAATTCCTGTATATATACCGAGAATTAATTAATTTTCATGGTTGTATTTTTGTTCATCTCCTGGCTACTTTTAAACAACAAATTCATATGTCCATTCAGTATTAAAACTAATTTAAACAGATTTATCCAGCTGTATTGATCTATGGAATCAAGAATCCACAAAAAAGTATTTTTATGGAAAACCACAAAAATATCTGATCTTATAGCAGTTTTTGCACAGTTTTGTTTATACTTTGTTGTACTGAAAACTACCTTGTACTTGCTCTGTCTTATAGTGTGCTTCAGAAAACTACCTTGTACTTGCTCTGTCTTATAGTGTGCTTCAGAAAACTACCTTGTACTTGCTCTGTCTTATAGTGTGCTTCAGAAAACTACCTTGTACTTGCTCTGTCTTATAGTGTGTTTCAGAAAACTACCTTGTACTTGCTCTATATTATAGTGTGTTTCAGAAAACTACCTTGTACTTGCTCTATCTTATAGTGTGTTTCAGAAATTTGCCAAAAAAGTCTTTGATAAGGGCTTAAATAAATGTGTCCTGTACTCCAATTAGTGCATATACAGTATCTTAAATGATATTCTGTAGAATAAAATTCAACTGATATTTTAAGATTGTAAGCACATTTGTATCATAATACTAATTACAAAATATTGAATTGTTTTTCAGTCTGATCTGAATATTGTGGCAGCCTTTGACCGACGTGGAAAACATATTTACACAGGCAATGCCAAAGGACGGGTATGTGTGAAATAGAAAAAATTATCTGAAAAATTTTGTTATTAAAATTCAAAAATATGATTTTATATTTTCTTTCCAAAAATTCAGAAGTCAATGATAGGATTTTAATTTAGAAATACATTTAAGACTGATTTACAAAGTTATTATCATGTTTTGAAAAACTTTAGAATATGAACATTTTATTTAAAATGAAATAAAATAAATCTTATATACAAATTCCTTTGTACATAAAAAAGTATTTTTTGGGTATTTGAAGATTTTAACACTGTGGAAAATATGGAGTTACAATGGATACTACAAATGTTAAATTTGTTAGATTTGTCTTGTGCTGGTTTGAGTTTTATCATTACAATGTATCTTAATGTAAACAAAACAACTAAAAAATGAAACTTTAACAAGTTTAGAAAAGAATTAAGAATATATTTCTGTTTTTCAGGTGCTTGTTTTTCCAATTAAAGATCTCAGCAAGATGGTGGCTTCTTTCCGTGTAACAACAGGAACATTAAATACCACAGCCATCAAATCTATAGAGTTTGCCCGCAGGGGAGAGTGAGTATACAACAGCTGTCAAATCTATAGAGTTTTCTCGGAGTTGAGAGTGAGTATACAACAGCTGTCACATCTATAGAGTTTTCTCGGAGTTGAGAGTGAGTATACAACAGCTGTCACATCTATAGAGTTTTCTTGGAGTTGAGAGTGAGTATACAACAGCCATCAGATCTATAAAGTCTGCTCGGTCAGGGGACTGTGGAAAAAATTTATGACTTTTCCGAATTACAACTAAAAGTGTCCGAATAAAGTTGACAATATCAGTTTCTTGACGTTGAATACGGTTGAATGGAGTACAGGCTACAATAGCACAGTACACTGTGGTACAAACAGCGTAATTTAATTTATGATTTGAAATGTCAGATAGTTTTGTTTATTCATCCAAATAACAAAACATGTAATTACGATACCAATGATCTACATTTGTACTCACATCACTGACAAAGCACATATAGATTATATGTTTTACGGAATGAAATTAAAACGAAAATAAAACGAAAATAAAATTTGCTTTTGAAATGCTACTAGAAACAATGTATGAAGCTACAGATCATATTAACATGACTTAACTATGAATAAATTCTTTACCTGTTATAGAAAACATGGTACAAGCACTAGACTTGACAAATCACACACAGATATAGACTGTATCAATGAAAAATACTTTCAGCACTTCATTGTCAAAGCACTTAATCGAACACAATAGCCGGTCACAGTTCTCTCGCAAAATTTGTGGGGATAAGATTTCATCAAAACCCACGTACCGGTTTGACGTTTTCGTTTTTATTGTTCTTGAAGCTAAATATTTTCATGTCTTGTGTAAAGGTGCTATTTGTTTAACGTACAGGTAAGTCACTGCTACAGGATGGTGACACTAATTAAGAAGATATTTAAACTGGTAATTAATTACCATATACATGTGTCCAAAGGACCAATACACTGTAATTAGCCTTCTGTTATGCAGTGGTGACTTTCTACTCTGTGTATGTATTGACTGATTTCTTCAGAAGACGTGCCACTGCTTTGACAAAAATTAATTTTGAGACAAGGAATAACTTTTCCCTTTATTGAAGGGGCTGAAAAATCACTTCAACTCAAACAAAATTTTGACTCAATAGAATTCAAATCATGGTTCATCTGAACTAAAATTATATTTATTATTAAAAGATGGAAAAAAAATAGGGTGTTGGAAATTATTTCAACTAAAACGAAATTTTGATTTTGAGACAACAAGTTTCAACTGTATATAATATATAACTCCCTATTGTGCTTCTGTGAGGTGTAATTGAGTTTTTTCCAGGGATTGGAGTTATATACTGTGTACTGACTGTGGTAGTTTTTGTAGAAGATTGTTTTTAAAAGGTGACTAGCAATGTCCTCAGAAGATGTAAATTTTACCATATGACCACATTGTAGATGCGAAGTGGAGAGTAACAGTGTAAAAACATGAACATCAGCTGTTACCATATTAAGTGAAGTCTTGATTTGTAGATGTTTTCTAGTCAACTCTGCAGACCGTATCATCCGTGTCTATGAGAGTCGAGAGGTCCTGACTTTCGGAAAAGATGGAGAACCTGAACCAATACAGAAACTACAGGATCTTGTAAACAAGTAAGTTTTGTGTCTCATAAACAAGTAAATTTTGTGTCTCATAAACAAGTAAGTTTTGTGTCTCATAAACAAGTTTTGTGTCTCATAAACAAGTAAGTTTTGTGTCTCATAAACAAGTTTTGTGTCTCATAAACAAGTAAGTTTTGTGTCTCATAAACAAGTTTTGTGTCTCATAAACAAGTGTGTCTCATAAACAAGTTTTTTTGTGTCTCATAAACAAGTATAAACAAGTTTTTGTGTAAGTTTTGTGTCTCATAAACAAGTAAATTTTGTGTCTCATAAACAAGTTTTGTGTCTCATAAACAAGTTTTGTGTCTCATAAACAAGTAAGTTTTGTGTCTCATAAACAAGTTTTGTGTCTCATAAACAAGTAAGTTTTGTGTCTTATGAACAAGTAAGTTTTGAGTCTCATAAACAAGTTTTGAATCTCATAAACAAGTAAGTTTTGTGTCTTATGAACAAGTAAGTTTTGTGTCTCATAAACAAGTAAGTTTTGTGTCTCATAAACAAGTTTTGTGTCTCATAAACAAGTAAGTTTTGTGTCTCATAAACAAGTTTTGAGTCTCATAAACAAGTAAGTTTTGTGTCTTATGAACAAGTAAGTTTTGTGTCTCATAAACAAGTAAGTTTTGTGTCTCATAAACAAGTTTTGTGTCTCATAAACAAGTTTTGTGTCTCATAAACAAGTAAGTTTTGAGTCTCATAAACAAGTAAGTTTTGTGTCTTATGAACAAGTAAGTTTTGTGTCTCATAAACAAGTAAGTTTTGTGTCTCATAAACAAGTAAGGGTTTTGTCTCATAAACAAGAAAACAAGTTTTTTTGTGTCTCATAAACAAGTAAGTTTTTGTGTCTCATAAACAAGTAAGTTTTGTGTCTCATAAACAAGTAAGTTTTGTGTCTCATAAACAAGTAAGTTTTGTGTCTCATAAACAAGTAAGTTTTGTGTCTCATAAACAAGTAAGTTTTGTGTCTCATAAACAAGTAAGTTTTGTGTCTCATAAACAAGTTTAGAGTCTCATAAACAAGTAAGTTTTGTGTCTCATAAACAAGTAAGTTTTGTGTCTCATAAACAAGTAAGTTTTGTGTCTTGTGTTTTGTGTCTCATTTTGTGTCTCATAAACAAGTAAATTTTGTGTCTTATAAACAAGTAAATTTTGTGTCTCATAAACAAGTAAGTTTTGTGTCTTATGAACAAGTAAGTATTTTGTCTCATAAACAAGTAAGTTTTGTGTCTCATAAACAAGTAAGTTTTGTGTCTCATAAACAAGTTTTGTGTCTTATGAACAAGTAAGTTTTGTGTCTCATAAACAAGTAAGTTTTGTGTCTCATAAACAAGTTTTGTGTCTCATAAACAAGTAAGTTTTGTGTCTCATAAACAAGTAAGTTTTGTGTCTCATAAACAAGTAAGTTTTGTGTCTCATAAACAAGTTTTGTGTCTCATAAACAAGTTTTGTGTCTCATAAACAAGTAAGTTTTGTGTCTCATAAACAAGTTTTGCGTCTCATAAACAAGTAAGTTTTGTGTCTCATAAACAAGTAAGTTTTGTGTCTCATAAACAAGTTTTGCGTCTCATAAACAAGTAAGTTTTGTGTCTCATAAACAAGTTTTGTGTCTCATAAACAAGTTTTGTGTCTCATAAACAAGTTTTGTGTCTCATAAACAAGTTTTGAGTCTCATAAACAAGGAAGTTTTGTGTCTTATGAACAAGTAAGGGTTTTGTCTCATAAACAAGTTTTTTGTGTCTCATAAACAAGTTTTGAGTCTCATAAACAAGTAAGTTTTGTGTCTCATAAACAAGTAAGTTTTGTGTCTCATAAACAAGTAAGTTTTGTGTCTCATGAACAAGTTTTGAGTCTCATAAACAAGTAAGTTTTGTGTCTCATAAACAAGTAAGTTTTGTGTCTCATAAACAAGTAAGTTTTGTGTCTCATAAACAAGTTTTGTGTCTCATAAACAAGTAAGTTTTGTGTCTCATTTTTTGTGTCTCATAAACAAGTAAGTTTTGTGTCTCATAAACAAGTTTTTTGTGTCTCATAAACAAGTAAGTTTTGTGTCTCATAAACAAGTTTTGTGTCTCATAAACAAGTAAGATTTGAGTCTCATAAACAAGTAAGTTTTGTGTCTCATAAACAAGTTTTGTGTCTCATAAACAAGTAAGTTTTGTGTCTCATAAACAAGTAAGTTTTGTGTCTCATAAACAAGTAAGTTTTGTGTCTCATAAACAAGTAAGTTTTGTGTCTCAGTTTTGTCTCATAAACAAGTCTCAACAAGTATAAACAAGTAAGTTTTGTGTCTCATAAACAAGTAAGTTTTGTGTCTCATAAACAAGTAAGTTTTGTGTGTCTCATAAACAAGTTTTTGTGTCTTATGAACAAGTAAGTTTTGTGTCTCATAAACAAGTAAGTTTTGTGTCTCATAAACAAGTTTTGTGTCTTATGAACAAGTAAGTTTTGTGTCTCATAAACAAGTTTTGAGTCTCATAAACAAGTAAGTTTTGTGTCTTATGAACAAGTAAGTTTTGAGTCTCATAAACAAGTAAGTTTTGTGTCTCATAAACAAGTTTTGAGTCTCATAAACAAGTAAGTTTTGTGTCTTATGAACAAGTAAGTTTTGAGTCTCATAAACAAGTAAGTTTTGTGTCTTATGAACAAGTAAGTTTTGTGTCTCATAAACAAGTTTTGAGTCTCATAAACAAGTAAGTTTTGTGTCTCATAAACAAGTAAGTTTTTTGTCTCATAAACAAGTTTTGTGTCTCATAAACAAGTTTTTAGTCTTATGAACAAGTTTTTAGTCTTATGAACAAGTAAGTTTTAAGTCTCATAAACAAGTAAGTTTTGTGTCTCATAAACAAGTTTTGCGTCTCATAAACAAGTAAGTTTTGTGTCTCATAAACAAGTTTTGTGTCTCATAAACAAGTTTTTAGTCTTATGAACAAGTAAGTTTTAAGTCTCATAAACAAGTAAATTTCTTGTCTCATAACTGAGTCAAAGTTTGGTATTGATAAACTTTTGAGTCAAAGTTTGGTATTGATAAACTTTTCTGAGTCAAAGTTTGGTATTGATAAACTTTTCTGAGTCAGAGTTTGGTATTGATAAACTTTTCTGAGTCAAAGTTTGGTATTGATAAACTTTTCTGAGTCAAAGTTTGGTATTGATAAACTTTTCTGAGTCAAAGTTTGGTATTGATAAACTTTTCTGAGTCAAAGTTTAGTATTGATAAACTTTTCTGAGTCAGAGTTAGGTATTTGTAATATTGTCTGATTCAAGTTAGATATTTGGAAACGTTTTTGAGTCTGACTCCTTAAATGTTGTTACAGAACCTTATGGAAGAAATGCTGTTTCTCAGGCGATGGCGAATACATTGTGGCTGGATCAGCACGACAGCATTCTTTATACATATGGGAAAAAAGTGTAGGCAATCTTGTCAAAATTCTCCACGGAACAAAAGGCGAACTGCTTCTTGATGTGGTGGTATGCTATCTCTTTTAAATTCTTAATTTAAGTTTTTCTCATAGAAAACTTGTAATCAATTTCATAGTCACAAAAGAACTGGTATAGCCTAGTCTTTGCATTTTCTATTTGTTCCAAATTTAATTGTTTGATATGTTAAGCTGAGGGATATGTAGGACTAGTTTAACCCATATTCTGTTCCCATTTTTCCAAAATCTAAATACTTTGTCTTTTTATACGCCACCGGAGGCGGTCGTATATTGGCGTCATCTTCTCCGTCCGTCCGTCCGTACGTCCATTTCTTGTTAACGCAACTCCTAAAGTAATCATCAGATTTTCATGAAACTTGCTCAATGTCAATACTACAATGGATAGATGTGCATGAAGGGGCAATTTTTCGGTTCTTTGATTTTTGTAAGATTTATGCCATTTTCAACTTTGTATCTGTAGCTTGCTCATAGTGGAGCTTTGTGAACGCAACTCCTAAACTAATGATAAGATTTTCATAAAACTTGCTCATTGTTACTAATACAATGGTTCGATGTGCATGAAGGGGAGATTTTACGGTTCATTGATTTTTGCAAGATTTATGATACAGACATGTTAAAAGCGATAATTAAAAGGACCAATCTTGATCTTTATATCTTGTGTCACTGCGTATATTGTGTCCAAGGTACTCTTGTTTTTACTGTAAAATCACTTTTCTATCAGGGGTCTTTTTAGTTTTCCTTACAAATACTCTTTCTTGCATACTTCTTGAATACAAGAATATCAGGATTAAAAGTTTGTAAAATCAACAGATATAAAAACCATGCAAAAATAATGATTTTATTGTATAAGTAACATTAATTGTGATGTATTGTTTCAGTGGCATCCTGTGCGTCCTATCATTGCATCCATATCTAGTGGACTTGTGTCAATATGGGCTCAGAATCAAGTGGTAGGTATCAGACCAGCCTCTTCAATACTGACAGGTTTTCAACTCACTGTACGAAATTCTTATCTTTGTTTAAAATGTTAAATTTTTTTAACTTCACCACTAAATTGCATGCAGATGTCTCTTAAGTATGATGTATACTGTGCACTTTGTTCTCTATATATTAGAGGTTGAGGTTCCAAGACTGCCTGATGTATATAGGAGCAGGGTTTAGGATTTCCAAACTGACCTATTTACAATGTTTGATAGGATTCCTGAACTGTGATATATTTGAGAACTGGGCTTTGATTTCCGAAGTGTCATATTTATATTTACAATGTTTGATGGGATTCCTGAACTGTAATATATTTGAGAACTGGGCTTTGATTTCTGAAGTGTCATATTTATATTTACAATGTTTGATGGGGTTTCTGGACTGTGATATATTTGAGAGTTTGACTTTGAATTCTGCAGTGTCTTGGTCATTTACAATGCTTGATGGTGTTTCAAGACTGTCTGATATATTTGAGAGCTTGGGTTTGATTTTTGGCTTGTTAAATACAGCAATATGGGAAAGGGTTTCCTGACCTTCTCGACGGCCTGATATATTTTGGAGCAGGGTTGTGAATTCCAAACTATCTGATAAAGATGTGCTTTAAATCCCCCACCCACCAAAATTTAGCTGATATCTTTAATCACTTTTTGGTGCTGTTTTCCGCATGATATCTTTTGAAGGACTGGTAGGATTTTAATGAAACTTGGGTTGGTACACTTGTTGCCTCAATCCCTTGCCCAAGTTTAGTTTATGGTGAATTCTGTGCATATTTAATGAGGCTGCTGTGACCTGATTGACTGATTTCATTAGTCACTCTATGGGAAATCTTTCTGCATATTATCTTATGAAGGAATGATCAGATTTTTAGGAAACTTGCTTTGTAGTCTTATTACCTTAATTGCTTGTTCAGGTTCGATTATCAGCAAATTCTGTGCATTTTTTATGGGACTGCTTTAACCTGATTGGCTGATATCTTTTCCAGTTTCCATATTGCTCAATTTAAATGTATATATTTTACAAATGAACATTGGCAGGGGATCTTGATCTTGAGGTTTTGGGACTGTATTTGGTGATTTAGAGATGGGATTGATTTTCTCAAGACTAATAGGTTAATTGATTCTATTAAATGCCATACTGAATGTTTACACTGAATGTCATTAAGGAAAACTGGAGCGCCTTCGCCCCTGATTTTAAGGAACTTGATGAGAATGTTGAGTATGAAGAGAGAGAGTCAGAATTTGATATTGAAGATGAGGATAAAGAAAAGGAGGAAGCAAAAGGTAAGACTGGAAAAATGATAATAATGTTGTCACACAACTTCTGTATAGTGAATGATCATTTACTACGCTTACATTGTTTTTGTCTTTTATTTCATGAGTATGGTCACAGAATGAATATCTAAACATGCCAATATTTAAAATATTTTACAATATTTTCTTCAGGTTAGTTTACATATAAATGGTTTGTTCGGTGGGATTATTGTCACTCAAAAGCCAGGGTCCTTTTAAAGCAAGGTCTCCTTCTCCTGGTTACTTCATTGAACAACATATGGAAGGCCCATCACATGCCCCTCCCACTCTCTTATAACAAGCAGTTAGTGACTTTGTGTGGTGTCCCAATGACTACTCAGTCACATTTATCAGATAAATGACTAGTGCAACAAATGTGCATTGACATAACACTGACTTCTCTCTTACCATATACAGGTATGCTTTTACTGCCTGGAATTTCCTTGTCTCACCCAAAGGTCGACTGGGGGATGTTGCATTTATAACCCAGACTTTATGTGAACAATGCAAAGCATTGCGATAGTAACTTCATAATTGTAACAGGGTCATGACCTTTCACCCCGTTATGGTAAAATGGGGAACTCAATCCTAGGGAGGTGATGATTAATTTGCAAATACCTGGCATGCCTCATGATTGCTCTCTTCATAATCTCAATATAGTCAGATTGCCAGTTTTTACAATACACAAAGGGAAATGACTTAAAATGAGGTAATCCTTAATAATCACATTCCTCCAGTAAAACACCTACCCACCCCAGGACTCTGGGTTTTGTTCAGGGCTAATCCAGTAAAACACCTACCCACCCCAGGACTCTGGGTTTTGTTCAGGGCTAATCCAGTAAAACACCTACCCACCCCAGGACTCTGGGTTTTGTTCAGGGCTAATCCAGTAAAACACCTACCCACCCCAGGACTCTGGGTTTTGTTCAGGGCTAATCCAGTAAAACACCTACCCACCCCAGGACTCTGGGTTTTGTTCAGGGCTAATCCAGTAAAACACCTACCCACCCCAGGACTCTGGGTTTTGTTCAGGGCTAATCCAGTAAAACACCTACCCACCCCAGGACTCTGGATTTTGTTCAGGGCTAATCCAGTAAAACACCTACCCACCCCAGGACTCTGGGTTTTGTTCAGGGCTAATCCAGTAAAACACCTTCCCACCCCAGGACTCTGGGTTTTGTTCAGGGCTATTCCAGTAAAACACCTACCCACCCCAGGACTCTGGGTTTTGTTCAGGGCTAATCCAGTAAAACACCTACCCACCCCAGGACTCTGGGTTTTGTTTAGGACTAATCCAGTAAAACACCTACCCACCCCAGGACTCTGGGTTTTGTTCAGGGCTAATCCAGTAAAACACCTTCCCACCCCAGGACTCCAGGTTTTGTTTAGGACTAATCCAGTAAACCATGTATCCCCCCATTGGACTCCTGGGTTTGTTAAGGGCTAATCCAGTAAACCATGTATCCCCCCATTGGACTCCTGGGTTTGTTAAGGGCTAATCCAGTAAACCATGTATCCCCCCATTGGACTCCTGGGTTTGTTAAGGGCTAATCCAGTAAACCATGTATCCCCCCATTGGACTCCTGGGTTTGTTTAGGACTAATCCAGTAAACCATGTATCCCCCCATTGGACTCCTGGGTTTGTTAAGGGCTAATTCAGTAAACCATGTATCCCCTCATTGGACTCCTGGGTTTGTTTAGGGCTAATCCAGTAAACCATGTATCCCCCCATTGGACTCCTGGGTTTGTTTAGGGCTAATCCAGTAAACCATGTATCCCCCCATTGGACTCCTGGGTTTGTTTAGGGCTAATCCAGTAAACCATGTATCCCCCCATTGGACTCCTGGGTTTGTTTAGGGCTAATCCAGTAAACCATGTATCCCCCCATTGGACTCCTGGGTTTGTTTAGAGGTACCAGGCCACAAAATGCCAATCAAACATATATCTTACCCTAGAAAGTTAGTTTAGCGGTACAGCCCATAGGATCTAAACTGACAATCCTAACCATGAATAAAGATGATTTATTTAGTAGTCCTGGGGTCAGCAAGATGTTTGACAGGAATAGACCTGCCTATAAAGATGTCTGATTGTTTGTAAGCTTTTGATACTAAGTTTTCTATGGATGAGGGAGACGTAGAAATACTTAAAAAAAATTTTTGATAGCCTAACACATTGGTACATCTCACTGTCCTATCAAGCTTTTGTCACTTCATTTTAATGCATTCCATTCATTCTTTGAAAAGTTGGTGTAATTATTTTCAAAAACAAGATCAAACCATATTATGATGTATGCTGTGTGAATTTTTTTCGGGTTTTCTAAATTTTAAAATTTGTGTAACAAGTTGTCTTTGTCGTACCAGGGCCTGATGAAGAGGACATTGAAGTCGACGTCACCACTATAGAACCGATACAAGTGTTTGTTAGCAGGTAAATTACCACTACAGAACATATACAAGTGTTTGTTAACAGGTAAATCACCACTACAGAACATAGACAAATGTTTGTTAACAGGTTAATCACCGCTATAGAACCCATACAAGTGTTTGTTAACAGGTAAATCGCCAATACAGAACCCATACAAGTATTTGTTAACAGGTAAATCACCACTACAAAACCCATACAAGTGTTTGTTAACAGGTAAATCACCACTACAGAACCCATACAAGTATTTGTTAACAGGTAAATTACCACTACAGAACCCATACAAGTGTTTGTTAACAGGTAAATCACCACTACAGAACCCATACAAGTGTTTGTTAACAGGTAAATCACCACTACAGAATATATACAAGTGTTTGTTAACAGATAATTACCACTACAGAACCCATACAAGTATTTGTTAACAGGTAAATCACCACTACAGAACCCATACAAGTGTTTGTTAACAGGTAAATTACCACTACAGAACCCATACAAGTATTTGTTAACAGGTAAATTACCACTACAGAACCCATACAAGTGTTTGTTAACAGGTAAATCACCACTACAGAACCCATACAAGTATTTGTTAACAGGTAAATCACCACTACAGAACATAGACAAATGTTTGTTAACAGATAATTACCACTACAGAACCCATACAAGTGTTTGTTAACAGGTAAATTACCACTACAGAACCCATACAAGTATTTGTTAACAGGTAAATCACCACTACAAAACCCATACAAGTGTTTGTTAACAGGTAAATCACCACTACAGAATATATACAAGTGTTTGTTAACAGGTAAATTACCACTACAGAACCCATACAAGTGTTTGTTAACAGGTAAATCACCACTACAGAACATATACAAGTGTTTGTTAACAGGTAAATTACCACTACAGAACCCATACAAGTGTTTGTTAACAGGTAAATTACCACTACAGAACCCATACAAGTATTTGTTAACAGGTAAATCACCACTACAGAATATATACAAGTGTTTGTTAACAGGTAAATTACCACTACAGAACCCATACAAGTGTTTGTTAACAGGTAAATTACCACTACAGAACCCATACAAGTATTTGTTAACAGGTAAATCACCACTACAAAACCCATACAAGTATTTGTTAACAGGTAAATCACCACTACAAAACCCATACAAGTGTTTGTTAACAGGTAAATCACCACTACAGAACCCATACAAGTGTTTGTTAACAGGTAAATTACCACTACAGAACCCATACAAGTATTTGTTAACAGGTAAATCACCACTACAAAACCCATACAAGTATTTGTTAACAGGTAAATCACCACTACAAAACCCATACAAGTGTTTGTTAACAGGTAAATCACCACTACAGAATATATACAAGTGTTTGTTAACAGGTAAATCACCACTACATAACCCATGCAAGTGTTTGTTAACAGGTAAATCACCACTACAGAACCCATACAAGTGTTTGTTAACAGGTAAATCACCACTACAGAACCCATACAAGTATTTGTTAACAGGTAAATCACCACTACAGAACATAGACAAGTGTTTGTTAACAGGTAAATTACCACTACAGAACCCATACAAGTATTTGTTAACAGGTTAATCACCACTACAGAACCTATACATGTGTTTGTTAACAGGTAAATCACCACTACAAAACCCATACAAGTGTTTGTTAACGTTCTAGGAAGGTATGAGGGGGTAAATATTCAGAGATCTCTATTGTTCTAGGAAGGTAGAGGGGGTAAATATTCAGAGATCTCTATTGTTCTAGGAAGGTAGAGGGGGTAAATATTCAGAGATCTCTATTGTTCTAGGAAGGTAGAGGGGGTAAATATTCAGAGATCTCTAGTGTTCTAGGAACGTAGAGGGGGTAAATATTCAGAGATCTCTATTGTTCTAGGAAGGTAGAGGGGGTTAATATTCAGATATCTCTATTGTTCTAGGAAGGTAGAGGGGGTAAATATTCAGATATCTCTATTGTTCTAGGAAGGTAGAGGGGTAAATATTCAGAGATCTCTATTGTTCTAGGAAGGTAGAGGGGGTAAATATTCAGAGATCTCTATTGTTCTAGGAAGATAGAGGGGGTAAATATTCAGAGATCTCTATTGTTCTAGGAAGGTAGAGGGGGTAAATATTCAGAGATCTCTATTGTTCTAGGAAGGTAGAGGGGGTAAATATTCAGAGATCTAGGAAGGTAGATCTCTAGTGTTCTAGGAAGGTAGAGGGGTAAATATTCAGATATCTCTAGTGTTCTAGGAACGTAGAGGGGGTAAATATTCAGAGATCTCTATTGTTTTAGGAAGGTAGAGGGGGAAAATATTCAGAGATCTCTATTGTTCTAGGAAGGTAGAGGGGGTAAATATTCAGAGATCTCTATTGTTCTAGGAAGGTAGAGGGGGTAAATATTCAGATATCTCTATTGTTCTAGGAAGGTAGAGGGGGTAAATATTCAGAGATCTCTATTGTTCTAGGAAGGTAGAGGGGGTAAATATTCAGAGATCTCTATTGTTCTAGGAAGGTAGAGGGGGTAAATATTCAGAGATCTCTATTGTTCTAGGAAGGTAGAGGGGGTTAATATTCAGATATCTCTATTGTTCTAGGAAGATGGAAGGGGGTTAAATGTTCAGAGATCTCTAGTGTTCTAGGAACGTAGAGGGGTAAATATTCAGAGATCTCTATTGTTCTAGGAAGGTAGAGGGGGTAAATATTCAGAGATCTCTATTGTTCTAGGAAGGTAGAGGGGGTAAATATTCAGAGATCTCTATTGTTCTAGGAAGGTAGAGGGGGTAAATATTCAGAGATCTCTATTGTTCTAGGAAGGTAGAGGGGGTAAATATTCAGATATCTCTATTGTTCTAGGAAGGTAGAGGGGGTAAATATTCAGAGATCTCTATTGTTCTAGGAAGGTAGAGGGGGTAAATATTCAGAGATCTCTATTGTTCTAGGAAGGTAGAGGGGGTAAATATTCAGAGATCTCTATTGTTCTAGGAAGGTAGAGGGGGTAAATATTCAGAGATCTCTATTGTTCTAGGAAGGTAGAGGGGGTAAATATTCAGAGATCTCTATTGTTCTAGGAAGGTAGAGGGGTAAATATTCAGATATCTCTATTGTTCTAGGAAGGTAGAGGGGGTAAATATTCAGAGATCTCTATTGTTCTAGGAAGGTAGAGGGGGTAAATATTCAGAGATCTCTATTGTTCTAGGAACGTAGAGGGGGTAAATATACAATGAAGGTTTTACAAAAAAAATGAACTCCCTCATTTTCAAAACTATTATGTAATGTTATCAGCACATAATTTGGGAGGGGTTTCCCGAACCAAAGGAGTGGTCAAGCTGGATATTAGAATTCTACTGTGAATATCAGCATAGCATAGAAACAAATGGAATTGTATAAGAAAAACACTTACAATCAATGACAAAATCATATTTTTACTGTCATGTCCCTTAAATATCACCAGGGATTTGATATCATTATATTTGTTGTAGTTAAGGGTAGCAGGAAATTAACATACCTAGCAAATATTATCTCTGTGATTCTCAGAAAATTTATTGTTTGTCAGGTATACAACATGTATGAAAATTTAATCCCCCATAACCGAATATTTATGTTTATGAAACCATCACAAGACAAAATCGTTCATTCATTTCTTGTCAACTCCAGATTTTAGAAGAGCCTCCACCAGCGGAGAAGAAACGCCTTGCCCCAGCTTCCGATCATGCACCATCACCAAAGAAAAAGAAATTCAAATCTGTAGATGTAGATCTCCCTAATGCTCCAATGGATGGTAAGTTTGGAGAAATCTAATCAAAATATTGGGCTTTATCTACAATACTTGACTAGAAACTTGAGTCAGTTCAATCATACTTTTTGATCATGCGTTCAGCGTTTTGAAAAAGAAAAAAGTCCTTCTTGCATATTTATCATAGTCATGGTAACGCTTGGTCAGAGGTGAAGGTCATGTTAATTACTGTAAATCACTTCCATTTCACTTGGGATTTATTTTCATATTAAAAGAATTAATCACTATTTCAAATTCCTGATATCCTTGCTGATGTGTCACTGATACTTGAGTCTGTATGTCTAATAACCCATTATTCTTGAATTTAAAGTCATTTCTAGATCACTGTTCATGAAATCATGAATTCGTGAACATGTCTGAGGAGGCAATTTCACAAAATAATGTATTCACGAAATCTAAGTGATTTACAGCACTGTATGAAAAGTCAAGATCAACCAGACAGCTTTTGTTTATCACTTTGAACAGTTGGACCAAAGCTGTTTGTTTATGAAATTCAAATGGACCTATTAATCTTGAAATTCATTCTGTCTAGCCTTGACAATGTTTATGAAATTCAAATGGACCTTTTAAACTTGAAATTCATTCTGTCTAGCCTTGACAATGTTTATGAAATTCAAATGGACCTTTTAAACTTGAAATTCATTCTGTCTTTGACAATGTTTATGAAATTCAAATGGACCTTTTAAACTTGAAATTCATTCTGTCTAGCCTTGACAATGTTTATGAAATTCAAATGGACCTTTTAAACTTGAAATTCATTCTGTCTAGCCTTGACAATGTTTATGAAATTCAAATGGACCTTTTAAACTTGAAATTCATTCTGTCTAGCCTTGACAATGTTTATGAAATTCAAATGGACCTATTAATCTTGAAATTCATTCTGTCTAGCATTGACAAACCTTACAAGGCCTGTATCAATTTTTGCAGAACCATTCTGTTTTTTGCCTGAAATATTACATTTATGTTGACGTACATGTTTTTCCTCCTTGGATTAAATCTCTGATTTCTTAACTGTTTTAGACGTCTGTTATTGTCAGTGTACTTTTAATCATTAATACAACAATGATATCGGGTAGCAAAGCATGTCCTTAACCTTTAACTGTCCATTTTAATTCTTTGTATCTTTCAGAAATACATCCCTTGTTGAATGTCAAAAAACCAAATGAAAAGAATGCAGGAAAGAAATCTCGTCCCAAGCAAAGACCTCCAAAAGAAAAATCTAAACACAAGGAGAAGTTAAAGGAAGATTTTGTAAGTATTTTTCATTTCTTTTTAAGATGTGCTTCAAAACTTCTATTCAACAAATATTTGCTGCATTTGAAAATTTTGATCTTGGTGCAACCATCTTGAAAATTCCTGGAGTGTGATGAAATTGCCTGGTATTTCATTCCTGTAAAAGGAGTAACTGACATCAGTTCTGGCCCTCTGACGTAAATTTTGTGAAATACAGGTTACCAGATCTTTCATAATTCCAGCAACACAGCAATTTTGCAGTAGTTTACTTTCTTGAATTCAAAACCACCGGATCAAAGTGCACAATCTTCCTAATCAGCAAGAAATTAGCTCATTTTCATGTCGATGATTTGGCCTAGACAGGAAGTATTTCAGTACTGCTTCAGTGACAGGGGTCAGTTAACGACTTCTCCATGGAACAGAACATCTGAAATTTCACTAACATTGCAATTTATTATAATTACGTCTCAACTAATTTACATATAAGATGTACAATATACATAAAATAGAAGGTTGGTTAAATGAGCCATTCAGTGATGAATTATTTGAGACAGATTAAAAATGAGACTTAATAAAAGTTAAATGCCTATTAAGACATACAGCTTCATCAAATGAAAGTTTGAATAGACTTGTATATAGCTGTTAACACTGTTATTGTGTTATTATAAACTGCACATCAGTTAGATTTTCTGGTATCATTATTTATAAAAAAAAAGAATTTAGAATCAATGTTTGTTGATCATGGTTTCGAATTTGCAATGATTAACTTCCCAAATACATCTTGAATCACCAATTTGATATGAATGAATTGTATGTGAAAGAATTCCCATATGATTATTCACATCCATCAGCTTAATTAGGTCAGTATATTGTAAAAAAAGCAATGCATTATATGCTAGGCTTTGTTAGACAAATCCTTAAAATTTAGTGACAAGATGGTGTGTCAAATACTGAAATAGATCACTGTGACCTCTTCTTGACCTTTGCTGAACATCTGAAATTCATGAAACCATTCTCATGCTCAAACCTTATGTCTTGTTTAAGTTAAAAATTAATAAATAATTTTGCAAAAAAAAAAAAATTTAATTTTGAAAGGACTTCAAGTCAAAGTTATATTCAATGTTTATATTTGACATTTGTATTATTTTATATGATTTATGTGAATTATAAAAAAGTTTGCTTGAGCACAAAATCTATGCTTGAGCATGAGAATGGTTTCATGAATACAGGCCCAGGTCTCTAGGGTGTATATCTTTTGTGAAAGTTATATGCTTTGACCTCACACTTTTGAGAGCTATTATGTCCAATAATTTGTGGGATTATACAATGAATAAAAAAGTTTCTAGCATTAATTGTGTTAATGTTCAGTTCAACATCGACAGCACTTTTGTTTTACCTAACTAATGTCATAAATGTGTCGTGTGTCGTGAATTTCTTTCTTTTCTCAGTTAATTTCTATTCAACAATTCAGTGACACATATGTATAGATCAAACATATTTTTGAGATCAGAGAACTAGCTCGGCCTGATAACACCAACAACTGAAGTAAAAATTTAACTGAAGTGAAGTTTTACCTCAACTCCTTATAACTTGTATGTGTACTTGAGTTCAAACTCGACTCCTGTTTACACTCAGATGTTGGTAGTATCTGGGCTTACACTGCTACAAGGTAAGTCTGTGTAATTTAACTTTGCTTTATCTTGTTTCAGTTCTGAGATGAAGATGTTGTGTGCTGGAAATATGTAGATAAGTACCAGTCATCGCCTATCGAACATGGACACAGCAGGTGGCCTTCAGGTCCAAATGATTCAGAAGAAACGGGCCCATTGAGGAAGGCAGCCAAACATACAACATCAGTGGTCTCGTGGAGAAGTTTTCACAGTCAAAGTCTATACCAAACTGTTCTTGCTTGCACTTGATTAGCTATGAATGTCATAGTTGTATAGCTGTTGTTCCATATGTACAGATACTGGTGTATATTTGTGTACATTTGATGTATGTAATATGCAAATCCAATAAATATTGTAAATATCAATTTTCTTTCTATATTTGGTAAATGTACATTCTTTTATTAGCCAAACACTAATGTTACCCTGCATTCGTCCATCTGTTACCCTTCCTCAAACAATTTTTGTTACCATTACATCTTGTGACATTCTAGATGGATCTTTCTCAAATTTCATATGTAGGTTTCCCTCATTCCCTAGTGTTGCGGTTTGATTTTGGAGCCAATCAGAAAAAAATGGCTGACAGGCAGCCATCTTGGATTTTGACAATAAAATTTTATCTCTATTCTTGGGAAGTACTGGATGGGTCTTACTCAGATTTTATGTGAAGGTTCCCTTTGGTCAATAGTTGTACCCTGTTGATTTTAGGACTGATCAGAAAAACAAAATGGCTGACAGGCAGTCATCTTGGATTTTGACAATGAAATTTTATCTCTATTCTTGGGAAACACTAGATGGATTTCATGTATATGTTCCCTTTGGTCAATAGTTGTGCCCTGTTGATTTTAGGACTGATCAGAAAAACAAAATGGCAGACAGGCAGTCATCTTGAAGTTAAAGATCTTTATCAATTTGAGAGGAATTTCCAAATTGTGTATAATTATGAACAACAAGAGTATTGTGGAAACGAAACCGTATACACCTGTCCTATGCCCAAGAAATATTCGGGATTTGTTGCATCAAAAACCAATACATATATGCAAATGGCAATAATCAGTCATATTGTCAAGAAAGATATACATTTTACTGATAAATTGGGGGCACTTTCACCTAAGCAGTTGAACTTGTAAGAAAAAAGCCAGGTACAGATTGGGACCCAGGCTGGACTTTGTATAATTGGCATGTGAAGTTTGAGAGGTCAAGTCTTACCAGTACGAAACTAATTTGCTGAAAATCATTCGTTTTCGGAATTTCAGCATAAAAGTTAGAATGGGTGCACTCACATATTTCCAGGATCATTGTGCTATAATGTACGAGTGAAATGGATGGTATCCTAATTTCAGTTAATTGATTTATGCTTGAAAATTCCAAAGCAATGCATTTTCAACTTTACATATATGAAGTCCAACATCTGGCATAAGTGCATTTGCGTATAGTGGAATAATTCCAGAGCACCTGAACCGTTTCAACCGGGTTATGCAAAAGCAGCCAGGATGTGAGGAAAATTGAAAAGAATATCTAAACAAGATTAAAATGCCAAAAAGAACAAAGGGCAATAACTGTTGGAAATATTGTGGAATCTAAAAACTGTTAAAGAGGACACAATCTCAATTTGTAATTTTTATGCTTACTAAGTTTTGAGGAAATTGGTTAAAAGCTGGGAAAGGAAATATTTAGAAAAGATGAAAGTGCTAAAAAACAATGGGCAATAACTCACAAAATTGTAAAATCACTTTCCATTGAGGAATACACATTTTCATGAAATTGGTGAAAAGTGAGGGAGCAGATATCTATAGAAAATAAAACTGCAAAAAAAAAACCAGGCAATTAATCCTTACACAATTGTTGAATCAAACTTCTGCGTAGGAAAGCACCATTTCATGTCACAATGATTAAGCCTAATCCAAGGAAAAAAAAAAAGAGAGGTCTGTAGACAAGATTAATATCATGAAAACAACAAGGGGAAGTAACTCTTCCAAATGAACTGCTGTTCAGGAAAGCACAATGTCTTGGTGATTAAGCCTACCAAGTTTGAAAATGATCAGATGAAAACTGACGGATGAGATCTACACAGTTGTATTAAACTGCCATTTTACTTGAGAAAGCATAACTTGATGTCATGGTGACATAAGGGATATCTCCGTACAAATGAAAGTTTGATGGATGGACAACGCCCATACCACATATGTTGCATCATATAAAGAAGTGAAAGAAGTCAAAAGTGTTCAATTGTTTAGACACAATATGCTGCATGAAGGGTATTAGAATAGGTCACAATGAAATTTTATGATGATAAGGTAGAATCAAATGCTTTTCATAAATGGAAGCATTTTAAGGTGCTTAAATAACAAAAATGAGTTTCACATTTCTTCCTAGGGAGGAATATTTTTTTTAGACTTTACTGTAACTTTCATAGAAAAATTGTATTTTTAAGTATAACATTGGTTATTTCCCACTGGAAATAAATTTATAATAATTATCAGTAAAGAATGACAGTTTTGATGATATGCATGTATTGACACTGGCTTAGTATTCGGTGTCACAATTTCTGTCTCACGGCACTTGCTAACTACCCTTTAACCTTTATGTTCAATATTGTTTACCTCCGGTAACCGTCAAGCTAAGGGCACTAGACCTCTTGTTATAAATGTGTGTAAATTAACAACAATTATCAATCATTTGAGAACATTTATTACCGTACAATGTATAATCAGTAATGTGTTAAATTACATTCTGAGGACATTTACTACAAACACAAATGATTGTATAATACAGAGATCCATAGGTCTCCAGTAACAGTGTACATTACAACATAACATTTAACCTTGCGGAGAATATCAATTACATAGATTTAATAAAACATGAATATAGAAATCAAGAGACCAATTACACAGGATGAGACAAGCAGTACATAATAATGTGATCAGAATTTTAAATGGACATCACACAACATCTTATCTTCTTTTCATCATTTGTTTTGAAAAAATTGTCAACACAGCAGCAAGATAATGTCGTGCTAAATAAGCTATGGATAAAACAAAAGGGATAAAGGAATTACCTTAAAGATGGTCAAAGTTTTCGCCATTTACTTTCGAAACAATTAAAAACTTTGCGATTTAGATTTAAAAAGGACATTGAAAACACATCATTAATTCACAGATTTAGTTTTAGTGGTCACATGAATGTACCGTGAAAAAGCCAAAATGTTGTTCCCTGAAAATAAAAGGTTATACAGTATTGTATATAAACTTTTATCAAAATCTGAATTTTCAATATTATGTTGTACTGGTAAACAAGAAGAATGATCAAAGAGTGTAATTTGTCATGATATATGTATATATATAATCAATATGAATAAATTAAGTAGTACAAATATGGGCAACATTAAAATTTTGTAACAAGATAAATAATATTTCAGAAACGTCTCAACACATTGGTGCACAATTCTTTAACCGATATAAAGTCTTATTGAGACATTTTTTCAAAATCCTCTCGAATTCGGTTATGTATACATTTTGCATCTGATAAAGAAAACTCTGGATTTAATTAGTTTCTGATATGAAAAATTTTAATTGACAAAGGCAGCTACTCAACTAAATCAGCCATTGACAGAAAGTGCAGCGAAACAATATGGATCTACCAAATTATGTACCTTTTAAAAATCTCCTTTTCCTTCCAAAACCTCTAATTCAGAATCTGAAAAACAAGGCGAGTACTACATGCTCCCCGAAAATGTTTGGGGAGCTTAAAAAGGTTCCAAGAATTAATTCATACCACCTTCTCCAAGGGCAAGACACCATCTAAATTGTTATGGATAATGTGACGGGCTCTCTCATTATGTTCTGCAAGATAGCAACCACATTACTACAAGGAGATCCACCCTCAAAATGACTCTGGGCCTTCACAGAGCCATGAAACCAGTGAACACACTATCTCTCTGAATCCGAGATTAATGTCTTTAAATATTAACCAACAGAACTTTGAAGGACGAGTTAAAAAAAAAAAAAAAAAAATTAGATAAAACATACTCTATTCATCCTCAATAAAGCCCCCTCCCCAACTGTGAAGTTTAGTATAAATGTTTGGGTAGGGCTTATTTTTGTCAGTTAACTTTTAGTTACTATTCCACAATCAATACTCTTGAAAACTGAATAAGGGAGCTTATTTTTTGGATAGGGGCTAATTTGCAGATAAATACAGTAATAGGACATTAACTTTTTACTTCTCATGAAGATATTCTAATGGGATTATCAGTCATTCACTTTAAAATAAAGAAACCATGGTCCTCTGTTAGAAGTACAAAGAGCAAATTAATACAACATTTAAACTTTTATTTTGTATGAAAATTCCATTATGATTCTGATAACATCTAGAAAAATTATGCTATAGATCAATGAAGGTCTGAGACAAGACAGAACAACTGTCTTAGGAATACTGATGTATTATTTTTCTGATTTCTTGAAACTTTCTAAAATGAGAAGTTTACTGATTCCTAATAATTAAGTTTACCACACACCCCTCCCAATGTCCAACAAGATTGCATGCATCACAATAACACCCTTGATCATAAAGTAAATTGACTTTGTTGGTTTTTTTAAACAAAATGCCAAGACAGTTACATTCATGCCCTCTTCCGATTTTCCATGTTAATTTTTGATTCAAAATATATAATGACAGTGCCCGATTTTACGACTTAAACTAAATCTGAAGTGAAGAGAATCAGAAGTCCCTACTATAATCTGTGTAATGGATGTTCTTTCTGAAATTGAACAACAAATATAATACAAATTGATAAAAGACATGGATCATAATAAAAACAAATCAAATATTAAAATATAAATAGAGTACAGCAATTGTAAAACTACCGAACAATTACAAAATGGGAAAACTTAAAAGTAGCATAAATCAATAAATATTAAATCTAACAGTGAAAAAAAAATCCATTTGGATTTTCTCCCAAGTTTCTTAAATGTGAAAAAGCATTAATAGAGGTTAAAAGAGATCAAATGAAAAATAATTCGAGGATCATGATATCCTTTAGTCATGAAGGCGTCTTGCGAGACAAATTAATCTGTCAATAAGCCCATGCCTGCAGTTAGGCTGGTCAATTGCAGTTCAGTTATAATGATATAAGCTATTTCATTGTCCCTCCTGCAATAAATAATTTCTCTGTAGTTTGTGAAGAAAAGCTCTCTTTCCGAAAACAATCAAGTGACGTAAGCTCATTTCAGAGATGGAAACTCATCTGGCAGGAGTGCATGGATCCTACAGTTTGGGCAGGTGCTCTGTTCCTTAAACCATTTACGGATACACTGTAATTAAAGAAGGCAGTGTGGGATAAAAATAATCCAAAATAATATTCATTACAAAGTTACGAGCTGATAAATCCCATAAATCATTTTGTCTCTCCCCCGCTTTGTTTAAGGCGAATGTTATTATTAACATTATTATTAGCAGTGAAGGCAGGACACAACCAATAAAATCTTTAATTTTCCAGTATTTACCCAAACTAGACTTTCTACCAGAACAGTTTGAGGTGTCAAATTTCAAATTATCTGGAGACGCAATATCAGGACAGATTACTATTATTGATAAAAACAACAAGTGATCTATATTCTAAAACTTTATTTCATGTTTGTATGATCTTATGGACTTAACATTGTTTTTTTTAAATCTATTAGATACTGTTTCTGGCAAATTAAAAAACCAACATTCATGCCAAATCTGTATGTAATATTCTGTGAAAATACACATACATCACTGAAAATCCTCCCCTTCCAGGATTAACTGTTTGATCATCCTCGAAAGTCCTCTCATGCCTTTGATAAATATTTTTACTTTGAAGCAAGTCATCCAATGCATCAGATATATCTGAACATTCGAAGAAGCCTTTTCTTGCTTCAACTAATTTTTTAACAATGCAGAATACCTCCCATGCTGCAAGGAAATGTTAGAACATCCTAGGTAGTAGCCCTTCCATGTCTCAGGTAACCTTTGACCATCCTCAGCCATTATTTTAAGAACAATAATGACCCATCAGAATGTATTTTATTGTAATTGTCTATTAATTTCATACACCTTTAATGGCCATAACAACATTGTTTGCTATAAACACTGATACCCATTACACTAGAGCAGAAAATGTTTGATGCCATTACACTAGAGCAGAGAATGTTTGATGCCCATTACACTAGAGCAGAGAATGTTTGATGCCCATTACACTAGAGAAGAAAATGTTTGATGCCCATTACACAAGAGCAGAAAATGTTTGATGCCCATTACACTAGAGCAGAAAATGTTTGATGCTCATTAAACTAGAGCAGAGAATGTTTGATGCTCATTAAACAAGAGCAGAGAATGTTTGATGCCCATTACACTAGAGAAGAAAATGTTTGATGCCCATTACACTAGAGCAGAAAATGTTTGATGCCCATTACACTAGAGCAGAAAATGTTTGATGCTCATTAAACTAGAGCAGAGAATGTTTGATGCTCATTAAACTAGAGCAGAGAATGTTTGATGCCCATTACACTAGAGCAGAAAATGTTTGATGCTCATTAAACTAGAGCAGAGAATGTTTGATGCCCATTACACTAGAGAAGAAAATGTTTGATGCCCATTACACTAGAGCAGAAAATACTTGATGCCCATTACAATTGCAACTAGTAATAAGCCAATTACTTTGAAATGGCTATTTCTTTAATGGGAAAGTAATGGGTTTGGCCATTACTTCAAGAGACGTACAAAGAAATAGCTTTTTCATGACTGTAATCTGGCAGTAGTGTAGGAAACCCTCTTTCTCACAAGCCTGCCAACACTAACTGCAGTTGATATATATGATACCTAAATTTCAGTTTTCTCACAAGCCTGCCAACACTAACTGCAGTTGATATATATAATACCTAAATTTCAGTTTTCTCACAAGCCTGCCTACACTAATTGTAGGTGATATATATGATACCTAAATTTCAATTTTCTCACAAGCCTGCCAACACTAACTGCAGGTGATATATATGATACTTAAGTTTTCTCACAAGCCTGCCTATACCAGCTGCAGGTGATATATATATGTATGATACCTATATTTCAGATCTTTTTGACTTACAACTTCAAGAAAATTAGAGTATGTTTGTTATAATGGGTACCTCATCATGAAATCTATGACTACAGTCCAGTGTACGTGTAGTTGTAGGTGTCATCTCTTCATGGCAAATCACACAAGGATCCTCATCTTCTTCAAACACTTCATTTGCACCATCAGATGCTGAGAAGGCCCAGCTGGTTGCTAACCCAGGAGGTGGTGCAATTGGCTTTGGTGGTGTAGGTCTTTGTGATGATGCCTTTCAACAAAATTAGGAAAACTTTCAATATAGTTATCTTATCACATAACTGGCCTGTTGTGTCATGTCACAGATAGTAAAGACATCGTAAGTTGTGGCTTGATGATGTCGCATGATTGTCTCGCTAGTGAAAAACGTAATGACCATGTCCCATAAAGTCCTGTCTTGAGTTTTCTCTTACTTTTCAGAAATAAGGGTTAGATGATAAAGAGAATCTTACACTCTTACTAATGTAGTATGGAATTTACGAACTTGTAGAATAATTCAAAATTTGACAATCCCCATTAAAAAAATTCCACATCACATCGACATGAGTGTAAGAACTTCTAAAATGTTACATGCTAGGTCAGCATACTTTCCTGTAGTGATTTGTTAAAAGGTTAACAAAATAAATCGTTACATTTGAAAGTGCCTCTAACAACTCTGTAAACACTCTGACAACACTATATATATATTGTCCTGACAACACATCCAGTCATGAGAATATAGCAAAAAAAGCAATGAAAAAATTCTCTACCTGTGAGGAAGTATTTTGTTGTTGTCTTTGTTCATAAGTCTGAATGAGTTCAACAATCTGATTCACAATCTCATCCATTGTTGTCCCTGACAACGACCCTCCCTTGGCTTGCCTGAGCTCCTGGATCAGTCTTACAAACACTGGCCTGGAAGAAGTAGCACTAAGTTAAACAAGAGTTTCGCAAGTGTTACACGATCCGCTCGTCCTAAGTTTACCAACCATAATTGGATGAATTTCAGGCAGATAATTCCATTTAACTGTTATTAAGCAAGTTATTTTGCAGCAACTTTTCTGTAATAAACCTTCATATGAAGTTTCAAATTAATAAATGAAAAATTACTCAAGTTATTGAGGGGAAACCTATTTTGCAAATGTACCAAGGGCCATAACTCTGTAATTAATGGGCGAAAAATTTTGGTTATGGAACTTGACCTGGCTTTTATGGTAATAAACCTTCATGTGAAGTTTCAAATTCATCTGTAAACAAGAGGCCCAAGGGGCCTTAACGGTCACCTGAGGAATATATGTCAATAATCTGGGGATTTTAAAATATTGCAAAAATGTAACAACACTTGTGCAGGACCAAGTGTAAAACATCTGTATCAAGTTTGAACATGACCCACCCAATGGTTCTTGAGAGGAAGTCCATAATGTCTTAGCCAAACCGAGGCCAGGGTGGCCATCTTGGATTTTGAATCGCCCCAAAAAGTTAAAACACTTCCCAGGACCTTGTGTAGAACATTCGTATCAAGTTTCCCCTTCTCCCCCCTCCTGCATTCGCAAACTTTGTAGACCTTGCTATAAGGACCCTAAATATCAAATATGAATTTAATCTGACTGTTGGTTCATGAGAAGAAGATTTTTAAATATTTACCTAACTTTACCCCCTTTTCCCCCCTCCTGCGGCCCCTATTGGGCCCACATCCTTTTTCTTCGCACACTTGAAGCGGCTTCACATGGGGATGCTTTGTGCCAAGTTTGGTCAAAATCCATCCAATAGTTCTTGAGAAGAAGTCATTTAATGAAGGTTTTTACATATGGCCCCTTTTACACCCCTTATGGGCCCCAAAGGGGACATAATCACTTTTTTCAACATAATTTCATATGTGCTTCACTAAGGGATGCTTTTTACCAAATTGGTTGAAATCGGTCAAAGTTGAATTTTCAACCCTTTTGAGTGCCACCTTGTGGGGCCGTTTTCGACCCGATTTTTTTTTCATTCGCAAACTTTGTAGACTTTGCCATAAGGACCCTAAATATCAAATATGAATTTAATCTGACTGTTGGTTCATGAGAAGAAGATTTTTAAAGATTTACCTAATTTTACCCCTTTTTCCCCCTCCCGTGGCCCCTATTGGGGCCATGCCTTTTTTCTTTGCAAACTTGAAGCAGCTTCCCATGGGGATGCTTTGTGCCAAGTTTGGTCAAAATCCATTCAGTGATTCTTGAGAAGAAGTCGAATATGTGAAAAGTTAACGACGTACGACGACAGACAAATCATGATGGTAATAGGTCACCATGAGCCTTCGGCTCAGGCGACTTAAAAAATTACTCTAGTTATCGAACAGAAACTTATGTGCAGCCGCCTGCCCTTGGCCCACCCGCATGAAAACATAATACGTCCTGTCTTTCGATGGGCGTATAAAAAAGGCTTAAGGTTCAGGCAAAATTTTGATATTTGCTAAATATCCTCCCACACTCAGTAGGAGTTTTGAATTTGGTTTATTCGTGCAATAATGAATTTAGCCAAATCTCTCTAAAGACAGCATAGGCATATCTATATTTTGAGGACATAGGATTACAAAAGTATATCTATATCTTTCCTTTGTGACAAAGACAGAAACTTCTCAAACTCTGGTATAAGATTTTTGAGATTCAGCACCTGGCAAAGCTTGAGTACAACCTCAAAAAATCTGGTCCTTGAGTACAGTTTTTTCTCTACATCATATTAAAGTATCATATCCCATCATATTTGTATGCCAAACAAAGATCTGCAATAAACTTGTGTCTTTACATTGTGTAAAATATTTTGATAATAAATACGATTATTCAGCCATTGTCATGTGCAAAACATAGAGCATGTATATACAAATAAAAAAAATGTACCTGATGACCTCACATCTGTGTATCTATACTTATTAGCACTAACAACAAAATATTTCTGAGTCAACAACTTTTGTGCTTTAACATTTCTGGTCCAATCACCACTTACCTGTTATACTTGGGAACTGTTACTTGTAGTTTAGCTATGAGTTTCTCAAAGCTGTTCTGTTTCGGCTGCGTGACAGAAAGTCCTGGCCTAAGCGTAGGACGTGTTCCCACTGTAAGTGGAGGCCGTGGTCCTAAGGGACGGGGAGGAAGGAATCCTGGTGTCCTTGTGGGCGGTGCAAGGGGACGTGGCTGATGACTGCTGGGAGTAGCCAGGGGCTTCGGTGGCAAAGGTTTCTCAATTGACTTGGATTTGACAGCTCCTGGTTCCATAGTGTAATCATGGACAGATGGCATTGTAAATGATGACAGACTGTCTCCATCTGGTGAGTTGTCTCCCCCTGCTCTTATGCCCATCAACGACAGTGTTGAGCCTGATGTTGTATTTCCCTGTTAATTACGCACCATAACTTAATAATCTTCCAAACTCAATTTTACAACACTTCATGATTTTAATAGACAGCACTACAATAACGATATACATGCATGATTCTAAAGACAAAACATATCTATGAAATTGGATTCAGAAATTGTTAACGTTAATACTTTATAAGTTGTTGTATTACATTTGGTAAACATCTATTGATTCCAACTGATTTAAATTTTTTCTAAAATTTGGACAGTCATCAGTTTCGAAAGCAACACATCAAAACACAAATAATTGTTAAGAACTTGTCAAAACCACTAAAAAGTGAAATAAAATATTTTCAGTTCCCACTCAAACCTTAAAACTTTTTTAGAAATAGATTAATATGTAGCTCTTTTTTGTCATTCAATAGTAATGTTTTCTTTCCTCATTTTAAATACCTCATTATCTATTTGAAAAATCTGTCTAGTAGTCCCCCTTACCGACAGCTGTGGTGGTTGTAGGATAGGTGGAGCTGGGGGTGGAGGTGGAATATGGATCTCTGGTAAGTCTGACAGACACTGTCCATTCCTAATCTGCTGTATCTGCTCATCAAATTCACGCTGAAAAACAAAATTTCATAAAGTAATATCAACCAATAGCCAACATCTTTCCATCACTGTAATTAGAAAGAATGTTTATATAGATATGTACACTGAGGTTTGGATTTCATCATTATGGAAAAAGTAACTCAACAATTCTAGACTAAGATGAGAACACACAGTGGATAACTGTGACAGTGAAAAATTGGCATCAGTATTTCAAAAAAAAAATTAGTATGTATCAAATTGGAAAAGATATTAAAAACTTTGGACAAAATGGTTGTTAAGTTAGAAGTCTGGAATAGATAATCGTCAAAAACCGGGAAAAAAATCTGCACTATCATGCAAAATAGAGATTTTAACAGACACTACAGCAAAGAAAGACCTAATTAGCTTACCGTTAGTCTGACAATGGTATCCTCACACTTCGGAGTGATCTTCTTATAATGATCCATCACTTGCTGGAAATGTTTTGGAATTGTTTGGTGCTGGTCTGCCATTCTTTGAAAAGACAAACAGAATATTGACATTTTTTTTTCACCTATGGCACATTTCATTTCAAACATGTAATCATCCTGTTTAGTAACTGAAGAATCTTTCTTCATGAACTTGTAGCACTTAGAAGAAAAATACTGAAACCTCAGGGTGATTCCACACGAGTTTGGGAGGAACCTAAACTGAAGCCCAGTAAAGAACACATGTGAAAGTTTCATTATAATTCCTTACATGTTAACCCCATTCCTTTCCCAAAGCATGACAGGTCTTACAGGAACAAACCTTTAGGTATATTTGAATTGTTTTAGTAGCATTCCATATCTATTGAGGAGAGTAAGGAATGATAAAATGGTCAAATATGTCAGGTTTTGGTGGATCTCTCAACCTGCCTCCCATTCTGACCACTGATTCAGTATAGTTATGTCTGATAACTTATATAAAATATCAACAATATTGTATTCACGTCTAGAAATGATACTATTCATCTCCTTACTTCTGTATCATTGAGCCAAGCCGTCGTTGGTGGAAAACAGCTTCCTTCTTACTTCCTTCCAACATAGATACTGTAATCTGCTTTCTCAGCTTCAAAACCTCAATCTGGAACGACAGTTTTCAATGACAAATTAGTAAAATTTTCTTACAAAACCTACGGAAAAGAATTACCACAATAAAATCAAAAATTTGGTAACATAACATTAAGAAAAATGACAAAACCACATCTAAACAATATTTGGTTTTGATCAGTCATACGATCCATCCATTTCAATCTGAACACATTAGAGAAACTTCTTTAACGAAACATTTTCTATTTTATTTTAAGTCATATATAAAACACAAATTTTGAACATGTCATACATTCTTCACAGAATGTTTTTACAATTCTAATATTCAATTTGAATTACACTTAAAATTTTCTAAATTTCAACATTCTTTAAACATCATGTTACAACATTTTTCTAAATTCAATTATTTATTATAATTAATTAGAACCACACAAAAATTTTGAATTTCTATACTATTTTTGTAATTTCTATAGAACAATATGTTTAATTTAATGATGTATAAAATTAATTAATTTAATGATGTATAACCATTGAAAAACCTCAATACTGCTTGCCTTTTGATCGTTATTTAGTTTTTGTTATTCATTAACAAAGACGGAATCTGGACACAGTATATTTAGTATAACAGTGAAAAGCTTACCTCTGCACCACTAGCTCGAACTGAATCATGCTCGTGTGATTTCATTAACTTTCCAACCTTTGTTACAGCTTCTTCCTTCTCTGCTGAAATTTTCAGAATCTGTTCTCTATAACAAAAAACAATCATTAATTCTACAGAGCCAGGTAAAGATGACAAAGTAATGCTCATTGTTCACATATTAAGTATTGTCTAAGGGACGTAACTCTGGTAAATAGAAATAAAAGAAATCAAACGAAAGATCAAGAATTAAATCCTTCCCACCACTAAATAAAATTTTAAAAAGGCAATTTTTTTCAGTCTCAAAAACAATGCTTCATCTTCTAATTCTAATAATTTTATAAACTAGTATCACTTTTAAATGTACCATTTTAAAGAATGAAAGAACACTTTTCTCACTCTTTCAGTAATGCTACAGAACCTCTACAGGAAGTGTGCTCACAAAGCAGCTGGAAAGTCAATCAGCTAAACACGATATACTTTACAGAAATAGATATCAATTTAATAGGTTGTCTGAACAGACTACCTGTAATCATTATTAACATTTCTCTTGAAATTAATTGCTGTTGGTTAGTATATTAAAGCTGAACACAGAAATTTTATTTTACATCTAAAGTGGATGATACAAAGTACTTATAAGCAAACAATTCACAACTTGAAAAACTCACTTGTTCTCTTTATGAATTTTATCAGACAAGCCCATTTTCTTTTCAGCTTCTTCAAGTTTGCTCTGGTATCTGAAATAAACATTAGACTCTGCTTAATAACTGTAGGAAAGTCTGGCTACAAGAAAAACGATGTGTTGTAAATCTACATCCATGTGTGATATATATTCATAGCTGTTCAAAACTGAAAGTAACATTAGTTATCACACCTGTATGTATTGTATAGTTATCACATCTGTATGTATTGTATAGTAATCACATCTGTATGTGTTGTATAGTAATCACATCTGTATGTATTGTATAGCTATCACACCTGTATGTATTGTATAGTTATCACATCTGTATGTATTGTATTGTTATCACATCTGTATGTATTGTATAGTTATCACATCTGTATGTATTGTATAGTTATCACATCTGTAGGTATTGTATAGTTATCACACCTGTATGTATTGTATAGTTATCACACCTGTATGTATTGTATAGTTATCACATCTGTATGTAATATATAGTTATCACATCTGTATGTATTGTATAGCTATCACATCTGTATGTATTGTATAGCTATCACATCTGTATGTATTTTTAAGACATTCTATGTTATAATACAATTAATATGTCTTCAAAAATTGACTCTGAAATATATGAATTCTGATCAAAATTGAAGAAATCTCAGTTGACCCTAGCACGTTTTTTCCGGAGTACAGCATTTATATCATGACCAATATCAGGTTTTCCAATAGAAGTTCAACTAGCAACACTAGAAACTGGTCAAGATGGTGATTTTCATTCCTTACCAGAATTTCTGCATGGACATGACTGAGATCTGCTGTGGAATGGGGATATCTTCATTCAAGATTTGAGGAAAAAATGCCAAAGTATTTTAAATATATGCTATAACCAATTTCAGCAGTAAAAAAATCCAGCAAAACAAGGGCCATCAGAGACAGGTTATGTTCCCTGCCTGGGACAAAGTTTAAGTATGAAAGATAACATAGGGCAATAAGAGATTTATGATTCTTGTGCACTGCCCTCCTACTTGTTGAGACCAATCTACCTAGGACGTTTCATGTTGATACCTCTTACAGTTTAAGTGTAATGCTCCACACAAAATTTGAAGTATGAAAAAAAGCAAAGGGCAATAACTCCTAAATTATACAAAGGAGTGTAATGGTACTAGTGCACTGCAGTTCTCCTTGTTGTGATCTATCTCCATATGAAGATTTATGTTGATACCTCTAATAGTTTTCGAGTTTTGCTCCAGACAAAATCATGACACACAGACGGACAAACAGACAAAGCAACCACTACATGCTCTGACTTCGAGGAGCATTATTAAGGAGGCACGAGTAGGTACTAAGGGAAGCTGTTTCATTTCTATCCTGTAAATATCGAGGAATAATAATAATAAAGAATTGGTTAATGACAGATTACAAGGCCTATTTAAATATACTATTATCTGGTGATGGTGTCCCTATAAGCTTAGAACCTTATCCAAGTGCACTTGAGTAACAAATGAGATTTTTCGGGACTGCATGAAGTTACTGTATAGCCTGGTTATTTTCACAGGACATCATTTTCATTGTTTTGCGGATTGCAACAATTTACAATGTGAATTATTGAGACACCTGTCTATTAAATGTCCATTTCATCCAAATCAGGAAATTTTTATTCTTTAAAATTGCATCTTTTCAAATTGAAAAAATTTTCTGTGTGAAAATGAGGCAATGAGGCACCATATTTTTCTCCTTTCCATATCAACCACAGTTCTGATTTGTGCTTCCATTCATCTTGGGCAGATTCGACAAGTTTGACTCAAACATTTGCGATGTAGTTTTACCCACATACACAGAATTATAAACTCACTTGGCAATTTCCTCCTTGCTCTGACCCAACTTCTGCTGGAGATGACTCAACTCTCCAATCATTGCGTTAAATTTCTCCTCAAACATTTTCTGGTTCTTTTCAAATATTTCGCTCCTGTTGTTCAGGTCGATTTCCATGTTCTGTCAAAGCAATAAAGTGAGGTTTTGAATTCAGCAGGACAATACTTCTTTCTATCCTTATACAGTAAACAAAGAAATTCACATACACGGAACTGAAGTCATTTGGCCACAGAGATTTCCACCTTCATATTTCAGGAGAGTATTACATACAAATTAAAGTATACATTGAATATGTACAGATATATTGATTGCAAAAATACCCCCCACTCCCCCACGTCCTTTGTTGGAGTCATAAATCTACCACCCTAGAAATGACTGAGTACAGTAATGAAAAATACCATGGTAAATTCAATATTTTGAACACTCTTAGTACAAAATGATAACTTACTTTATAATCATGATTTCGCTGTTGCAGCAACACTGTTAGTTCCTGTAGTTGTTTTGTAGCAACCTGTAGCTCCCCCTGGAGATGATCTCTCTCTCCAAAGGCACGAATCAGGTCATTCTTAAAGGGCTCAAAAGGGTCAGTGAGCGTACTTGTTGTTTTTGTTTCTACTGAAGCTTGAACAGCTGCAGTAACTGTCACAGTACGTGTTGTAAAGGGTTGAAGGGTAGGTTTGGTGACAGGGCAGTTGTGAGACAGAGGTGGGGGCTGTGTAAATATGCTTGAAGATGGGGAACTGGTCTGACCCATACTAAAGGATTGGGGTGAGTAGGGTGCATATTGGGACAAAGATGGTGGCATCTCAATAGGTGGTGGGGGATAGGAGGAAAAAGACATGTTGGAGTTCTTGACAGAATCGTCACCAGTAGACCAAATACTGCTGGTTGTCACCGATGGAAAGCTAGTCATGTTCAATGAATAGTTTTTCTTTTTGTCATAATGATTTCTCTTATATTGATCCATCATAAATTTTTTGGTTTTCTCTGGAGGCAGGCACGTGTTCTTCTGTGCACTCATATGTTGCCATATATCTTGGCTGACATTCTCTATAGTCTTTGAACGATCATTCTCATGGATAAAGCCATTCATCACCAGTTCCTCCACTGTTTCATTTGCCAAGTCCTTCACAAATTTATTGTCCATTCGCTGACATTCTTTCTGTGTAGCTAAAGTGACTTCTTCCTTGAGTGTGTGACCTAAATGATTCCCAATGGGAGGAGGACGAATCAGTCCTGGTGATGCTGATGGTGAGACATCAGTGCGTCTAGGAACATTAGCCAGAGGTGACCCTATAGGCGCTGGTCTGTTTATGACAACAGAACCAGATGTACTGTCAATAGATGAGAGCACTGGAGATCCGATGGGGCCAAATCCTTGCTTCACAACAGGAGATCCTGATGGCAGCCAGGAACTTGGACCAGGTGACATACGAGGAGATGACACATCACTATGCGCACTATAAGTATTGGCCATTAATTCGGATACATCTGATTTATCAATGGAACTGAAACTTTTATACGACTTAGTCATTAGCTCTGATATATCGCTCACATCTGACCTGGAGCTGCTTCGACTCATCAGGTCCAGTTTGCTATCCAAACCTAGAACCTTACTAGGCAGTTCCTGTCGTTCCTCTAACCCCCTCCCCTCAAACAAGTCTCCGCGACTACTTACACTTTCCCGGTCTGATATACTGCTTTTCACACTCTCATTATCATTTTCCGATGCCCAGCGAAAGTCCTCACATGTATCCATAGAGTTTTTACCCTTTGGTCGTTTAAAAATATCAATATCGTCAATAGAATCAAGACTATCCAGAATATTAAATCTTGTTTCAGGTTTCGCATGTTTCACAGGACTACTTAAATTAAAATCATCCAATGAATCTATACCTCCACCTTTCTTATATGAGGTTGCCTTGTTTGGAAACAAACGCTCACTTGCAGTCTCATTCATTTTAACACCAAATTCATTTTCACTTTTAATTGCAAGGCTTATATCATCCGAGTTATTCCCTCTCTTGATATTCCATGCATTTTGTCTCTGTTTAGGTTCAAATTCTGTAGCATTTGGATTTAAAGTTTCATTCTTTCCCCCACTAAACACAGCGCTCTTTGATTTGTCACGAGCCAGAGAGATAGAACGTGCTTTACCAGCGTCCACCAACAGACACACAATCTTGTCGATCATAGCAAATTTCTTTGATTGCTGTAAAAACGAACTCAGTCCTCCAACTTTTGTTACACGTTCCTTTGCTTCCGGTGGGAAATCTTCAAACATGGAGGTTATTTTAGTATCCTCAATATGAAGTGGTCCATGAGCCCGCAGCAAATCTTCAAAGAACCTAAAACAAAAGCATGAATTTGTATATCATTATGTTATCCATGTAAACTATAGGTGAAAATAAGAATCTGAAAATGTATTTCAAGTTTGGTTTTGACAAAGATTTAAAGAGAAACAAGAGATCAGAGAGGGATCTTGGCGCCCACCATTTGAGGATCTGTTTTCAGTTCTTGAACATTTGTTTATTTTTTTTTGTTTGTTACAGGTGTTGTAAATGTTCATGAACTGGTCTTCATTGAATGTACTCAATGATGGCACAAGATATTTTTATTAAGGACTTATTAGCAAATATCATTTGAAAAAGATCCCAAAGTATTATTAGATAGCAGTCAGTTACAGGTGGATAATGGACAATATGCTTGTGCTGTATTACTGTCGACATCCAAGATGGCTGCCTGTGGGCCACCTTGATCTCAAATCAGTCCAAAAAAGGTACAATGCACAACTAGGGACCAAGGGAAACCAATATCTATGAAATATCATAAGGATCCATCCAGGACTTCCTCAGATATAGCAGTAACAAGATTTTACTCTCAAAATCCAAGATGGCTGCCTTTCAGCCATCTTGATTTCGGATCAGTCCAAAAAGGTATAATGCACAACTTGGAACCAAAGGGAACCTGCATATGAAATTTGAGAAAGATCCATCCAGTACTTTCCAAGAAATAGCAGTAACAAACTTTTACTTTCAAAATCCAAGATGGCTGCCTGTCGGCATCCTGTACAATGCACAACTAGGGACCAAGGGGAAACTGCATATGAAATTTGAGAAAGATCCATCCAGTACTCTCCAAGAAATAGCAGTAACAAACTTTTACTTCAAAAATCCAAGATGGCTGCCTGTCGGCCATCTTGAATTCGAATCAGTCCAAAAAAGGTACAATGCACAACTAGGGACCAAGGGGAAACTGCATATGAAATTTGAGAAAGATCCATCCAGTACTCTCCAAGAAATAGCAGTAACAAACTTTTACTTCCAAAATCCACGATGGCTGCCTGTCGGCCATTTTGAATTTGAATCAGTCCAAAAAAGGTACAATGCACAACTAGGGACCAAGGAGAAACTGCATATGAAATTTGAGTAAGATCCATTCAGTACTTTCCAAGAAATAGCAGTAACAAACTTTTACTTCCAAAATCCAAGATGGCTGCCTGTCGGCCATCTTGAATTGCATATGAAATCAGTCCAAAAAAGGTACAATGCACAACTAGGGACCAAGGGGAAACTGCATATGAAATTTGAGAAAAATCCATCCAGTACTTTTCCAGAAATAGCGGTAACAAACTTTTACTTCCAAAATCCAAGATGGCCGACAATGCGAATCAGTTCAAAAAAGGTACAATGCACAACTAGGGACCAAGGGGAACCTGCATATGAAATTTGAGAAAGATCCATCCAGTACTTTTCCAGAAATAGCGGTAACAAGAATTGTTTATGGACGGACGGATGCCTAGACGGACAGACGGACCACGGACCACGGACGCATGGCCATTTGAATAAGCCACCATCTATTAGATGGTGGGCTTATAAAGCTCAATACGCAGATGAATGAAAATCTTCAACACAGACCAATCAAATAATACAGTTCAAATCACAGTAATCTTCACGTGAAATTCTGAATCTGAGTTGTGTATTTGGATACTTATATGTAGAAATAAGTACATTCCAGTTTTTGTTGAAAACTTATGTACTTAACAAGAAATTATTCAATCTTAAAATAAACAAAAAAATTCAACACAGAACTATTGATTAACAAAGTCAAACTAATAGTCAAATTTGTTAAAATCTTCACTGCAAACAACATTGGTAGGAAACAGAAAAATATCATGTTGATACCGAATTGAACAACTTTGAGTTACACACAAATGTTGACACTGCTGTCTATGAATAAGTCACAATGAGAGAACCACAGGTAAATGTTAACTTACACAAAAAGGTTTTCTGTAATATCATCATAAGGAACGTCAAGCTTGTGGTAGGAGCGCTCAAAGGCAGTTACAGAGTTTTCCAGGTTGTTAGGTACAGAAAACGGTTCTCGGCCACCTCTGTAGATATTGTAACACAAAGACTCAACAAAAATGAAATGCAGATTGATCACTGACGTTGTATGTGTAACTAATGTTTGTCTGAACATGACAATAAATTTCAAAGTTTGGAAGTAATGGAAACGACGTGATTTACAGTAGTCACATCTTTTTTAATCAAATGATTTGATAAGTCCTTACAAACGTTTTGATTATACTGTAGCTAAGGTAAACACATTCAATGATACGGATGAACAAAGGTTGATGAAAGACTAATTTTCTTATGTGGAGATTTTACATAACCACAATTTTATAAATTTGGTTGAAAATGTTCTTCAGTAAAGACTTTATATTTGAACTATTCTGTCATTATGACCATGACCTGTATCACCGATAACCTTGACCCCTGACCTGTGTAACTCAAGACCTTGACCCCTGAACTACATAACTGATATACTAGACATCTAGCCTATATAACTGATAACACTATATTTGAACTATTCTGTCATTATGACCATGACCTGTCTCACTGATAACCTTGACCCCTGACCTATGTAACTCAAGACCTTGACCCCTGAACTACATAACTGATATACTAGACATCTAGCCTATATAACTGATAACCTTGACTTTCGATGTACTAGCAGCTGACTTTCCCCCCAACCAACAAAAACTATAATATTGACCCATGGACTATACTCAAGGGATAAAGAAACACAGGGTTACATTATTTGCAATATCTTGCAAGCGTTGATCAAAAACAATGAAAATCGGTCAAGAAACTTTCTAAGTTACCATGCATGTGGTCCTGAATCGAATGTTGCATTATTGTATTGCGTGACAATGTCTTCTGGGGAGAGCATGAAGCGGGGAATACCTCGTTGACATCAGTGTTGTGACGTTCAGTTACATTGCTTTTCATACCATTAGGTAGTCTTCATAGAGTCAGTTACATTGCTTTTCATACCATTAGGTAGTCTTCATAGAGACACATCATTTTTCTATTTTTTGATTAATTTAAACAATGGCACGGCTGACAAAAGTTCAGGGGTGTAAAGCCAATACAATGATTATGCACGGTCCAACGCAAATACAGGTTGCCAGATATTTTGGTGTCCATATTTTCACTATAAAACACCTAGTTAGATATCTGGCTTGGAATTATATGGAAATATTTCCACTGAGGCATATAAGTCGGGTCTTGTTTACTGATGTGTTTCAGTTAACCCTGTTTCTAGCTGACGTTCGATGTCATGTACTGATGTTGTGGAGAACATTTTGCTGACTGCTGCATAGTAGAGACGGACAGGCTTGGGGGTGGATCTGTTAAGGTGCGGGGAGGAATCTCACATTGAATTAAATTACCACTGGTTGTGGTAGCAGGTAATTTTACTGCTGCTCGGTATTGAGATGAGATCCTCTGACCCCATGTTGTCCAATTGTTGCGGCATAACAACCTCAAATTCCAGCAGGATAATGCTTGGCCCCATGTAGTGAGGAGCTTTCGCAACTTTCTCACTAACATCAATATCCATCCACTGGACTGGCCACTTTACAGCACCGACTTATCCTCTATTGACTACTCATGGGTTCAGGTTCTACGACGCCAGTCTCTCCCTGTTACTCTGGCCCACCTGAGAGCAGCTCTCTTGGAAGAATGGGCCAACATCCCAATGAGGAGGATAAACTCACTCATACTCCATGCCCAGGAGAGAGCGAATGCGGGACATACCCAGTATTGACTAGCCAGCTCCCATAATCAGTCCAATTCCATTTCAGATAACAAAGTTCTCTTTCAATTCCCTTCAATCACTCCTAAATCACTTACTAGTTACAAATCAATTGTTCTTTATGAATTTATCTTCATTCTTACTTAAAAATATTGAACATTATACTCAACATCTTGCCTAGAACCATATTCAAATATTACCCACTGTTTCTTTATCCCTTGAGTATATTCAACTGAAAACCTTGAACCCTGACATAACTGATAGCCTTGACCTCTGACCTTCTATGTTGAGCCTCCTCCTCCTGGTCAGCATTATGCTCTCCAAACAGCTGTTTCTCATGATCATCTGAGAAGTTAACTTCCAAGGAAAGCCGTGTAGGTTTTGTTCTCTCACGCTCCTTTTTCTTCTTCGGCTTTGCTTTCTTTGTAATCTGATGTACAGAAATGTACAGAAAGTAGGTAAAATCGGAACAAGAATTTACAGTACTGATGAGGCCAAGAATAAGGGGAAATTTAAGTTTGTAATCTGATGTACAGAAATGTACAGAATGTAGGTAAAATCTTAACAAGAATTTACAGTACTAATGAGGCCAAGAATAAGGGGAAACTTAACTTTGTAATCTGATGTACAGAAATGTACAGAATGTAGGTAAAATCTAAACAAGAATTTACAGTACTGATGAGGCCAAGAATAAGGGGAAACTTAACTTTGTAATCTGATGTACAGAAATGTACAGAAAGTAGGTGAAATCTGAACAAGAATTTACAGTACTGATGAGGCCAAGAATAAGGGGAAACTTAACTTTGTAATCTGATGTACAGAAATGTACAGAATGTAGGTAAAATCTTAACAAGGATTTACTGTACTAATTAGGCCAAGAATAAGGGGAAACTTAACTTTGTAATCTGATGTACAGAAATGTACAGAATGTAGGTAAAATCTAAACAAGAATTTACAGTACTGATGAGGCCAAGAATAAGGGGAAACTTAACTTTGTAATCTGATGTACAGAAATGTACAGAATGTAGGTAAAATCTAAACAAGAATTTACAGTACTGATGAGGCCAAGAATAAGGGGAAATTTAACTTTGTAATCTGATGTACAGAAATGTACAGAATGTAGGTAAAATCTAAACAAGAATTTACAGTACTGATGAGGCCAAGAATAAGGGGAAACTTAACTTTGTAATCTGATGTACAGAAATGTACAGAATGTAGGTAAAATCTAAACAAGGATTTACAGTACTAATGAGGCCAAGAATAAGGGGAAACTTTACTTTGTAATCTGATGTACAGAATGTAGGTAAAATCTAAACAAGGATTTACAGTACTAATGAGGCCAAGAATAAGGGGAAACTTTACTTTGTAATCTGATGTACAGAAATGTACAGAATGTAGGTAAAATCTAAACAAGAATTTACTGTACTAATGGAGGATACAGTACATAGCGTTACCTCATTCCTATTCAAGACTCCATAAAGAATTGAACTTGAACTCATGTGAAGGGTGATTGCACCATCCTTCCATAAAAACTAGACTTTCAAGGGAAAGCAATTCTTCCACACTACTTGTATGGTGAGACAAAAGAAAATAAATGGGATAAATCTAACAGTTTACATCAATATCAATAAAGACTTAATAAATGTTAACCTTGTATTTATCTAGATTGTTGTCTTCATCTCGGCGTAGCACTGCAGTTGGTTTTGGATTATTCTCTGCTTCTTCACTTTTACTTTCCTCTTTATCTATAGCCTCTAAAAATGTCAATAAAAATTGTGAATTAACACTGATCAAATCATATACCTGAATCACCCGCAGATACAAATGTCAATGTTTCAATTGGTTATCAGTTGTCCTAAATATAGCTAACTGTGTGGACACATGGCCGACATACACCACAGAACACAGATATAACCAGTTGACACCTAATATAACTAACTGTGCAGACACATGGCCGACGTACACCACAGAACACAGATATAACCAGTTGACACTTAAATATAGCTAACTGTGCTGACACATGGCTGACGTACACCACAGTACACAGATATAACCAGTTGACACTTAAATATAGCTAACAGTGCGGACACATGGCCGACGTACACCAGAGTATACAGATATAACCAGTTGATACCTAAATATAGTTAACTGTGCTGACACATGGCAGACGTACACCACAGTACACAGATATAACCAGTTGACACCTAAATATAGCTAACTGTGCTGACACATGGCAGACGTACACCAGAGTACACAGATATAACCAGTTGACACCTAAATATAGCTAACTGTGCAGACACATGGCCGACGTACACCACAGAACACAGATATAACCAGTTGACACCTAAATATAGCTAACTGTGCAGACACATGGCCGACGTACACCACAGAACACAGATATAACCAGTTGACACCTAAATATAGCTAACTGTGCTGACACATGGCTGACGTACACCACAGTACACAGATATAACCAGTTGACACCTAAATATAGCTAACTGTGCGGACACATGGCTGACGTACACCACAGTACACAGATTTAACCAGTTGACACCTAAATATAGCTAACTGTGCTGACATATGGTAAATGTACACCAAAGGATACACCAAGGTAAAAATGTGACTAGTCAGCAAGTCTGATGAGCAAAGTGAAATAAAAAAAGGACTTTTTAAAACCTGTCTAAATTGCAAAAGTGGTCTTAAAAGTGACACATACAATACATAAACACAGACTTCATTCGAGGAAAGTGCTCTAAATAATTGAAATATTTCACCGTACCTGCCCCAGCTGGTTTTGGTTTAACCTCTGTTTCCTTCGTTTTTCTGTCGCCTTCTAATATAGAATCAATATCCTCCATTAAATCATCTCTCTCCTCCTTTACTTCTCTTTTCCTCTTCCTCCTCAAATCTTTTCTCTCCATCTTACGCTTGATTTTATATTCACTGTAACGAAACAAACGGTTTGATAAATCTTATAAATAAGTAGAATAGACGTCAGAAGTAGGCACAACACGAAACAGTTCCGGTCCAATCTACGATTTATTCGTGCTGAGAGTTGTTAACATGTTTCGGATCCAATTGATGACGGATCGCTTGGATCCGAAACGTTTTTAACTATCAATCACAAATGTTTAAGGGCGTGTATATGCTAATATAAGTCAAAGAAAACCAACATCTTAGAATCACTTCAGCTCCTTGTAGAGTGTCACAACAGCTATCACTTCCCCTACACAAATTGGAGGAAGTAATGAAAGCTGTTTTACTATGAAGTCTTTACTTTCCACAACTATCAATATTTGGTCTGGGTGAGAAATTCTTTAAAATCCTGTAAACGGCACTATACCTGGATGCTGGTAGTTTTTTGGGAGGAATCCTTGGTTTCACTGGAGGTTTGTGAGGTTTGTCAGAATCAATCTGGAAATTTTCAAACAAACAGAATCACATATCTCTTTCATAGAATATAACTGTTTATTTCTGATATAATTGTCATTGAAGGATAAAAAAAATGTCAGCACTGGTCCATCATGGTCTCAGTCATTCAGTGCAGGGCTATTAACATAAAGAGTGTTTATTTGAACCATATAAGACCCCATTCCCTACTCAGATAAATTCATATTGAATCTAAACTCCCAAAATTTGCAATTTAATCCTTGAAAATTTCCCTCCATTGCATTGATTCTCTTCCCAGATTGAACTAAAAATGCCTCATTCCAAACCAGAGAAAAACAGCCTAGTGATGTATATTAAAATAGATATAGATGATAATATACATGGTATATCTATTCCTAGTCAAGTATGAGGGTTATTATCTTACATGTCTTCAAATAATTGCAAAATGAAAATATTTATGACTTTACATCAGTTTTGATGGAAAAGTGATTTCAGTATTTGCAAACTTTTTAAAGGCTTACCAAACTAAAAAGGAAAATTCTCATATTATCATACCTTTTGTATTTCTAAAACTTTGGGATATTTTTACCAGACCAAACAGATTTTCACCAGACATTTCAGGTGGTCAGAGAGAGTTTGGCACTCATTTCAATTTCTGATTAACTTGTCACTGTATACTACATTAAAGGAGCATGCCTACCTCCTTTGTTGTTTTGTCTTGCTTGAAAATAATGATTTTAATAATGACAGCCTGACATTGTGGAGTAGGACAGTTCTTGTCTAGCATCTCCTGAAATCAACAATGACAAATAATTGTCAAATAAGGACTCAAAAATATTAACAGGAATAATCCTAAACAGGCATGTCTTGAAATAATAGGATGTATCAGAAATACAGCATTAGAGACAAGGGAACTTATTTTTGTGTGCAATCAATTATCACATATTTGGTGGGCGATTATTATTTTGCTAACAAGAGTACCGCAAAGCGGAACAAAATACACCTGTGAATATCCAAAACAGCAAAGGGGCGTAATTCTTATTCAAATCATCTAATCAAAACCACGTTCAGGAAAACACAACTTCATATCATGGTGATTAAGCCTCCCAAGTTTCATAAAGATCGGCTGAAAAATGTAGGAGATCTCCGGACAAATAAAAGTTTACGACAGACGCCGGACAGACGGACAGCGACATACCACAATACATCCATCTTTTGACCGGCGTGTAAAAAGTAATCGCAGAGAAATAGTTTCAATCGCAGGTACAGTAGACTTTTCACATGTATACTCGTGCTTATGTTTCTAACCAACCAATGGAAGACTGTTGTATAATGAAAGATAATTTACACAAAGGAATAACACCACTTTATTTACTTACTTTAAAATGAAAGAGCCCTAAATACCTGGATTTATGACTGTAACATTGTAACAAAGCTGTTACACAATACTGAAAACACAAAATTAAGTCACTGCCAAAGGTGGTTTTCCAATTTTCCATTAAAATGTCTTCAAATAGAAATTTACCTTATCTGCAACACGATCCATGTCTCCAAATTGACATTTGTAAACCTTCCAGCATTGGGTGTGAAACTCGATTACACACTTGGAATCACAGCGGATCCGCACAAATCCCTGCAGACAAAAAAAACTAGGCTTGATTTAAACAACACAACAAATTTTGATGTATATCCTGACAGACATGGAAAAGTCAATACAGGTCTTAAGAACTGTCAAGTCTTCTCTTACTACAAAATATCCGAAAAGTCAGTTCTATTTCATTAATGAACAACTAACCCATTAAAACTGCTCTTCTACCAAATGGTTTCCCTACAAAAATCTTCATTCAACAAAACTCCAATTCTTAGTTGGATTTTATGCTCCGAGTGGAATTACTGTATCTACAAATTGTCACAAGAAAATTGGATTTTCTGGAAAGAAAACAAAATTGATCAACTTCTAGATCTCCAGTCCCCTAACTTCCAGATGTATTTTTTTTAACCTCCAAGAGTAATCTTTCAAACATCTAAGATTCTATTTTATGTATCAAGTTTGATATCTTTCTTTTTCAACCACTATCTAAGAATGCTTTTTAATTCAATCTATTTATTTGTCAGAAATATTTCTTGCTGCAATAAGATGTTTTACACAAGTATCACTTTGTTGACAAAATAATGTAGGATTATCTTACCCAATTTTTCTATTTTAAAAAAACTGCATAAGGAATGAAACACAAAATAAAAAACTTCATTATGATGCATCACAAATAAAGAAAGAAACAATTTTACCTTAAAGTCTGGATCCAAGAAGTAAATGACTGTCCGTTTGTCCTCATCATCACTATGGTAACGACAGCGTGCATCTGCTGGAGGTGGGTATTTACATCGCAATTTCAACTCCTCGATGCGTTTCTAGAAAAGAAAAATTTTTATCACCAGAATTTATTGAGAGAAGTTTTATTGGTGATAAATAATGAGCCAAAATTTTCTCATTCATAATCATAGCTTATAGAATGGACCAAATTTCTGTTATCAAACCACAATTGTGGAATTTCTTTTTGCACATTAAACTTTGGCTAGTTATTTTTTATTGTTCAAATTCTGTGGCTTTATCAAAATCTTTAAGCAAAAACAGTGCATCATTCAAGAAAATGTTAAGCAGTGTATGTTTTTCTACATTTATTACATTTTCTAAACATCTATTTTTTTGTGGTGTTATGGCAAAAACTTCGAGCCCTCTAATATAGCAACATTTACCAAGTCAGTAATTAGTAAAATAAAGTCTGATATTTTTTGTTAATACTGCCTAATTAGCTGCAAAATACTGCTCAGCTTGAAAGAGAACTTCTCTTTAGTGTGATAAATTGAGCATTTGACTAATAATCCAGAGGTTCCAGGTTTGAGTTTAAGCAGAGGTATTTCTGTAAATTGGTGCCCATGTAGGGCCTCAAGAATAATACTTAGCTATACCCAACAAATATAGATGTAACTCCTGGAATCTCCAGGACGAGATATTTCCTGGAGTGGAAGTATGAAACCCTGGTAATATATTGGTGGAAAAATATCACTCAGCTCGAGAGAACTTCTTTTTAGCTCAATTGGTTGGTTATGGGAATAGTATTCCAGAAGTCTCAGCTTAAACTCTTAGTAGAGGCATTGAAATAAATAATGACCTTTTATACCTTAGGATCTTTCAGGTCCCTATACAAGTGCCAATGCAGCCATAATTCCGTTGAGACACCTTCCATTGTTTTACCTTAAGAACGTTGTAGGTGTTCTCCTCAATCTTGTTCTTGGTGCCAGGCCAAGTGACATGTGTGAGTTTGGTATTATTAGTTATTTTCCAGGCATCAGTCAATGGCGCCTTCGCTTCGGAATATCTACAAAAAGTAAATGTCACATCGTTGTCAGCTATATATTTCCTAACCATCAACCCTTTTAATATGTTCCTGAAAATATCAACAAATCTATATAACATAACTGGCATGACCCCTGTAGATTTTGTGTTAGGACTGGCTGAGACATAAGACAGAATCTATTAGTCAGTGTTCAAAAAGTAATTATGATACTTAAAATATTTCCGTTTAACACTATATTCTTAACTGGCATAAACGTATGATACAAAGTTTTTACTCTCTTCAGATGAAATTCTATCCAGCTGAACTCTTTGTCTACTTATTTGTTTAACACAAATTGTCCATCAAAACCAGCTGGGAAACACTTTTGCCTATGAAAGGCTACTTAGGATATACAAGAACAAAGCTGGACAAGAATATTTTACAATCTACTGTAGCTAGATGTAGTGAATAACTGATATTGTGAGCCCTGGCTAAAAATGTACACATACCTGTTCAGAGCAACAAATGCTTTAGCTCTACCATAATGGGCAAGAGGGAACTTTGTCTCCTGATGGTTAGTAAGAATGTCCTCAAACTTCTCCATACCATCCATAATAAACTGCGGTCAAATAAGAGTAGAACCATTTAAATTAAAACTAGAACTTTCACCCGGATAGCCAAATAATACCCACTTCACCCGCTGCCCAATTAGTTTTAGAAGGGTCGTCTCAACAAGATTCCTCCAAGGCACCTCTTCATTTCGTCACCATGGCAACTAAGTGGCAGCCATTTTTTATCATTTTATTTCTCATCGCCCTAAACCTTTTTATATCAATTTTTTACTTAATCAGAATATATATTATTTTGACCAATCATAAGCCACAATGTGTTTCCATGGTAATGGTTTTGGAACACCTATGTCAAATCATAGGCTATAACTAGCTTTAGCAACTGATCAAGTTTAAACAAAATTAAAGAACCAATTAAAGGGCAAAGTCTTATGGCACTTTATTTGAAAACTTAAGTATAGTGATCTGGTTACCATAGCAACCAAATGACATCAGGTGTTTTTTACAAATGGTACCACTGTAAATGTCTTCCCCCAAATTCCTTATTCAAATTATTTCAATTTTCAGCACAACCAGACAATATCTTGATTTAGGCCAATCAGAAGCCTCCATCATGTTTCCATAGTAACAGTTCTAGAAACACCAGATGAGCCAAATTACAGGCATTGATAAGTTACACCATATGACCAAAATTGATCAAAGGATTGATAAGTTACGGAGAGTACATAAAAATCTCTTTTTAGTAACCTGGTTACCATGGCAACCCAAATTTCTTATAAAGGCAAATTTTTAGTTTAGGATAAGTTGTCTGGACAAAATTTTTCAAAGGACAGACAGACAGAAATGCTGCTTCCAGTATACTCTGCATGACTTTGTTGCAGGGGGGTATAATTAAAACAGTCAAATGAAAGTAGATCTTAAAGACACCAATTTAATCACTTTTTATGTCAGGTTAATCACCGACTTTTCCACAGATACCAAAGGAAAAGAACAACATACACCTACATATGACACTTCTGAAACAATTCTTTAAACATATTATGAAATCACCGAAATATTCTATGCTCTCTCCAGACTATAATATATCCTCTTAAAATGATTTAGTGTCATCATTCATCAATATTTATACATTTAAGTTCCCTCATGAATTTCTAACATTTGGGAGAAGGAAAACAGCATTTCATGTATTTCACAAGGCACCAACACAAAATTGTGCACTCACATCTTACAATATAAATACTTAATCCTCTGAGTGATTTTCTAACAGATACATATCAAAGGGGAACAACTCACCTTGTATATACCTGTAGACACAGCAGATTCCGCGTAAGCATACTTAAGAGCGACCACATCATGGATATCCATGTTAAAGTGCTGCAACAATAGTATGCACAAAAATTAATAACAATGCCTAGCTGCAGTCCTTGCAAATCATGATATAAACACACTGTTTGGAATCGATAATTTATTGAAAATTCTGTTTAGAAAAATTTGTGTCTAGTCAAAAAAAATTTTTTTTTTTTTTTTAAACTTTTTCAAAGAACATGGTTTCAACATTTATACATCTTTTGTTGTACCTTCAGTTTGTCTTTTTAAAATCTATATTCAAAAGGTAGGACATTTTTCAGTACCCTCCTTTTGCCCATTATTGCAGATTTCAATGTTTGAGATAAACATTTGTTAGCCATTTTGAAATATGATAAAACAGTTATATCAAAGTTTGTACTTTTAAGAAATCAAACATTTAAGTAATTGTTATACTTTGCAATAAGACCAGCAAGCAAACATACAATATCTAACTCTAAGTCTCAAGATGACAACAGGATAATGAGATAAATCAGGGAAATGTGGTGATAGCGTCTCTACTGAACACAATAAAACATGGATGGGTGAATCAACAGCTATAGGAAATTATTGGGTAAATATAATAGCAACTTCTTCTACATCTAAAATGTTATGATAAATTTACCTTTGGTCTGTACTGGGTTACAAGTTCTAGTGCTTTCTCATAATTCATAACTGCTTTTTTGGGAATGCCACGTGACGATGCATTGTTTCCGTCCTCTAGAAACTTCTGTAGTTCAAGGACTTCAGTTGCCTTGACAGGAACCTCAGGTTTTTTCTTAACGTTGGTCTTTTGCTGTACCTGAAATACCAAAAGTCTTCTTAACCAGGGGTCTCGAAAAGCAATAGTCATGAATGAGTGAAAGCTGATTTGGATTCTAGTTATGGACATTGATCATTCGCTGTACCTGCACCTATCAACATGGTTGTGAGAGCAGGTGAACAAACCCTTTTTATGTTAAATTTGCGAATCTAATTACTCAATACAGCATATAAGTATAGTTTGATACAAAACAATTACTAGCCATATAAGTCTTCTTTTTCCCCGTGTTTATATTTCATCTATCAAGGGTGTCTGATCCATTTTACTATTGGTACATACCTTTGGTGAAGTGTGTCCATTCCGTTTCACATCTGGTATCAACACTTCTTCTGGTCGAGGGAACTAATAGAGTAGACAGCAGTATTAACAACAAGGTGTTATAAGCTCTTACAGAACATTAAAAACATAAACAGTGCTGAGTTTGATAAAATATTTCTGTATAAGTCCGATAATTTCAGTCTTTTTGTGATAAAGACAGAAGACCTATACATGTCTGATAATTTCTGTCTTTGTGTGATTTTGATATCGGAAGTACTATACATGTCTGACAGTCCTGTATTTCTGTGATAAATTTTTTCACAGCAAAGCTATATACATATCAAATAATTTCAGTTTCATGTGATAAAATTTTTTCTATCTGAAGTCTTACACATGTCCCATATTTTTTGTCTTTGAGTGATGAAATTTTTTTTATACATGTCAGAAAACTTCTATCTACATGGCATAAAATTTTTCATTTTGACACCTTCTTTAGATTATCACTAAATGTCTATTGAGGAACAAAACACCGTGACAACAATTTTAATAAGCCTGAATATTCTACACAGTAATCTTATTTAAGCACAGAAAGTTTTGAGAATTGATCACAGTTTCAGTATGTCGTTTACATTGCATTATTGCGGATGCTCAATCTCATCATTGCCAAAAACGGATAATGCAAAAAATTTGTCTCCACTAAGTTGAGTACATTTCCAGCATATATACATTTTAAAAACAAAAACTGCCATCAAAGGGCTATAACTGAGATATTCTGTAATAAGTAGGAAATAAGCCCTGATTTTGTGTGTAGCTCACTCACAAGTACCATACTCATCAGAGTCTTGGTCAAAGTCTGGTATCAAACTCACACATATTCACAACAACAATCTGTTTACCATCTTGTCATACTAATATCAACCTTAGCGTACACAGGATTAAAGTGCAGATGAAAAAGTCGGTAGATTCCATACCATCTCATACACTACATATGGCAGTGCACAAGGGTCATTTGTCTGATGAAGGTGACTGTGTAGTCATCGAAACGTCACACTCTAATCTTCTAATGGTTGTGTTATAAGATGAAGGTGACCGTGTAGTCATCGAAACGTCACACTCTAATCTTCTAATGGTTGTGTTATAAGATGAAGGTGACCGTGTAGTCATCAAAACGTCACACTCTAATCTTCTACTGCTGTGTTATAAGATTAATGTGACTGTGTAGTCGTCGAAACGTCACACTCTAATCTTCTACTGGTTGTGTTATAAGATGAAGGTTACCGTGTAGTCATCGAAACATCACACTCTTATCTTCTACTGGTTGTGTTATAAGATGAAGGTGACCATGTAGTCATCGAAACATCACACTCTAATCTTCTACAGGTTGTGTTATAAGAAATTCTATTCTATATTTACACCAATTTAATAGAATTACTAACTACACTTTTCACACTATTCTCAATTAATCCTACTGCTGACTTTGAGTCAAGGAACTATCACAGGATAGCTATGATACAATTTGCTGTCTAAAGGAGATGAAACTTCAACAAGTTAGATACAATGGTTCAAAGTATTAACCTTCGATTTCACCATCACTACTTCCTCATCATCGTCATCATCATCGTCGTCGTCATCTACTAAATCTGGAGGATCCTGGAAAACAATAAAACACAGAATATATCATCAGAACAGATATGTTGGCAAGGTCTAGACTAATTACCAAGAGCCTACATCTTCAGTGTCAGAACATTCATTTACTACTGTACTTAGTTATCTCAAGAATGGGTTGTGTAGGTCCATGGGCCCAACATCCCCAGTGAAAATGGTGATGACCGGTGATGTAGTTTTTGAGATAATAAGCGGTATGCAATTGTGGACGGACGGACAGACAGACAGACAGACGCCGTGCATGATCGCAATACCCAAAACACCCTTTCGGGCTGTGGGGTAAAAATAGCATTATATATTTGGTAACATAACATGCAGTACTATTCAGCATTATATGTTGGTTTACCTCATCTGAGGAAGTATCTTCTGACATGTAGTCTGTCGGCAGCTGATCCAACTCCTCACTGGAAAGTCATAGTAACATGTTAAAGTGATGGTGTAAACAGTCGCATATCAAACAGGAATTATCATGTAAACAGTCGCATATCAAACAGGAAATATCACATAAACAGTCGCATATCAAACAGGAATTATCATGTAAACAGTCGCATATCAAACAGGAAATATCACATAAACAGTCGCATATCAAACAGGAAATATCATGTAAACAGTCGCATATCAAACAGGAAATATGTAAACAGTCGCATATCAAACAGGAAATATCATGTAAACAGTCACATGTCAAACAGGAAATATGTAAACAGTCGCATATCAAACAGGAAATATCATGTAAACAGTCGCATATCAAACAGGAAATATCATGTAAACAGTCGCATATCAAACAGGAAATATCATGTAAACAGTTGCATATCAAACAGGAAATATCATGTAAACAGTCGCATATCAAACAGGAAATATCATGTAAACAGTCGCATATCAAACAGGAAATATCACATAAACAGTCGCATATCAAACAGGAAATATCACATAAACAGTCGCATATCAAACAGGAAATATCATGTAAACAGTCGCATATCAAACAGGAAATATGGAAATATGTAAACAGTCGCATATCAAACAGGAAATATCATGTAAACAGTCGCATATCAAACAGGAAATATCATGTAAACAGTCGCATATCAAACAGGAAATATATGTAAACAGGAAATATGTAAACGCATATCAAACAGGAAATATCATGTAAACAGTCACATCTCAAACAGGAAATAAGTAAACAGTCGCATATCAAACAGGAAAATATCATGTCAAACAGGAAATATCATGTAAACAGTCATATCAAACAGCATATCAAACAGGAAATATCATGTAAACAGTCGCATATCAAACAGGAAATATCATGTAAACAGTCGCATATCAAACAGGAAATATCATGTAAACAGTCGCATATCAAACAGGAAATATCATGTAAACAGTCGCATATCAAACAGGAAATATCATGTAAACAGTCGCATATCAAACAGGAAATATCATGTAAACAGTCACGTATCAAACAGGAAATATGTAAACAGTCGCATATCAAACAGGAAATATCATGTAAACAGTCGCGTATCAAACAGGAAATATCATGTAAACAGTCATATATCAAACAGGAAATATCAGAATATGGGTAATGTCAAACACAACCAAGAGTTGGTATAGCGATATTTTTTAAACCACTACAACATATTTTGCAATGTTTCTAAGAGTTTTTAAATATTAACTTGAATACACCAATAACATTCATCATTAAAATGATTAAAATCAAATTTAATTTGTTTTTTCTTAGTCTGCATCATCTTAATTGTCGTTTCTATTAATATGTTTCTGACAAACTGCAGTAAAATATCAAATCTGGTGGGCATTGAAATAAATTAATTTGGTAGTTCACATACACTATTACTTTTCCAAAGTATTTTCAATGTACCAATGTGTTTTTTTTGGTAATCTAATAACATACATATTAACTTTTTTTTATTTATATCTATCTAAATGCATAATTCATATCTTCACTATACATTTATATCTTCACTATTCATTTGTATCTTTCTAAACTCTTAATTTATATCTCAATTCATAATTCATATTTAGACTCAAGAATACTTGAACATTAAGGAATCAGTTCATTCATATATTAATTGAAACTAGCAGGATTACTTTTCAACAGATTGGAATTCTAAATATTTTTTCCCAAACACCATAATAAATATTGAAATTTGAGTGGAATTTTGCATTACATTTACATCAAAAAATAATTCTATCCCACAATGTATTATTAAGGTCATGCACAACCAGAATTTTTCTAAGCCATTTTGAAAAAATTGCTGAATTAATAGAAACAGCAAAAATAGTATTACTGAGCTATACTTTTCCACAAAATAAGGTGTCCAAGAAACAGCATTTTGATCTGTTTTTTTTTTTTTTACAAAAATTGAGCATCACAAACTATGCATTTTTAAAGTATACAATCGAGAATGAAGTCTAACATCAGAACTTAATATTAAGGCAATGAAAGAGCAGACATTCCTAGACAAAAGACAATAGTGAAGTTCTTACTCCATGGCTTTAAAAGCTCGTGAGAGATTAATAATGCGCTTCTCTCCTGGAAGATTCCTGATCTGAGGAGGCAAGTTTGCCTCATCTTCATCACCAAAGGCATTTTCCTCCAAAACTTTTCGGAGTTTCTCATCAGTCAATTTCTTTTCCTTCTCCTGTCGAAAATCTTTGCCCTGAAGCTCCAGGTCACGTATATTACTGTCGGAGGCCTGTTTGTTATTTTTACAAATTTCCAGACCCTTTTTGTTTATGGTTATAGCTTGGTCCAGTCTTCCAAGCTCATTAAAAGCTTGAGCAAATCTGTAGTGTCCCTGCAAACAAAAATAAACTTAAAAAATAAAGCTTCAAATCTTATTAAGATTACTACAAGTTCCTATGTTACAATTAGTATTTTATTATTTGCATACTTTACCTGTAGCATTGATTGTTTTAGCTGTTATACCAAAATCTTTTGCCAAATGTGTTATTTTCTCAAAATTAAGCAAATTCCAGGAATATTTTCCCCAACTTTGCAGGAAACCCTGCTATATTCTTTCAATTTATGAGTACACAGGCTACTGTAAACCCACTGTGATGAGTCTCTCAACAGAAACTAATTGGAAAAAAAAATCATCCGCATCACAAACCGAACAAATTCTTGCTCCATGAATGATAAATTTCTTAGAGGAACTTCTACATTTTGACAATACTACCAAGGTTCTTTGAAATCCCATGCAACCAAACACCCAAGTCACCCCACTGCAGGGATGAGTTAGGGTGAGGATGGGTGGAGTGGGCATTAATGAGGCCATATACTTCGACCTTAGACCTTACACCCCTCTGCAACAAGAGTGCTGTGGACACAATATACGCCGCCACAAAATATAAAGATCCACTAAGAGAAAGCTACAGATACAAAGTTGAAAATGGCATAAATCTTATAAAAAATCAAGGAACCAAAAAATCTACCCATTGTAGTAAAGACATTGAGCAAGTTTCATGAAAATCTGATGATTATTTTAGGAGGAGTTGCATTCGCAAGGCTCCACTATGAGCAAGCTACAAAGTCGAAAATGGCATAAATCTTACAAAAATCAACGAACAACAAAATTGCCCATTCATGCACATCTACCCATTGTAGTAGTGACATTGAGCAAGTTTCGTGAAAATCTGATGATTAGTTTAGGAGAAGCTGCGTTCACAAATGAACGGACGGACGGACAGACAGACGGAGAAGATGACGCCAATATACGACCGCCTCCAGAGGCGTATAAAAAAGGTTGAATGAAATCTTATTGATGAATCCACAGGAAAGGAAAAGCTACCTTTGGCCAGTCAGGTTTAAGTGTAACAGCTCTTCTACCATCAGCCAATGCATCCCTAAAAAATACAAGACACAGAGGTACCATTAACAAATGATTCACTGGAGAATAATACACGGAAAATTCGATCTCAGGAAAATTTCTAGCAAAGAAATATATAGTTTTTAACCTATCTAACTTATTAATACACCAAAAAAATACATAAAGTAGTTATATAGACAATAAGCAAATGTTCACTTAAAGCATATCATTAATATCCAATACTGATTGTTTGTTTTAGGTAGCTATTCACATCAAGTGTCCGGCTTCAAGATATCGAACAAATTACATGTTTTATAATACATATGTTTAAGACTTCCTTGTCCCTCACCTGAACTTTTTCAGTCGATTGTAGGTCTGAGCTCGGTTACCAAAAAAGATGTGGTTGAAAGGGCTGAAAAAGGAACACAAACCTATGATTTTCTTTGAAGGCTATTCGAAATATACATATTTTGGAACGGGACTAGGATTTTCAAAACAGGTGACCCCATCCCATTATCTGGGCTGCAATTTGTGACTAAAGGGGATGATTTGACTTAGTTTTGACAACTCCTACTAAGGGTAATTTCTATGTCAGAAAAAGTTGTGAAACTGATCTTTCTCTGCTGTGCACTTATGAGGACACTTTACCCAAATTTCTTTAGGATTAACTCCTTTATGTTGCTCCATGAGATAGCCACTGGCTACTTCTAGAGTCTGCCTCAAATGACCACATTGGTTTAAAGTGATAAATCCAGTGAACAAACAAAATATTTTGGGGTGGTTGAGTGGCACAGTGGTAACGCACTCGCCTTTCACCTAGCCGACGTGAAAAGGTAAGGGGTCACCTGCCCGACCACATGGGTTTCCCCCAGGTACTCCGGTTTCCTCCCACACAATAAGACCCCTCGCACGCTTACATCCGTGCCAACAAGAGTGATTAGTATAAGTTGACATAACTTGTTTTGCAATTGTTGTAAAATAAATAAAGTTTATATATATTGAATTAAACATTTCAAATCTTGATTATCACTAGAATCACTGGTAGTAAGGAGAACATCCACATCGTAATTTGTAACTACAGCACATTTCCAGGTATTTGGAGAAATCTTTATAACAACAGAGATATCATCACAGTTTAAGAGAACAAAATATTTCATGATACTTATGATGAGTCTAAGATAATACAACTGAAATGACAGCCTATGAGACCTGTCCCTACAACTCACTCTGCTTTAGCGGCCTTAGTGTAGTAGTCAATAGCCGTCTCAAACTTTCCATGTTGGTATTGCTCGTTACCAGCATCCTTGAACTTCATTGGGTCAGTCCCATCCTGAAATGATTAAAATTCTCATAATTCTTTTCATGTAAATAATATAATTCCAATATAATGAAATGTTGCCTTCATGTTAGTTATATCATATGTATGAATATAGGTATTTGTACAACACAACTACTATCTAGAAAGGAATAGTTGAGGCTGATTTTGGCACCCAAATTCATCAAGATTCAAAACCTTTAAAAAGTCACTGAAATATCTGTCTGTAATTTTCAATACTTTCTTTATACAGTTACAAAAAGTTATTTGTGACATTTTGGTACCTACACACCGACAACTTAATCAGGCAAAATCTATGGATTATGATGATGAGAAATTTTATTATCACACTTTTCATGCTGAACATATTGTACTAAAACCTGACTGCTCTAATTGCAGTTTCTGTAGTTGGTTAACGTCACAATATCTGTGGATGTGATCACAGTATCTGTTGATGTGAACACAATATCTGTGGATGTGAACACAATATCTGTGGATGTGATCACAGCATATGTTGATGTGATCACAGCATATGTTGATGTGAACAAAATATCTGTGGATGTGATCACAATATCTGTTGATGTGATCTCAATATCTGTTGATGTGATCACAGTATCTGTGGATGTGATCACAGTATCTGTGGATGTGATCACAGTATATGTTGATGTGAACACAATATCTGTGGATGTGATCGCAGTACCTGTGGATGTGATCACAATATCTGTTGATGTGATCACAGTATCTGTGGATGTGATCACAATATCTGTGGATGTGATCGCAGTACCTGTGGATGTGATCACAATATCTGTTGATGTGATCACAGTATCTGTGGATGTGATCACAGTATCTGTGGATGTGATCACAATATCTGTGGATGTGATCACAGTATCTGTGGATGTGATCACAATATCTGTTGATGTGACCACAGTATCTGTGGATGTGACCACAGTATCTGTGGATGTGATCACAGTATCTGATGATGTGATCTCAATATCTGTTGATGTCTGTTGATGTGACCACAATATCTGTTGATGTGATCACAGTATCTGTGGATGTGATCACAGTATCTGTGGATTTGATCACAATATCTGTTGATGTGATCACAGTATCTGTGGATGTGATCACAGTATCTGTGGATGTGATCACAGTACCTGTGGATGTGACCACAATATCTGTTGATTGATAACAGTATCTGTGGATGTGATCACAGTATCTGTGGATTTGATCACAATATCTGTTGATGTGACCACAGTATCTGTAGATGTGATCACAATATCTGTGGATGTGATCACAGTATCTGTGGATGTGACCACAGTATCTTTCGATGTGACCATAATATCTGTTGATGTGATTGCAATGACTAAAGACGTGCTCGTTGATCCAAAAAAGATCTAAATTTACCAAATGAAGTGACTTTAATACAGCCATCACACATCTAATATCTTGTGAAATCAACTAAACATGAAATAAAATGAAAATGATTACAAACCCTGGAGTGAATATTTTTTTTAATCTCTTCTGAGAAATCTTTTGATTCCTTGGCCAAGCACATCACCACCATTTCATCTGAATGTAACAAATAAAAGTGTGAACAAAAAATAGTATTAGTTAAAACATTAATCCATTCATTTCATACTGTTTTAGTGCAAATTTAGTTAAAGTGTAAAACCCTTATAATTCAGTTCTCATTAAAAGCAGATTACATTTCAATTTCAACCAATCAGAACCCTCCATACATGGTTCTGGAAACACTTGATGTGTCAAATTATACGTTTTTATCAATCATGCCATTGACCAACTTTCATTAAATTGATCAAAGGGTAGGCAAGCTATAGACGATTACATACAAACCTGTGTATAGCAACCTAGTCACTAGAAAGTTTCATTTTAAGAGATTTATTACGGAGAAATATTATTGTACATCATTTTATGTACAGGAGGTCTTGTTTGATATACCTTATTGACAAAAAGAAATGAATTATTTATCATGTATTGGTTATTGTTGTGCACCTCGATATCTAATTAAATTTGGGTGGTCGGGTGGCGCAGTGGTAATGCACTCGCCTTTCACCTAGTCGACCAGGGCTCCATTCCAGGAACGGACGTGAAAAGGTAAGGGGTCACCTGCCCAACCATGTGGGTTTTCCCCGGGTACTCCTGTTTCCTCCCACAATAAGACCCCTCGTGCGCTTACATCCGGGCCAACAAGAGTGATTAGTATAAGTTGACATAACTTGTTTCACAATTGTTGTAAAATAAATAAAGTTTATATAAACTGAATTAAACATTTCAAATCTTGATTATCACTAGAACCACTGGTAGTAAGGAGAACATCCACATCGTAATTTGTAACTACAGTATTTCCAGGTACTTGGAGAAAGCTTTATAACAACAGAGATATCATTACAGTGTGTGACACTTACATAGCTTGGCGACATACAGAACAGCACATTTAGCTTCCTTCTCTCTCATTTTACTAGGTGGCACTTTTAAAGCTCTAACCCTGAAAAAGCAATTGATATTGTATTTAATAGTAAATCATTCAATCACATGATTATTCCCGTACAAGATTTACAGTACTTGACCCAAAGACTCCAAAATTATTATTATTATTATTCCATTTTTAACAGCCCATCAACACAAAAAAGTTCCTTAGGGCCATCAAACGGTAAACTCCAAAATAAATCACTTCTATCCACGGCTTATCAGTCGTTTGTCCTGGGTTTAGTTTTCTGTATACTGCAGACTTCTTCTAAGCAAATCATCAAAAAGGGTCATCAAAGAGGGGTTATGCTCCCCGTATGGAACAAAAATTAAGTATGAAAAAGGCAATAACTTCTATATTATGCAAAAGAGAGTTATGGTTCCTTTGCACTTCTTAATGCGATCTATCTACCTATAGATGTTTATGTTAATACCCCTTATATAGTTTTTGTGTTATATTCCTGACAGACAAAGTGGCAACTATATGCCTTCCCTTCGAGAAGAATAATTAAATCTATGGGTGGTAGCCCTCAACAAAACCAGGAACCTGGGACTGGAGTTGATGTTTTACTGAATATTAAAACAACAAATTCATTGACTAACTAGTTATTGATATTCCTGACCAATAACATTTCAGCTCACAAATATCAATGATCAATACAAATATCAATTCAAACTTACTAAAGTTTGATGATGAGGTCTGAACAGGATAAACAGATACTGTTTGTGTCACTTACTGTTTGATGTCACTAAACAGATACTACTACAATACTGTTTGATGATGAGGTCATATCTCTCTGTTTGATGATGAGGTCATATCTCTCTGCACTTGATAAACAGATACTGTTTGTGTCACTTACTAAAGTTTGATGATGAGGTCTGAACAGGATAAACAGATACTGTTTGTGTCACTTACTAAAGTTTGATGATGAGGTCATATCTCTCTGCACTTGATAAACAGATACTGTTTGTGTCACTTACTAAAGTTTGATGATGAGGACGTATCTGTACAAAATAAACAGATACTGTTTGTGAAACTTACCAGAGTTTGATGATGAGGTCATATCTCTCTGCACTTGATAAACAGATACTACATGAAAGAGCTTCTGATTTCTTGTTGTCTATCTCACTTATAACCTCAAGAATCTGCATCAGGAAATTCTTCTTCCTCTGTAACAGTAGCATGTTTACATTTGCATATGATTATTACAAACTCTCCTTTCTGCTTCTGGAATTTTTTTCTTTTCAAACATACCTAATTTGGGAATGTGACATTACTTACTTGGATTTACCAATATTTACGTAGCAGGTGTTGTCGATATAGCAGAAGACACTTACTTTCAAAAATACCAGGTACCTTTACAGGGTCCTAGTGTAAATCTTTCTTTTGTTCATATTTTGCCTTAATTTCCTTGAATTTGGATTATGATTATGTTGACATGTTGGTATTTCTAGATGTTTATGTTACAAGCAACATCACTCATTATTCCAGAATCATTCTTAAGATATGAAGATACTACAGAAATTCTATTAGTAATATTTGTAAAAGGAAAATTCTATCAGTAATATTTTGGAAAAGGGCAAGCTTAGAGAGTGTTAGTGACATAATTTCAACACTACCTACCAATTTTTTTATCATGAACGCTGTAACAGCCTCCACCAAATCTGCTATTGCCCATTCCTCCCAGTCAAGGCTGGAAAGTTCAATTTCTCTGTAAAAGATATCAACAAGAGCTACAGTACTCAAAAGTCTCTTAGAAACTAAAATATGCATTGGATTTGACACACTGATTCCAACCTTGAATGTATGACAAAGAAACCTCAACCTTCAGTGACAAATGGTACAATCTGAGGGGACGAAGCGATTCCTGAAAGTAAAACCTGAGGGGGTGAAGGGATTCCTGAAAGTAAAACCTGAGGGGGTGAAGGGATTCCTGAAAGTACAACCTGAGGGGACGAAGGGCTTCCTGAAAGTACAACCTGAGGGGGCCCAGGGCTTCCTGAAAGTACAACCTGAGGGGGTGAAGGGATTCCTGAAAGTAAAACCTGAGGGGGTGAAGGGATTCCTGAAAGTACAACCTGAGGGGGTGAAGGGATTCCTGAAAGTACAACCTGAGGGGGACGAAGGACTTCCTGAAAGTACAACCTGAGGGTGCAAAGTGCTTCCTTAAAGTACAACCTGAGGGTGCAATGGGCTTCCAGAAAGTACAACCTGAGGGGGCCAAGGGTTTCCTTAAAAACCAACCTGAGGGGGCCAAGGGCTTCCTGAAAGTACAACCTGAGTGTGCAAAGGGCTTCCTGAAAGTGCAACCTGAGGGGACGAAGGGCTTCCTGAAAGAACAACCTGAGGGGGCCAAGGGCTTCCTGAAGGTACAACCTAAGGGTGCAATAGGCTTCCTGAAAGTACAACCTGAGGGTGCAAAGGGCTTCCTGAAAGTACAACCTGAGGGGGCAAAGGGATTCCTGAAAGTACAACCTGAGGGTGCAAAGGGATTCCTGAAAGTACCACCCGATACCTTTACGTTAACTATTTGCAACATGTATAAGGTTGACCCTCCTAAGTAATCATAACTCTGATGTGTGTAATTAGGAAACTTTATTTTCAGATTTTCTATCCTGATCAAAACTGGGAAAGCCCTTGTGTGGTGTTACAAAGACTTTCTTTTTCTCTCTCTGTACTTTTACTAACACAATTTGTTTGGTGTGTTAGAAACCAACCTTTTTTTGTATTTGATCAGTCCTGAGCTCCTGACCAGTTCCATCCATGATGCAGGAACTATATTATTAACTGCAAACAGGAAGGGTCCCATGGCAAATATCCGAATATTGCTTTCCTGTTTCTCTAGAAACTTGGCACTCTTCCTCAACCAAATGTCAGCATAATCATCTGTGGGGTAAAACGATAAAGGTTCATCCGACATTATGTTATATTCACCATTGACTAACCTTACCATTGTCTGTTGTGTATTACTATGATATGAACTGCCATCAGCATAGGAGTATTGTAAATAACACAAACAAATTAAGGTCGGCTTTCCTTTTAACAAGATGAAAATTGAAAGAGATAAATTAAGTTTGTATACCTGCACGTTGTTGTAAACCACTTATTTTTAGTGGCAACTAACTTGTACGAATTAGGCATTTTAGAACAAGTGTGTGGTGATTTATTTAATTTCATGAAACAGACTATATTTTATGATAACTTTCATGAAACAAACTATATCTTATATCTTTCATGAAACAGACTACATTACATGCTATGATGTAACTGTTGATTATCACCTCAATTCAGTTTTGTGTTTAACTTCCACAAATTTGTTCTCATTGCAAAATTTGCGAAAGTAAATTGCAAGCAAAAGCATGTTAATTTACAGTATAAATGTTGACTAAAAGCAGTTTAATATGGTGTAAAATCCTATTTTTTGTGAGTCTTAAATTTTATGGTTTATCCTAAAAAACTCTATTTCTGGGGCACTTGATTTTGCATACCTGTCTCAAAAAATTACACTAACAGATCATTAAACATTGATATAAACTGTTGGTTTACCAACAAAAATAAATTGTTATAACAAGAGGCCCAAGGGGCCTTAACAGTCACCTGAGGAATATATGTCAAAAATCTGGGGATTTTAAAATGTTGCAAAAATGTAACAACACTTGTGCAGGACCATGTGTAAAACATCTGTACCAAGTTTGAACATGATCCAAACAGTGGTTCTTGAGAGAAAGTCCAAAATGTCTTAGCCAAACAGAGGCCAGGGTGGCCATCTTGGATTTTGAATCGCCCCAAATAGTTAAAACACTTGCCAGGACCTTGTGTAGAACATTCATATCAAGTTTAGACATGATCAACCCAGTAGTTAATCTGACTGTTGGTTCATGAGAAGAAGATTTTTAAATATTTACCTAACTTTACCCCCTTTTCCCCCCTCCTTGGGCCCCTATTGGGGCCATGTCCTTTTTCTTCGCACACTTGAAGCGGCTTCCCATGGGAATGCTTTGTGCGAAGTTTGGTCAAAATCCATCCACTGGTTCTTGAGAAAATGTCATTTAAAGAAGGTTTTTTTATATGGCCCCTTTTACACCCCTTTTTGGCCCCAAAGGGGACATTATCACTTTTTTCAACTTAATTTCATATGTCCTTCATTAAGGGATGCTGTCTACCAAATTTGGTTGAAATCGGTCAAAGTTGAATTTTTGACCCTTTTGAGCGCCCCGTAATGGGGCCGTCATTACCCTTTTTTTTCATTTGCAAACTTTGTAGACCTTGCCGTAAGGACCCTAAATATCAAATATGAATTTAATCTGACTGTTGGTTCAGGAGAAGAAGATTTTTAAAGATTTACCTAATTTTACCCCTCCCCCCCCCCCTCCCATGAGGATGCTTTGTGCCAAGTTTGGTCAAAATCCATTCAGTGGTTCTTGAGAAGAACCTTTGGCTCAGGTGACCTAAAAAGTAAGGACAATTCAAGTAATCTAATCCTACGACTCCAGGTCTTATTTTAGAGGTAGTACTCATACAATTTAATCGATCATTTGCTTCAAAGTAAAAGACAAGAAACCAAATATGAATATGAAGGGATTTATTTACGAATCATGTGTTTAGTTTAAAGGGAATAATAACTATCAAGCATTTCCAAGCAGAAATTTTCTGTAATAACTCATATATGAATAGTTTTGATAATCATATTTTTCCACTGGTTTACTAATAATGAAAAGTAATCAGCTTATTATCAGTAAATCACTGTCTAACATTCTTCTTTAACAGATGAAATAAGAAAATTTTCTGTGAAAACATTAAAACTGTCAGACTGAGTGTATGTGACTTACTGAGGGTTTTTTCTGGTGTGTTTGGAATAGCATCCTCATCTGAGGAGTCCACCAATTCAGGGATGCCGTCACTGTCGGAGTCTGTCATGATTTTCTTATCATCTGGGTAATGTGTTGAGATGAAGGGGAGCCCACTTGCTAAAAAATAAATGCAATCTTATCAATTAATAAGTGTCCAGTATATTTCAATCTATTCAATTGAGTAATATCTCATAATCTTCATTTACTAAGTCAGCTTTCAGCTTTTAATTAATTGATTTAATTACATTTTTTATAACTTAAGTGATATTTCTAAACATTTGTGTGTTGAAACAAATATTCCTGACATAAAATCTGACTAAGCTAACTTGTTTCTGGTCCATATTTTGCAATGTTCTTACAGACAAAAACAAAATGGCAGCCAGCAGTGAACACCACGCTGTCATTACATATATCAAGCAAAATAATGTAAACAATATTAGACATTACTATTGTTTTTTTTTAATATTTTCTTTTACAAAAATAATTATTCCAACCATCGCATTCTACAATATTATATACATCTTTGTCAATGTGACATTGCTATTTTCTATTGATCTTGCTGATGAAAACAGTAAATGTTATAGAAAAATCAGTTTTAAATTGAAGAAAATATACTATATGTGAAAGTGTAATCCAGGTATTGTGTGAGAATATTGGTAAACAGGTGTGAGAACAGCACAGGTAAACAGGCGTGAGAACTACACAGGTAAACAGGTGGGAGATCAACACATGTAAACAGGTGGGAGAACAACACAGGTAAACTGGTGGGAGAACACACAGGTAAACAGGTGTGAGAACTACACTGGTAAACATGTGGGAGATCAACACATGTAAACAGGTGGGAGAACAACACAGGTAAACAGGCGTGAGAACTACACAGGTAAACAGGTGGGAGAACAACACATGTAAACATGTGGCAGAACTACACAGGTAAACAGGTGTGAGAACTACACTGGTAAACATGTGGGAGAACATCACAAGTAAACAGGTGGGAGAACAACACAGGTAAACAGGTGTGAGAACAACACAGGTAAACAGGCGTGAGAACTACACAGGTAAACAGGTGGGAGATCAACACATGTAAACAGGTGTGAGAACAACACAGGTAAACAGGTGGGAGAACTATACAGGTAAACAGGTGTGAGAACTACACTGGTAAACATGTGGGAGAACATCACAAGTAAACAGGTGGGAGAACAACAATGGTAAACAGGTGTGAGAACTACACATGTAAACAGGTGGGAGATCAACACATGTAAACATGTGGGAGAACTACACAGGTAAACAGGTGTGAGAACTACACAGGTAAACAGATGGGAGATCAACACATGTAAACAGGTGTCAACACATGTAAACATGTGGGAGAACTACACAGGTAAACAGGTGTGAGAACTACACAGGTAAACAGGTGGGAGAACTACACAGGTAAAGCAAGCACTGACTATATCTACCATCATAACATTACTGCAGTCATGTTTTCTCAACAAGTGGGAGAAAGGAAAATACCTTTTTTCCAAATGTTTAACATGTCTCTTGTCAACACATATCAACTAATTATCAACTACCAGTGCCTTCTTCAATGAGAATGAATGATGCTGTGTCAGCAGAGCCCACCAGTGGAAGGTAATTGTCACCTCCAACTAACAACCCATTGTTTGAATTATAATGATGACAGCACCCGCCTAATATAAAAGTGATAGTCAAATACAGACCTTTATTATAGTAGATATACCAGCATTAAGTTCTGTACACTTGCTACATCTAAAGAAATATCAGCCAAAATATGACAGGTTGGTCAGAACGTGCACCAAGGCTTACAGATGTATGACAGGGCACCCAGAAAGAGGGCAGGGCAAAATTTTAATTTTAGAAAATGAGGGCATCGCTCTACACCCTGCTGTCACATTCTACCTGGAACACTGCATCAAATACAACTTAGTACTATCAACAACCATCTCCTATAACATGGCATTGGGACATTTTAAATTTCTAAATAAGAAAAAGATCACTTTTTTAAAATTAGATCATTTATCATGGTAGCTAAATTTCTAAATAAACGAAAACTATCATTAATGTATGAAAGCTAACAAAGGATGAAGAAGAAAACTATACTTTATACAACAATACTTTGTGATTTTTCGGACTCAAATAAACGAATCCTGGATTCATGATTTTCCTGTACGACTCGTTCAAATTTTCAGAGCCCACTTATCTTTTTGTATCTGCACTCATCTAAATTTTGGAAATGTTGCTACAAAATACTGAATACTGCAGACATCTAATCTTATCTTTGTGTTTATTATTCCAGGATATACATAAGTTTCAATTCCCAAGCTTAAAAACTTGCATCATGAGTCAAGCTTAAGCCTTTGCATCATGAGTCAAATAATATATAGTTTCCTAGATCTGACCCTCAAAACTCCCCAACAAAATTTAAGAAGCTACAAATACATTATATATATAAATATCAATCCTTCTTCAAGATTCAATTTTTAAAATTTTAAATTGATGCAAGCTGTAAAATTTGTTTTAAAAAAGTCAATTAATTGAATAACTTACTTAATTCAGAAAAGCTTGAAATAAGAACAATGTGCTTTATTTTATGAAATGATATCAAAGCTCTCAACATGTCTCAAACCTTTAAAGTGTGCAACATAAGTTCAAAGTCTGCAGCCAAGGAGTTAATCCTACACCATATATCATACCAGGCACAATGTAATACAGTTGAAAATTTCCAAAGGGGAATCCCCACTATAGAAAATAGAATGGGATTTCCAGTCAACACCTACCAACAAATGTACACAAATGCAGGGCTCACGTTGTCGGTAGCCAAAGTAGCCATTGACTGCTTTTATTTACAATTGGCAACTCAAAATACAAAGTGGCTACTAAATTGGCTACTGTGTTTTTTTTTTCTGAAAAAAAAACCTCTAACAATACGATAATAAAGCCAACAAATTCGCTTCGTGAAGTCGGTGTACTTTCGTGTCCACGTGTGTATTGTAGGCCTACTAGCTGACACGCTTACATAATCCGGGGGCCCTGTGGCAGAGGCAGTGCTTTCACAGTTGAGCGCATCCGATCATGTCTTTGTTAGACTAATTACTGGAAGTTTCAAACGACAGTACATATTATTATACGAGTGTTAAACTTGTTATGGCTGAGATAATTGGATAACCCATGGCCATCGGTCCGTGTTAAAACCGAGTGGGGATTCCCCACATTCACATGTCACTTAAACGCTTGAATATGTGTATTCAGCCAACCTGAAAAAGCGCTTTAATGATTCAGAATGACACAAGCATGGCGAGGAAGTCTACAATAGGATGATTGTTTCTGGTGTCACAACAGATAAAAACGATCGGCTTTCGACTTTTGTGGGTAATGACGGTGTTAGAAATCACAGCCTTACTAATTATCCGAAAGCAAGCGTGTTGTTTCATTACGTAGTGAGTAGGCCTATCTACTACCAGCAGACAGTACGCAATGTAAACATGACGGGCTACATTTTTACTTTGACAGGTGTACTACAGTGACATTCGTTTACAATACTAAACAGTAACTCTAGTGATTTCTGTACAAGAACAATGCAATATAGAAATGAATTCAAGGACAGATAGTGTATTTCAAACAAGTGTCAATACAGAAAAGTGTAACTTATTGAATGAGAGTGTAATTAATTAAAGTAAAATTGTTTTGTTATTTATATTGGTTATGTATTGTAAAGTATTATTCATTGGTGCTTTGTAATAAAGAAGTTTAAAATTAAAATTTTTCCATAATGTAAGATTAATTAGATATAGTTGATTCAATTTCAAACGTTAATCAAACGTTACGCGCCAATATGCCAAGGCTACTCTCTGACAAAATTGGCTACTAAAAATCACACTTGACTATTTTTTTTGGCTACTGATAATTTTGGTTCAGGGTGAGCCCTGAAATGTGCATTTACATAAATTATTTTTTACCTCCTTGTAGGCATAGAATGCAAGCTGTACTAGAATACTACAAATGAAGGATGCAACACTAAAAAGTTCACATTCTATCTATTGTACTGTCTATCATTCTCTTCCTTGATTGGGAACATATAGAAGGATTTTCTAAAAAAAAAAAAAAAAAAATGGGAAATAATTCTAAAGTTTTGCTAGATTTTGGGAAAGAAACACTTATTTGGGTTTGGATAATATTTTTTTAACTGATCACTGAGTCACTAGAGAATATTTGTAACTCAGGAATATAAGACTAAGGATATGTAATGTTTTTACTTTTTTTATTATCTATAATAATCTGAGTAAAAATAAAATGAAGAAACCAATGCAGATCTATACAGGGAAGAAAACTTTTCTGTATCTCAATAATTGGTACATATTTATGACAAAACTTACAATTATTTTTTTTTTATTTTGATAGAGATCAATTAAATCAGATAAGACGATTTTTTAGAATTTCAAGGTCACATTAAAGATGATGTGTATAGCTCATAACATTACCATCTGAAACACCAGTTTAAAATCCTCCTTATAAGTCATCAACTTAACATAATCTACAATAACTTCTTACTTCCTAAAATACCATGACAAGCCTATCAGTTATCCCGCCCCATCTAACCACCCAGCATTTTCAACAAGTCACATCCCTCCTCATATCTATGAATCAGAAGGCTACAGTAATCTGTTGGCATCCTTGTTATTGCTATGTATATTAAAGTGTCATTGCACACTTGATAATTTTTTTTATATATTTTTTTTTACAGAAAACAATATAACTCAAATATCCCTCACATGATCATTCATTTACAAAAAAATAATCTATACTGTTCTATCTTTAATGGTATTAGGATCCATGCATACTTGTTTTATCACATGAATCTGATGCTCGATACGAAATAAAGGTATAACAAACTTATATAGATTAGCGGGAATCCTACCTCAGATTCCTGTGGTTTTGTTGTTCAATCTTTGAAAATACCCTATTTTTACCATGTAGTAAGGGTATTTCTATATATTTTTACTAAGACGAGCGTTCATTCTGGTTCAGCAAATGTTTTCTGTAATTTAAGCTGGAGGTCTAATCTTCCTTTCGTGAGATTACCAACCAAAGAATTCACCTAATAATCCGATTTGCAAAGGTTACGGGCGGTTAGCCGACGTGTAAACAAAAAGAAATCGATGTTATAATATTGGAATTGTGGTAATAAGAAGCTGTCACATTTCCCTCTCAACGTGTACGGTCCTAAGAAATCACATTCACGACATCAATTTTCACAACACTTCGGCTTTGCTTTGGTAGAAAAGTGCACCCACCTTGGTTACGAACTTTGTTCATGGCAGCAAAACGGTGAAACATTTCTCAAACAATGGCCATTGTTTTAGAAATATACTTCCGACAGCTTACCTATTTATGGATGGATGCCTCTCTTCGTCATATATGCAAATCACCGCATATCTTTCGCCTGTGTGCACATGCTCTTCTTGGAAATACAAAATGGCGACTTCGGTTTATTGTTGAGGAAGTAGATATAAGCCTCGTTTTGAAGTGACGAAGGAAATTCGCGCGGAATTTAAAATTACAAAATATAGGTACTGGGTTATGTTATCACAAAAGTATGGTGTTGGATGAGTACCTTCCCCTAGATTTCAATCTTAAAACTTCAAGTAAATTGTGAATGGTAGCCTAGCTGCATGTCAAAGTTAGGATATCAGTAAATTTGTTTGAAATCAGAAAAGGCAACTCACTTTCAACCTTTGGACGGCGGATGTACTGTCCGTTACTTATGTAGAGTGTACTGGGCGATCTTCCCACCAGATAATAGCCATCCTTTCGGTGAGTTCAATTTTCTGTAAATAATGCAAGCATATATCTTTAGGGTTTCATCTTCGAGTTGACAACTTTGTCATAACTAAAACCAGAGACGTATATATCACATGTGATATATACGTCTCTGCTAAAACATATAGACATTTCCCGAGTCTTCTTCCCCTTTCCATCCGGTGCACATTTTAACACCTTAGATATTTATCGGATTTACGCTTTTCGACGCTCGCGCGCTAAAAAAAAAAAAAAAAACCTAATTCTCGGCGATTGATTTTAATATAAAGTTAGGCACATATAGTCCAGCGGTTTAGAGCCATATTTCAAGCAATACTTCACTTTGTGGGGAAAGCATGAAACTTTTTTTGTGGGTAGTACATCCTAATACAAGTCATTTTCGATTAGGACCCACTTCAGAAACACCCCCTGGTGGCGGCCATCTTGGAATTCAATATGGCGGCAAACTGGTGTATGTATTCTTCAATTACTCCGTTATTAAGGCAAATACAGGCATATATTCAATGGCTACCCCATGTTTTCATGGCCAGAGAATCATATTAAACTACTCATGACTCCCTGTTGTGTCCGCTATCTTGTATTTCAAGATTTTGATTTCTCCGTATGTGTGCAGGTACATTTAACAGGAGATAATTATTGAGACGCAATAGTGTCGGTCATCTTGAATTTCAAGATGGCCACTTTATCATACTGTCACGTTATAAATAAATGTCAGTTATTTCCTGGCTTCCGTTAACCATATTTTAATCACATTTACCTCCAAATGACACAGTTGCATAGGATTAGTGTATAAATATTGTCTGCTTCAGCCCCCCATATGTAAATGATTTCCACTTTGAAACAAATCAAATTGGACTAAAACAATAAGAACAGTTCTTTCATAAACCTCAAAATAATTCATGATATAAGGATAAGCCTACATTCTCGGTAGATTATAGACCTTTGGCCCTTACTGGTGATGTCTATGGGGTGCCAAATAACCATTTATCTAATTAGTACTATGTGACAAAATCTAATGTTCCAAGTTCGAGAGTGGGTTTGATACAAAAACAAAGGTTCCTGGATGGCACCACGAGTAGACTAAAAGTATCCAAGAGCAATTTTCCAAAGATCTACGCTCACTAGTAACAACCATTGACCAAATGGGAAATCCATTTAAAGAGGAGAGAAAAGACTTGCTGAATTTGAATTCCAAGGTGATAGTGCCTGAGAAGGTAATCAGTACAGTCAGGAAAATACAGGATCTTGGAAAATCTCAGTATGATTCTTACATCGAGGGGCGTCCCAAAACAAGCTCAAAATCGATCAATGCCACAATTCCACGGAATAAAATGCCCTTGTTCAGCAGACTTGGAAATGAGTAAAGTAAGCTAACTGGAAAAGTGTCTGAACAGAAGAATGACCGAGCTTTGTTTTCTAGATTAGACATTGCAAGTCAGCGACGGGAAGGGGACCTTGCAAATTTTTTTCGCCATGAAAACCAGCCTGCACCTCCATCCCTTTCTGACAAAGGTAACATTAAACAAGGTGATAAATCCCACCTCCTTGAATGCATGGAGAAGGATGTTTCAATTCCGGAAAAAGCTCCTCCACTGAGTGCCAAGGTATTTGATGGTCCTGCAGTTGCCCATTTCCTCCCACCAGGAACAGCCACAACGTTTGGACAGTATGCTAGTGAAGTGTTTCTACCTTATGTCATGCGTGAACTTAACAGTCCTGGTACCTCACGAGTGGACATCGTATGTGATGTGTATCTCCACGAAAGTCTCAAGGCGCAGACAAGGGATGAAGACACACGACGCCGTGTTTATACTGATACAAGGATACCAACGAATTGGCCAGGTTTTCTTCGGAATGTTGTAAACAAGAAAGAACTGTTTAGGTTTCTAGCCCAAAGTTGCACTGGATGCAATTCACAAGGCAAAGTCATTATATCTACCACCGAACAAAGTGTCATCTCTTCTGTCAAGGATATGGACAATCAGGGCCTTGAACCATGTTCACAGGAGGAGGCTGATACGCGAGTTGTCTTGCACGCCAGGCATGCTGCCCTATGTGGACACCAAAATGTCATGATTCGTAGTGTTGATACAGATGTGGCTGTTATTGCAACATCTTGTTTCTACTCGACCGGCCTTCAGGAATTGTGGCTGGCCTTTGGAACTGGCCAGAAATTCAGATGGATTGCAATACATGAAATCGCAGCTCACCTTGGTCCAGCTAAATCCACAGGATTATGTTTCTTCCATGCATTTACTGGATGTGACAATATGTCCTTCTTTTTAAGCCGTGGAAAGAAATCTGTGTGGCAAACGTGGGAGAGTTACCCTGAAGTAACAGATACATTCGTGAAACTGTCCACGCAACCGAAAGGCTTGAGCGTTTCGTGGTTTTGTTGTACGACCGGACAAGTTGCTTTGGAAGGGGTAGATGAAGGTAGGATGTACTTGTTCACAAAGCGATGTCGACATATAGAAAACATACCACCAACTTCAGCTGCCTTAAAGGAGCACATTCAAGCAGGGTACATCTGGGGACAGGCATTGACCACCGATCCAACAGTCCCTTCCCCCTCAGACTGGGGCTGGAAGATGTAGGATGGCCGATGGACTCCTGTATGGACAAGATTGGAAGAAGCAGCCAAAGCCTGCTACGAGTTGTTGTGTTGCCACTGCAAGTTGGCTTGTAAAAGATACAGCAAATGTTTCAAAGCCAACTTAAAGTGCACAACACTTTGCGATTGTGACGGCCAGTGTTTTGAAGATTAGGACACATAGGCCGATTGCCATTCTAACTGGTACCAACTGGAGCACATTTCATATTGAGAAGACGGTCATCTTAATGATCTGCTTCAACTTAATACTCCCAACTCTTCCTTTTGATTATTTCATATTCAATAGTCTATAAAATATGGTAAAAATCGGTTACAGTGGCGGTCATATTGAAATCCAAGATGGCGGACACAACAGGAAGTCACGAGTAGTTTCATATGATTCTCTGACCATAAAAACATGGGGATAGCCATTGAAAATACGTGTGTATTTGCCTTAACAACGGAGTTATTGAGGAATACATACACCAGTTTACCGCCATATTGAATTCCAAGATGACCGCCACCAGGGGGTGTTTCTGAAGTGGGTCCTAATCGAAAATGACTTGTATTAGGATGTACTACCCACAAAAAAAGTTTCATGCTTTCCCCACAAAGCGAAGTATTGTCTCCTTTAACCGCTGGACTAATACACAATACGTGGTCTAGGCCTAGATTCCATGGCTGTTATTTTACAATGTAAAGGACGCGTTTTATGGGTTGGATTAACATTGATGCAATCTTACTTATGCACGAGAAAATCATGTAGATTCTATTTTTTCCCTTTAATAAGTAAGTTTATATGTATAATAATTTAGTAGGTAATCAGCTCGATCCTTTGTAACATCGTAAATACCGGCGGATGTGCGTATCAATGTTTGTGTACCTTACCAAGTATATAGTGTAAATTCTTTGAATTCCTTCTCCTTTTGTAGGAATGGCAGGATTCTGTCCCAATTTAGTCTGAAGCATCCTTGGGTAAAACGGGATCAATTTAGTGTCAACATTAGGTCTCGGCCCCTTGGGGCGAGTCTGTTTCTGTAGGAATGGCAGGATTCTGTCCTAATTTAGTATAAAACCATTATGGTGGGTCTCCACACCTTGATGGCGAAGGGTAACTGTCCATTGAAATAAGACAAAGAAATCACTTTTAAATTTGTTCCATTTTGATGAAAATATTTTAATCAAATTTCTTTAGAAGCATGCTTAAGGTTAGGCTCACTAATTTTGTATATATTGGTATTAAAATTCCTTCTTCGTCATTTGTCATTTTAAAATTTTGTACAAAACCGTAGGTCTCACTCTTTTTTTTGTTTTTTGTTTTTTTTTGTAACTTTTTTTATTCAACACAATGAATACGTGATGTGGCAATATGCACTTCCACACATACATCTTTGCACACGTAAGGATAATATGCATATCTCCAATAGGTCTGAATAATTTGGACGAAGGGACACGGTCCAGTAGGCGGGATAGATTAAATCTTTCAAACACACTTCTTCTGTTGCTTCTGCTGAAATGAAAGTATTTTCACCTAATTTCGTTTCAATTTTGATTCAGTTTTATGACTTAACAGTAAAGAACTTGAAACCTTTATTTTTTACCGTGTGGATGAAGGCATTTTGTCAAAATGTAGTATGAGACTTTCCGCATATTTTGGGACAATGTAAGAATACAACAGTTGTTAAAAATAATCTGAAGTGAAAACTGTAAAATTCAGGTGAGTGATACAGGCCCCGTGGACGTTTTCTTCGGCATATTTTTAGAACAGGACTTTTTTTAAGACACTGCGTGACATAATACATATGTTTGCCCAACGCCAAAATGAAAAAAAAAATCTATCCATCTTTTCGTGTCGGAGTTTTGAAGAAAAGATTTTAAAGATATGATCCGTATCGTGTTGCTTTTAGATTCGCAGGGCCAATCGTGACTGAAACAATTTTATTTTCAATACCAGTTGTGTTTAAAGAAACATACAAAACTAATGAACCCATTGAAAAATTTAGCAAGTTTACGAATTTGCTGACATGGATTTTTCAATCAAATTTCATATAGAACGCTACGACCGAGAATTCATTAATTAGAATTGGGTATTGGAATAAACATTGCTGGTTATTTATATTCCAATACGTGACACATGTAACCTTATCAGACGCCCGGGGAAAGGTGAAGGCCAATTTCTGCACGAGACAGAGATATAGTATATATACTTGTCACGAAGGTCACTCTAACGATCATTGTCACCACGATGTTCGTCTTAGCACTTACGTTTCTTGTTTTGTCTGGTAAGATTTTCCTTCTTAATTCAATATATTCTGGTTATGGTACATGGTTCAATATATTCTGATAATGGTGTATGATTCGACATATTCGGGTTATAGCACATGATTCGACATACACGGGTTATGGTTGATGTATCGAAGTCCCTGGTCGAGGTAGTTTGTCTACACGATGAGAAACGGACTGTCTTCATGGCAATCTTGTCTTTGAGCAAGGTGGTATGCAGCGGGCCGCCTGAATGTTGTTCACTGAAGTAGTCAGTACTACTAAAGAGGAGATCCGCTTCAAAATTGTCCTGGCTGTTGACGGGGCGAAAAAGCCCGCATTCGTTATACTGTATACATAGTGCTCTAACTCTCAGAGCTGTCCCGTCTTACGAAAAGGAGTTTTTGTATTTGTAGATTTAACGAGAATTTGGAACTGCAACAAATTATCTGATTTTTATAAGATTATCAAAGATATTATTTGGAACGCATGACAGCAGGTTTTGGTTAATTGTATATGATCTATCAGGAATGTGACATTTTTGCATTTACCAAATTTCGTATATATATCTTTTATCTTTAATCATTATTTTGTTACAGTTTTTTCGCAATGATTTGAGATGAATTTGCTTTGACGCTTTTATTTGCAAAACTATACGAAAACATTAGGAAACCTCAGGTTGAAGAAAATTGAGGGGACGTTTTACAGTCATCATTACGATCTCATTGAGAAATATTCTATTTTTATGTGCGTTATGAAGCTGGACGTGTTTGATGTTCGTTAGATTGCCTGTTGGTACCGTTGTGGTATATCTTGTTCTCATTTGCGAACGTGGCATTACTTACTTGGAATGACCAAGTTTTACATGGCAGATGTCGTCGATGAAGATGAAGACACTTACTCTTCTGGAACACCTGGTCTTATTCTCCATGAGCTTTTTTCAGGAGTCTCCGTGTAAATCTTTCTTTTGTTTATATTTTTCTTTTGTTTTATTGAATATGAATCTGGATTATGACTACGTTGACATGTTGGTGAACGAATTACATGGGTCGTTTTGAGGTGTGACCTCCATGTAGTAGCTACTAGGTTTAATCGTTCAGTGAACTGTCAGGGTCGTTTTGAGGCGTGACCGCCTTGTAGTAGTTACTGGTTTTAATCGTTCAGTGAACTGTCAGAGTTGTTTTGAGCCGTGACCGCCTTGTAGTAGTTACTGGTTTTAATCGTTCAGCGAACTGTCAGAGTTGCTTTGAGGTGTGACCTCCATGTAGTAGCTTCTGGGTTTGAATCATTCAGTGAACTGTCAGGGTCGTTTTGAGGCTTGACCGCCTTGTAGTAGCTACTGGGTTTTAATCGTTCCGTGAATTGTCAGGGTCGTTTTGAGGTGTGACCTCCTTGTAGTAGCTACTAGGTTTTTTAATCGTTCAGTGAACTGTCAGGGTCGTTTTGAGGCGTGACCGCATTGTAGTAGCTACTGGTTTTAATCGTTCAGCGAACTGTCAGAGTTGCTTTGAGGTGTGACCTCCATGTAGTAGCTACTGGGTTTTAATCGTACAGCGAACTGTCAGAGTTGTTTTGAGGTGTGACCTCCATGTAGTAGCTACTAGGTTTAATCGTTCAGTGAACTGTCAGAGTTGTTTTGAGGCGTGACCTCCATGTAGTAGCTACTAGGTTTAATCGTTCAGTGAACTGTCAGAGTTGCTTTGAGGCGTGACCTCCTTGTAGTAGCTTCTGGTTTTAATCATTCAGTGAACTGTCAGAGTTGCTTTGAGGCCTGACCTCCTTGTAGTAGCTACTAGGTTTAATCGTTCAGTGAAGTGTCAGAGTTGCTTTGAGGCCTGACCTCCTTGTAGTAGCTACTAGGTTTTAATCATTCAGTGAACTGTCAGAGTTGCTTTGAGGCCTGTAGTAGCTACTAGGTTTTAATCATTCAGTGAACTGTCAGAGTTGCTTTGAGGCCTGACCTCCTTGTAGTAGCTACTAGGTTTTAATCATTCAGTGAACTGTCAGAGTTGCTTTGAGGCCTGACCTCCTTGTAGTAGCTTCTGGTTTTAATCATTCAGTGAAGTGTAAGAGTTGCTTTGAGGCCTGACCTCCTTGTAGTAGCTACTGGGTTTTAATCGTTCAGCGAACTGTCAGAGTTGTTTTGAGGTGTGACCTCCTTGTAGTAGCTACTGGGTTTTAATCATTCAGTGAACTGTCAGAGTTGCTTTGAGGCCTGACCTCCTTGTAGTAGCTTCTGGGTTTTAATCATTCAGTGAATTGTCAGAGTTGCTTTGAGGCCTGACCTCCTTGTAGTAGCTTCTGGTTTTAATCATTCAGTGAACTGTCAGAGTTGCTTTGAGGCCTGACCTCCTTGTAGTAGCTTCTGGGTTTGAATCATTCAGTGAACTGTCAGGGTCATCTTGAGTTTGATTTTTATAGTCACTTTGGCCTCCGGGGCTACTCACCATGGACACGGGCATGGCTATCACACGGCTAGTCCTGGAGATTTGCAAGGGGAGCTGGACCACATGACGTCACACTTCGGTGACCACCTTTGTATCGATCTCCTCATGTTGGACTGTAGAAATCACGCAGCTCAAAGTGACGAACAAATATGTGGCTCTGACGGTCGGACATATCCAAATCAGTAAGTCAAATCCTAGTTAAGGATATCACCTATATCATACAGCTTTGTGTAACGAATAATTTCACACAGAATTTCACAAATAGGAATTGAGAAGAAAGGCAATTATAACTCTCAATGTCTTGGAGTCGGCTGACTTGGGAACTCTATAGTTTTTTGTTTTATTTTCTATATCTATTTTCTGTCTTTTTTCATGCTCCATCTACTAATAAAAAATTGTACAAAAGAGTGACAAGCACATTTTAATAATTCCGAGTTAATACAGTAGAGCCAAACAATGAAGTAAAGTAAATCATACAGCTGTTTCGTCCTTCTAGGACTCGTCAGTGATGCTACATCATACAGCTGTTTCGTCCTTCTAGGACTCGTCTGTGATGCTACATCATACAGCTGTTTCGTCCTTCTAGGACTCGACGGTAATGATAAGGGCTTAAATTTCCACGCTTAGGAGGCGATTGAGAAAACTCCAAAGTAATTGACAGATTAGTCAAAATGTAGACGAGTAGGCGCAGTAGCCCCACAATTGTATAAATTTCGTAACTTTTGATATAACGGATAAATTTAGAACAGCGTTGAGTACATGTGTATATTCTAAACCGTACCACTATCAAAGCAACTCCTCAAATGTGATATTTTACAGTTGCTACTTCGTACATTCCACTTGTATGTTCGAAAATCTAACAATCCAGTCGCATGGGCAATGTGTAGTCACAAGTGAAAAGCCATCCACTGCCATGCCCGGTACCGGAACTACCATGATGCCTATTGCTGCCAGTACCATGCCATCGACAACTCCTAAGACAAACTCGCAGGTCATTCAGTCTGTATTCTGTCAGAGCAAGGACGCCATCCATTGCGACTTGAACATTTCGTTTGTGTGTGGTTCGGACGGACAACTATACCCAAACCAGTAAGTTTAGATAGAACAAGCTTTAAACAAAGGACTGTGAATCCAGTGGGACACAACCAAGAATGCGGATTGATGCTTTAAACTAAATACTACCAGCAGGCATAGTCTACCCTTTCATTGAAAACAATTTGAATGATATCAAACGTGATTTATTCTCCTTACAAAAGTTACATTATGTCTGCACTAATAGGAACCACAATCAAGTGTAATACCCTTAAACAGAATTCTGAAACCTTCATTGACAATTAAGTGTGACCTCCAACAACCCCAGTATATCTTTCTTTGTCATTTAGTGTGTTCTGCCCTTGACACAAAACTCTGCAAATTAGGCTTCACTAACCAACAAGATCGGTGTACCGTTTAAATAAAAGTCTGTAAATATTTCCTAACAATATAGTGTGGTCTACCCTCTAAACCAAACTCTGAAAATCTTTCTTAACCATTTAGTGTTGTTCGCCCTATAAACAAATATGTTCATTTTCTGTTTTTATTCATTTATTTATCTATTTTTGGTAATGTAAACTCTGACAAAAATATTGCAAGTGCGACTGATAATGATCATGTTTCCACTGATAACAGGACCGCACTTCCTAATTTTTTTTTCTTTATTTTGCAATTTTGACTTGATTTTACTGATGATTCTGCTGAAATACTAATATTTTCATCTCTTTTTATCCACATGTACTACATAAATCTACGTCTGATCGAATACAGTTCGACAATCCTTTCATCTTACGTTTGTGTTTTTAGGTGTGAACTGTCTAAAGCCGCCTGTGACGACCCGTCTCTCATCAAAGTAGACATATCTTTGTGTCCATAACTGCTGTGACAGCGCCATTGACAAAAATCCTAAGAATGATAACCAAATAAATAAGAATGATAAAATGATAAGAGTGATAAATAAATAAATAAATAAATGAAACGTGTTTACTCTGTTTTGATCTGTTTCCCCCTGGAAAGTGTGTTATCTATGGTATTAAATTACAAGTTTAAGGCCTTCGTGTACCATGTATTAGATATACGAAGTAATTCCTGGTACGTATGATATACAATGTATACAAAAAAATACTTATTATACGTCACTGGATAATCATATCGATGGTGACAACCAAGTTTCCTAAATATCGAAATATCTCTCCTGTGGTCAGTCTGGGCAAGCAAATTCAGTTGGAATACTCCCTGCCAAACAGTCTAAATATAGAGCATGGGGAAATCCGGAACTGACAGGTCACTGGATCAGAGTATACAGTAAATACACAAGTGTGTATGCTGGTCTCTAGAATATTTCTGATGTTATTGCAATTTTATTACTTCATTAAGTTTATTTTCTGTTGATTACACAAATGTTTCATTCTGTTCGGCTGATAACGCAAACCTGTTATGACGCAATCAGGTCCGTGTGAACGACTGTCAGATCTATAAATAATTTCCAAAAATTAAATATCATATATTGTTTTAATGTTAAATTAGGTGGATTGTAAGATTTCCATAAGAACATAAGAAGCTGAATTTGTACAATTTTCTTCAAAAGCAATTATGAAATCTTATATACATAACCTTCCCGTATCTGCGTCTTTTAGAAACAGTCACTATTGCCAATCATGCTATCGCTTATATCAATGCTCATCCTGTACATAACCAAGTTATACAAGATATCTAATTTATTAACTAAATTATCTGATCAGTTAAATTAGATTATTTATTTACTAAATGTCGATATCCAATCTAACAAATTGGATATAATATTTCATAAATTATATATCTACATATATATATATATTTCGTAAGAGATCAGTATGATAACACAATAAATTGTGTTAATTGACTTACCATTATAGCTGTATAGCTGATTCATTTGCTGCTATTGTGTTAAGTTATATATTCCAGTCGTTTGTAGACAAATGATTGTGAACAATCACACCTTATACAAATTCACATTTTTTAGAATTTAACATATAAATATAAACCAGGTTACCGTATGTTGCAGTGGTACATAAATTATAGAAAAAAATGAAAATATTAAAAAAAAACAAGTAGATATCAGTTAATCCGTTTCCTTGTATTCTTAGAGCTGCAACAGAACAGTACTGAGAACTTTTCATGCATTTAGTCTGTAGTACATGTACAGAAAAAAAGAGAAGTGGGGAAGGATGTAAAGATTTAGACTAGGGTAACGTTGAGGGTCCATGACTGCTGGAACAAACACACAGTTCTGGTAATATTTTATTTATTAGGTATATACATGTACAGTGAAAGAGAAAAGAGAGAGGATACAAGGGTGTAGACTAGGACGAGGGTTCATGACTGATGGAACATGTAAAAACATGTAAAAAGAAAAGACAGAGAGAAGGTACAAGATGTAGACTAGGACGAGGGTTCATGACTGCGGTTCTAGAACATACTCTGATTGCGATATCACATATCGATAGGTGTACTGGGACTGTACATATTGTAGTCAACAGTACGCTTTATAAAATGCAAGACCACTAGGGAACCAGGGGTGGTTCCAGAATTTAGGGTTAGAGAGGGCCCAAATATTTTCAAAATGAAAAACTTCTCTCCCCCATAACCTATTATTTCTACGTTTCCCCACGGTTTTTGTTTGCTTTGTTCGAAATTTCAGGGTCAAAGCGCAAATAATTGGGTAGTGGTTTGAGGGGATGAAGCCCACCTCTCCATCCGCTCCGGATGCGCCATTAAGAACTAAATGTGATTGTACTCTAAAGCTGTTTTGTTCATCATGTATATAATACGACGCCCTAGAAAGTACCACGTGATGTAACTGAATAAATATCAGAACATGTGATGTGTCAAACGAGTATTTTGGACAAGAATGATAACAGTAACTATAAATTACATATATAGCGGTGGCATAATTACCTCTCGTAAGTTCCTCAATTATATACAAGTATTAACAATATTTTTCAACATTTTAAACTTTATTAATCTAACAATATAGACTTTGTGTATACATATTAGCAATTACTCGTACAATCTTCTAAGCCTGAAATAAAAATGGAACTTTCAATATTTATTTATAAAGTCATCCTTTCTGTGAAATATTACAATCATATTTGATTAGTAATATATATAATTTGATAAATAACATATGTAATTTGATAAATAACATATGTAATTTGATAAATAACATATGTAATTTGATAAATGATATATATGTAATTTGATAAATAAGATATGTAAGTTGATTTTCTTTATAAGATGCCTAATTTGATGAATAAGGTATTGAATTTGACAAGATATCTTATTCTTTATAAATAATATATTCACTTTTTAAACGTACATACCGAAGATTGTTTAAAAGACAAACATGTGAACTACACCTTTGATATAATTTTAGAGTTATATACAGGAGAGCGTAATAATGAATTGGACTGCATCATACATCTGGTTCTTCCTTTTAAGATTTGTCCGTGATGTTAAGGCGGTAGGGGCAACTCAGTGTCATCGGAAGAATAGTGCTGTAGACCCATTTATCAATAAATTTCGTATCTTAGTAATTAAGATATCTAGGTTGCTAAAGTAGATGTCTGATTTAATTAATTTACTAATTATGAATAAGAAATCTAAATTGTATATGTTATACTGTGATAATTGAAGAATACGTGGTGATCAGAGAAAGTATACACATAGATACCGATGTAATCCGTGCCAGAACAATTACTATATGTGTTGGCGAACATTTGACACAGGGAGACAACCTTTCCAGATACCTGTTTTTACACTTCTTATTGAAATCACAACTGACTCTCTTGAGATGATGATTTCTTAATTGATGTAGATTTAATAAAACTGGATAAATTTTAAGTATTTACCGGAAATATGTCAGACTAATAATGATAAATTGCCTACATAAATCAATTTAGATCATTAGCTTATAAATCATATTCAATTTGTCATTTTCATTTTTTCTATCATGGAAAGTAAGAAAAGATTATAGCTGAAACTCATTCAGGTGTAAAATTTGAAATGCTTGCCAGGTAATACAGGTAAATCTCATAATGTTGGTTAACAAAGAATGCACAGATTAGTGTAGTGTCTGGTTTCATTGAAATATTCGGTATACGACGCCAACGATTTATATATGACCGCGTAAATACAAAAGGCACACACTGCACACAAATAGCGTACACTGCACACGAATAGCGCACACTACACACACGTACATATGAAGATTACAAACAAGTTCGTGTATCAGGAAGAGCATGAAACCGTTATTCTATCAAGCAAGCATATAAAGGGTTTTTTTCATTCATCTGATAATTTCTCATATTGTCAATTATCAAAATAAATATAAAACGTTCTCCGTTACGAAATTAACTGCGTCAATTAATTCACTTAAGCGCAGTTCAATTGTTCTACTCTCATATGTAAGAAAACTGCAATCGATGAGAGATTTACTTAGCACGATGGTATCTGTATTTTATAACATACATTATGAGAGGAAAGTCCACATCACCTTGTAAAGTGCTAAATAAAAATACCGATGCTTCCTGCATATCAGTCTGAATGACACCAATGGTATCATGTCTATGTATAAAGTCCACGTTTTTTATACAATGCGGTCTACTGTACTTACAGTTACGTCTGGTACAGCACAGAGAAACGAGGTCGGTGTAGTCTTCTTAGTGATGTGTTATATACAAAAATGACTATGTATCTATTTGTATTGTAATATATTCATTCTTCTGCCCTTGTTTCCGACCCAGAAGGTACCGTACTCATGTACACTGATACACCAAGGTGTACTTCCGTCAGATGATGTATAAACAGTCGTCATACAGCGTCCAGTGTTCCTGTCAATCAGTAGTACTGACTTGGTGATCCATTCCGTTACAAGGACATCACCAGCTCCGTCAAAACAAACATCGTACGGATAAAACTTTGATGACTGAGTAGAACTTCGGTTTGGATTGGTCGTACCGATGTCTTTGCAGTGAAACTTCAGGTTGAGGTGTTTATCCATCACGATGACGTACGGTTGTTTGTCTGGTTCCTCGCCAGCCATGTAGTTATCATACAACACGTCATCACTGTCAACAACAGCTACGTCACCGGTCTGTTTACATGACGACATGTGATGAGGAATTACCGTCACCTGTCTACAAGGACCTCCCGTTCTAGTTGCTACCGCCCGTCCGTCAGTAGTGAATAGCTGTATTCCACACTCCATCCCAACCACTACCATGTCATCACTGGTGATACAAAGAGAATATGGCGTGTCGGTGACGTTAAATCGTTTAACAATATCACCACCTGTCGTGATTTCCCGTCATCACGCACACAGAACCACACCCTGCCCGTGGTCGGGGATATGGATATCGAATCGACTTTAACCTTACAATAGATCTTCTCCTTCACTCTGCCTTTAGTATCCACCCGGTACACACTATCACTTTTCCAGTACGATAGCCACGCTTCGCCACCAGTAATACCTGTACGACATACATCGTAAGAAAATGACGTCTTGAAATCGTCAAGAACCACGGTTGTCGGAATCGGTTTGTATGACTGATCCAGTCCGTCGACTAGTATCTTAGCGAACATATGTTCCAACAGTACAGTAGATATGCTTCCGGGTTTGAATTCCACTGTCTGTAATCTACCGGGAGTAGGTGGAACAGTGGAGGTATTCCTGATTTCCCGCACTAACGTTGTGATGTTGACTGTATTGCCATTTTCCAATACTTCCTGGCATCTGTTCAGTTTCGGATTCAAGTCCTCGGTCAGATGTTTGTTTAATGCCGTTTTGTTTTTCTCAGAAGTACTGGCATTTAATTTTTCTAACTCGGTACACATGTT